TCCTAGCAAACAGGCTGAAAGATCTAATGCCCGAATGGATCCATGGAGACCAGGTGGGATTTGTCCGGGGAAGAGAGAGGGGTAGAGACAATGGGTTGAGAACTTTGATGCTTATTCAGAAAAGTAGAAAAGGGAAAGCCCCGGTGGTGCTCTTGTCACTTGATGCCGAAAAGGCGTTTGATAGAGTGGACTGGGGCTTTATGATGGACAACTTGGAAGTGTTGGGGATTGGAGAGAGAATGCGTGAGTGGATAGGTAAATTATATAGAGAGCCCACCGCAATCATCACGGTAAATGGGGAGAGGTCAGAATCCATCGGGATGTCCAATGGAACAAGACAAGGATGTCCATTGTCCCCCTTGTTGTATGTTTTGACATTGGAACCCCTGCTATCAATAATAAGGAATAGTGGAGCGATAAAGGGAATACAGATAGAAAACATAGAACATAAAGTAGCGGCCTTTGCGGACGACCTACTGTTTTATGTAGGCAACCCCCGAATAACACTACCAAGTATAATGAAAATCTTGAAGGAATATGGTGAACTATCAAATCTAAAAATTAACCCAACAAAAACAGAGATTCTGAACATTAATATACCAAAGAGCGAAAAAGAAAAACTACAAAAAGAATTCCCCTTTATTTGGAGAGAAAAAGATATAAAATACCTAGGAATAAAACTTGCTACCTCACATAAACAACTGTATAGATTAAACTATATTTCTCTGATAAATGAGACTAAGGACGAATTAAAAAGATTAGAAGGAGGAAACCCATCATGGTTAGGACGTATAAACCTAATTAAAATGGTAATTATACCTAAAATACTCTATAGATTTCAAATGATCCCAATCAAACTCCCAGAGGCGTTTTTTAAGATAATGAGAAGAATGCTAACAAGATATATATGGAGGAATAAAAAACCAAGAATATCATATGAAACACTAAGTAGGACTAAAGAGAAAGGGGGGATGGGACTACCTGATGTCAAGAGATATTACAAAGCTGTAATTTTAGCAAGAATTTATGACTGGACTTTTAACTATAAGGGGAAAAGTTGGGTAAAAATAGAAAATGAACTGAGTGGAATTAATTTGAGTAAGATGATATGGGTTCCAGCACAGTATAGAACAATTAAAGAAAGCACAAGCACTTACACTTTAAATGTGTTAAAGATATGGGATAATTTACACAAACATATGAAATGGGAATTCAACTCTATATTAATGCCTCTTGCAAACACGGAATTTTTCCCTCCAGGAAAAGATGAGATATCAGGGAGATGGTTTAAAAAGGAAGATATCCAATTGAGAGACGTATTGATAGAGGGGGAACTGAAAACATTTAAAGAACTAAAAGAGAGGGGAGGAGATATGTTTACTAAAATAGATGAGTGGAAATATCAACAATTAAAATGTTTTATTGGAACTCTCCAAAACCCTTGAGATTAAAAAAGGAGTGGAATATGTTTGAAAGGCTATTAGAAACACGGCGAGATGGGAAACACGGTGTTACAAAAATGTATAAAATACTCACAGAATTAGACACAGACACAAAGTTAATTTTTTTTAACAAATTGGGAAAGAGACATGGAGGTGGAGATAGATGAAGATCAACAGAGTAAGATATTTAGATTAGTTCACGAGAGTGTTAGTATGAGAGACGTTGAGATTAACTATAAATGTTTGACACGATGGCATATTACACCGAGCACTGAGCACAGGATGAGGGGGGAGAAGTCAAAAATGTGTTGGAGAGGATGTGGGAGGAGGGCACGGTGTTCCATATTTGGTGGCAATGTCCAAAAATTCAGGATTTCTGGAAGACAATAGTCAATTTAATAGAAATAATAACTGGAAATAACATAGGATTAGACCCAAACATGTGTCTCCTACATAATGTTGAGACAACAGTAAATAAATACAAAGAATCAGGAGTATGGTACTACTTAAGTGCTGCAAAAGGGTTGATCCCCAAGTTTTGGTGGAAGACAGAGGTGCTGACGGAGGAGGATTGGATCGATAGGGTAAACCAGATTAGTAGAATGGAAAAATCTTATTATACTCAGGAAGACAGGTTGAAATTATACTACTCGCGATGGGAAAAATGGGAAAAATCAGGACTAAAAGAGAAATATAGAAAACTCTAAACTAGGAAAGTTATTTAAAGTTATTGGGCCTTGAGAGATTGAAGATCTTGCAGAGGGGAGGGAGGGGGGGAGGGGGGAAAAGGTGGGTTTGGGAGAGAAGGAAAGAAAAGAGGTAAATAGGAAGGACAAAGTAGAAATGTATGGATTATTTATATGTATTGTGTTTCTTCTTATGGAATTTTTGTATTAACATGAAAAAATTAATAAATATTTAAATTAAAAAAAAAAAAATGAAAGGACAGTTGCTCCAGAGTTTAGTAAATGAGGTAAAGCTTCACTTTACAAAGTAAACCCAATTATTTTTGCTTGCACGTGACTGGATGATGGAAGTCAGCAGAGTTCCCTCATTTACTAAGCTCTGGAGCAACTTCACTTGCAGAGTGCACAGTCTATTTGTATTTAGTAAATCAAACCCAATGTGTTGTTACTAGGATAACGCAAGCATATCCAAAACCAAACCTTTTTATTTTGTTTCGGATAGAGATTTGTTAAAACCTCAGTCCATTTTTTTTGTCCCACTGGGGAGAATTACCTTTAATTCATATATTTTATATGGAAAAGGAAGTGAGAGGGATTGTTTACAAAGTAAGGAAGACAGTTGTCACTTAAGAAAGTGTCCCCACTGGAAGATTTCCCCTATATTCCTTTTCCCAGGACAACGTTTGGATTTTCCATTACTTTCAGTCTTGGGGACAATGAAAATCTTCATCAAAGACTCAGACAGCAATAAAACCTGGCAGACATCCCTACTCTATCCAGGGCCCGTGCAAGCAAAAGACTGCTTAGGCAGACACCTTAGGGCATCAGGATATGGGGGGTGGTAAAACCAAAATTCCTCCAACCAAAACTGAGATGTAAGTATTGGAAAAAGAGGAAGAGAAGGCAGAGTCCTCTCTCAGGACTGTCTGTTCCTGATCAGGGTCACCCCTCTCCTTTGCTCCATCTCGGAGAAAGAGCAAAATGCACCAGCCCTGACACTATTCAAGCCAAATGAACAGTTTTGGCTTCAAACACACTTTAACTTTTTACTGTGTTGGATATACTTAAATAAGATTGACATTATTACATTGGTCCAGCTTGGACCAGGCATATTTCATACCTGTGGGATCCCTCTAGAAGCTGGAAATGACTGTAGTGAACACCATTACTCCAGTGATCCCTTCTAGATTCTGGGTTACATGCAAAGCAGCTGCCCTGATGCATTGTGAACACTGGTGGTTGGCAACTTGACACAGGCACTACTCACAGATCGCTTTGCAGTTTTTTTTAGGAATGCAAAGCATTCTCTGATTAGACATGATGGAGAGGCATGGCAATGATCTCCACCTCATCCAATCAGAAAATGCTTTACATTCATTGAGAAGAGCAAAGCATTTTCTAAATGGCACTTGTGCTGAACGTCCGACCTCCTGTGTTCACAATGCAGCAGGGCTGCCACTCAGTATGGGACTAAAGCAGGCCATGATGAGCTGAAAACTGAACGAACATTCTTGTCGCTCGTCTGATCATTTGTTTTTTTACATCATTAGTGTGCACATCACATAGGCCTAGCGGCATGCCATCATAAGGCTTGGTGGCTAAACCCAGAGGAGATGACAGGCCTCCAGCTAATGTCACATAAGAAGATTGTGGCATGGGACAGAGTGGGGGCAGAATTCTAATAGGATTCTGCAGGACACCGAAGGATCTGCTGGCTGGGTGAGCATCTGAAATGTTCAGAACCCACATTGGGGTTTTGGAAAAAAAATGTAGGGGGTGCAGAGGGTGGAAACCCGCTTTAACACATTGAACACCATAAAATAAACATTTGTTGCAACACGGTGGTTTGTCCTTTTGAGGTTTGACAAAAGGGGGTGAGGAGGCAACATATTACCACCTAGTCATCTGTATATGGATCATTTGCTTGTCTGGTTGTCTTGACTCTGAGGAAGGGAGTGCGTCTCTTGAAACGCGTCAGCTATTACAATTGGTAACCTGTTCTACAGGACCACCACTACCTAGGACTGATTCACTTTGCTAAGTCTGTTTTCATGGTCCTTTTGTGAGTATGCACTTATCACTTTTTTTTATAATAAAGCATTTGATACCACAGCAATGCATGAGGAGAGTGCGCCCTGCTGTGCTTTTTCCACCCAGTCATCTGTCAGTCACCCTCTGATAATCAATCAACCACGGATCGTGTTTCAGAGGGCCGGCAGGGGCTGCCACATGTCTGAATGAGCCCTTAGTTTGTGCTTATTAATATCTCAGAATAAATGTAGCTCTGGTCTGGTCCACATTCCCTTGCCCTGACTTTATAGTAGCCGTATTGTAGAGGTGGTTATGCTTCTGGTAAGGAGTATTATTGTCACACATCAGACCGTAGTGACCAATCAGGTATCCTCTTATTGCAGACAGATGGAGGGACGTGAATCTTGCTATGGGGTATTGCACTGATCTTTTCCTTAAACCCTTACCTCTGACTCCAGCCAACCATTTAAGAGGTTCATTACATAGTTATTCCATTTGGAAAAAAAAAAACACTGTCCAATTCAGCCAAGAGGCCAGTAGGCAGGTTCCCAATCATGTAATCACTGTAATTGGCTATCACAGTGGTCACATGATCAGGAGCCTGTCCTACTGCATCCCAGGAGCTATCAGTAACAGCTCAGTTACAGCTGGGGATGTTGAGTGAGCATGCTCCCAGCACGAACCAGTAATGCCAACTGTATGCATGTATGTGAGAGTATGGCATTAAAGCCCACAGCTGTACTGCCAGATGGATATGGCCCATGGCAACAGGTTAATATATAAGCCTGTACTGTATATGTTTGTTATGTAAACTAAATTGATGGATTTTCTTTCTCTGTAGGGATACCGGATTTTTGTATACAGTGGAGATACAGATATGGCGTGCAACTTTCTAGGTATTGAATGGTTTGTGCATTCTCTTGATCAGGAGGTAAGTGTATTTGTGTACCTACAGCCTAAACAATTATGAATTTATTAGAGATCAATTAGAACCCTTGTCAACTTTTCATTGCTCTCTCTAGCGCTCTTTGGGAGCTTTATCCTTACTCCCTGTCTTTATACCAGATCTAGACAGAACAGGAAGTGAAGAAATTCTCCCCATTTCTTGATTAGTCTCCGTGCATGCTGGGCGTTTTGATAACGCTGGTAACATTAGCTGTGTGAAGTCACGTTAAAAACATGAGTTTTTCAGGTTATTTTTGCATTAGCGTTTAGCGGTTTTTTTGCCGCATTTAGCTGCATTTTTCAGCATTTTTTTATGTTTTTAAAAAAAAATAAAAAAATTTCTTGGTCAAATAAAGTCCAAAAACACTGGTTCGCGGAGTTTTACTGCATTTTGCCATGTGTTTCAGCGTTAGAGCATTTTTACAGTTAAAAAATTCCTCTAGAAACCCACTAGTCCTAGGTTTTTTCCAGCCAAAAAATGTCCCTGCCAAAAAAACGTTGATTACAGTCTGTGTGCATGGACACGTAGGATAACATGCTGGGGGGTTTACTGGCTGTAGACAAAAAAAAGTCAAAAGCCAAACACAGCCGCTGTAAAAATGTCCAGTGTACATGAGGACTTGTTCAGACAGAGCAGAAAGTGAGGGAAAATACTCCAACGGGGCACAGGCAACACATGACCCAGTAAGGGGGTCTATAAAATCACAAAAGAATGAACCTGTAAGGAAAACTGTATTGTACATTCAGTACCTGGCCATTACTCTGCTTGCTAAAACTTCACACTGTAGTAGAGCCCCTGTTGCTGATCCTATTCAAATTCATGGATTGGTTGAAGAGCTTGTCCATTCTGGTTCTTCTTGCTGATCCCTACTCACTGCAGCACTCAGTAATGACCTAAGGGTTGTCAGGAGCAACTGCAGTGGCCAGAGAGGGACATGCTAAACCATATACCTGGAAGTGTGGTGGACAGGCATGTATGAAGCTGTTTTCCTTATAGGTTAGTTCAACTGTGACTTTGTAGAGGACTTGGAATCGCATACATTTTGAGCACTAGTGCTAGACGTGGGAGGATGCACCGACACATCTTCCGAGAATGACGCTTGTCCCACTCGGCTACATATAAGCAGACAAGTTTTACATTAAAGTATTACTAAACCCACAACAGTAAAATCAGTCTGTATATGCAGTAAAGCATGATTGTTATACTCACTAAGCGGTTAATATTCTGCATTTTGTAAAAACGCTGTTTGATCCTCCCCGTCTTCCAGTGTCCCCTCTTATCTCTTGATAAGACATATAATGTGGAGTCACTCTGCACATGCTCAGTTTGGTGTATTGCTAGAGAGGTTTTTCTTTTCTTAGAAAAGTGCATGTGATCAGCACAGGGCGAATCAGCACTGTCCAGACAGAGGTCAGGGGTCCTGCATCTTCCTAGAGCAGAATGAAAATGTCTCCTATAAGCATTAACCAGTGCCCTGCTGGACACTGATAGAAGTCACAAGATTGCTCTAACTGATGATGAGAAAAGCTATTTAGCAGTTTATATTTACTAAAATAATTGCATTTCCATGTTGTGTGTACTGTGGGAGACCAGATATAGTGAATGCAGGTTCCTGGGTTTAGTAACACTTTAAGAACAGATGTTAGGGTTATGTTTAGAGCTGTTGGTTGGTGTTAGCAGATAGGTTGTTGTAGAAAACATTTTAAACTGGATCTCTGGATCACACAAGAAAGGATTAGCCATCAACAGGGGCGGACTGACAACTCATGGGGCCCCCGGGCAATAGGGGATCATGGGGCCCCTGTGTCCTTGCCCAAACTCAAAAAAGCCTATGAAAAAAGTACCAGGGGCATCTCATGGGGCCCCCTACTGACCCCGGGCCCTCGGGCAGTGCCCGAGTTTCCAAATGGTCAGTCCGCCCCTGGCCATCAATTAAGATTTAGCTCACCTTGGAACTCTGTAATATATGGCATCTGGCTTTAATATAAGGCATTGAATAACCTGATATTTTACAAACGGGTCTTATCAGTATCAAAGAACAGATATAAAACTGTCCTCTGCATTTAAGTGATACTTTCATCATATTATCATCATATCCATCATATTCCATTTTGCACACTGGAATGCATTCTTTATAGTTGCAGGTACCCTACAATGCATGGGTGTATGAGGAAGAGGGCCATCCACAGATTGCGGGATTTGTAAAGCAATATGCCAATCTTACCCTTTTGACTGTGAAGGTACCGTATCACTAGCTGTTGTTTTTTCCTTTGATCAAACAGCAACACATAAACATTTCCTTCCCCTCAGCTTCTTAGGAAACTAAATATTACACATCCTCTCTGTAGGACATTCATTACATAGTTTCTCTTTGACCACAGTTTTCTTACTTATGTTGTTACAGTCTGTCTCTATGTAACACTTTGGGGATCTGTTTATAAACAAAATCCACTGTGCGAACGTTCCAGTTATTCACCTAGTCGTTGCAAATTATTCTCATAATGTGTGGAAAATGTGAAAATCAAATGATCATAAGCTCCATCTAGAGGCCATAATGAGGTATTTTCCTGATTGAGGTATTTCAGGAAAATATCGCATTATGGACACTAGGTAAAGCTGTTATTGAAGGAAATACAAAAATGTCATACATTACAGGGATTTTTTGCGACAACTGTGTGAATGAGACATTTGCCTGGTAAATTTGTAATAAATATGTAGTGCCCTCCTAGTTAGCTAGGGGAATCTACAGTCCTGATCGTTAGAGAGGAGGGCTGAGTAGCAGCCTGGGTATAATAGTCAGAAAGTTAAATTGTAGTCAGGAGCTGAGAGGCTCTGTAGGCCAGCCCTTCTGGAATTTCCCACTAGAGCTTTGGAAGAAGGCCTAGAGCCAATGGGTGGATCTGAAGAGTGGTTGACTGCACTCTTGAGGGATCCTGGCCAATCCCCAACAGGAGACTTGGTAAGGGGCCAGGACACCCTTACAAAGTGAGCCTGTTCAGAAGCAGAGAGAGTTCGGGTAGAAGACAGTAAGGAAGATGTGAGGCTGATGGCCTGAGAGGGGGCCCAAGCGGAGAAAGGGGCCTACCTACAAGCAGCAGGGCTGGAAAGGAAGAAAGCTCAGAGCTTCACTGGCCCCCAGTGCGAGGACCATCTGTACAGCAGGGAAGAAGCGGCCCCGCTTGCAGCCACCAACTCATCAGCGGCACAGTAGAGGGGATCTGAGTGAGTACCCCTGCACCCCCTGGGAGGATAAGGGAAGGTGCACTCTGGTGGGAAACAGATTTGCCACCTACCTGGGACTGTCCATTTCTTAAGGCGACAGGAAATGGATCCTCTGTTCAGGGATACCTCCAGATTGCTGGGGGAAGGAAGAGTTCATCTAGGGTCTGGGGTGGTACATTAGGAGATGCTGGCTAGCTCTCCAACGCAGACTGTGTTGCAGTGAAGGCTTGTAAATAGTTCCAGGAAGTTGTCCTCAGTTCATCAGTTCCCTTGGGCATTCTGTACACCCCCAACCCTATCCCAGTTCAAATTCCCTAAATAAAAATAACAAAAACAAAGGTCAAGGACTGATTTCTGACTCTGGATGTACGTCTATGTGAAGATGCGTGTTGCTTGGTTGTGCAGAACTATAGGGGGACCTAAATCTCTAGCGACTCCTAAGGGGGTAGTGCTACAAATAGATCACTTTGTGTCTCTAGTAGTCTCATCACCTTGTTCATGCACGTTCTGCCAAACTTCAAACTTCAACTCCCATGAAGCTCAATCATAGTTTTTGTTATAGATACATGTAACACCCTGTCTCCCCTCATAAGTTTCTTTCTTTTTTTTAAACCTGTGGTTTGTGTAATAAAAAACACTCTTCCTACTAACCAACCATCATTAGAGAAAACTCTTAACAGATTCTAATCCATGACAAAAAGGAGAGGGAGGATGGGACAATGTTCCTTTAACACCAATTGTCCTTTGATCAATGATCTTCCAAATTTGCTCCATCCCTTCGGTGATGCCACTTCCATCCTTTACCAGACCCTACATGCCTCCCTTCTCTCCTCTTCTATCAGCCCACCCTGTCATGTGCCTCTTCGCCTAGGGGTGTACCACTCAGGGTAATCTTTACTGTTGGTCATAGTAAGCAGTCAAATTACAAAATGTAATTTGGAACCTGCCTTGGAAAACCCATTGTTGGAACATGACTGCATCTCCATTTTTTTCATAATGGGGACCTTCTCATGCTTTGTGCTGTGTTTGGCAAATAATTTTGTTATAGACCAAACACATTCCCTTATTGCGTGGCAATCTCAAAAGGAATAGATATCTCCTTTCTCCTTCAACTGTTTCATAAGCAATGTTTAACCTGCTTCACAGTGATTTTACCCCTCTGCTGCCCTGTAATTATCTAAATATAGATCCCTCTGCTTATTGTTGCCTAAAAGCCATTTACCAAACAACTAAGGTCAAAAACAATTTAACCCACCAAAAAACCTTCACTTGTGTTGGGTAAAGCAAAGTCTTCCATACAAAAAATATCTGTCAACAGGCAGAATGGAAAAACCATTTACATGACCAGATCTGCTTGTGTATTTTTTTAAGGCCATGTTGATGGTCTTCCACTAATTTGGAAGTCTGGCTCAAGTGTACAAAGTTTGAATCTGCTAATGATATCAACATTTATGGAAGATTAGGGGCCAGAACAGTCCTAAAATCCGGTGCCTTTAAATTACCACTGACCAATAATGATTTCTCTTTCCTTTTTTGTAGGGAGCTGGCCATATGGTAGCAACAGACAAGCCCAAAGAAGCTTCCATGTTATTCCATCATTTCATCAATAATGAGCCCTTCTAGGCCATGGCTATCTGTGACATGAACACGCAAACCTTTATAAAACTAGACTCTTCTGTAACTCTCTGTCCTAACTGTTTGTTATACATTGTTTTACCAGGTACAACAGTTTGCTTTTTCTTAGTGATGGTGATGTCCTTTACATGAGATATTGCTTTTCAGAATAATAACATCTGCAATAATAAATGCCTTTTGCTGGATAGATACTTATGTGTGCTGGTATTTTAGCTAGTTAAAGTATATATCCCACAAAAAAGTTAAAGAGGTTCTTCAGTCAAGTGTAAGAAAATTAAAAGTCAGACGCTACAACTGCTGCAGTGGCTGACTTTTAATAATAAGACACTTACCAGTCCAGGGATCCAGTGCTATCCTAACCAGACCGGTTCTTTGTTTTTGGGTCCCTGACGCTTCCACGTTAAGTGTGGGAAGCTGGTTGTGACTCCTTGCAGCTTCACAGCCAGCTCTCTACTGTGCATGTGTGTGAATGGTCCCACAGTCTCATGGAACCTGTGATATGTCTCAAGAGGTTGCAGGGAGTAGGGGGGCCATCTTCTGGTGGAATTGGCTAGACAATTCCAGTGGACGTAGGGAGTGGGTACCTGTCAAAACTAGGAACCCCCCCCCCCCCAAGAAAAAACTGTTGTTACTTTTTGGATTTGGAAGAGCAGCACTTCTGTTTTCAGTGAAGTTCCACTTTAACATGCTCATGTCATCTCAAAAGTCACATTTAATACTGTAGCTTTCATTGAAGTAATACCTGGCGATACTTCCATTGATGTCCTTAAAGCAGAGCTCCACCCGAAGTTCCACTTTAAGGACTGGTCCACCACTCCCCATTAAGAATTGGCACCTTTGGGGAGCGGGGGGGAGTGAGCACCCAAAATTGACAGGCACCCGCTCCCACTTCTACTGTTGTCCTCCCCCCTCCTTCCCTGAAGTCTTCTGGGACACGTCCCAGAAGACTACGAGACCATTCAGAAAGCGCAGCACTACTCGTGCATGTGCAGTGGGCAGCCGGTGTGAAGCCGCAAGCTGTGACAGCCGGGTGCCCACACAAAAGATGCTGGCGCCAGGGACACCGGACAGCCGGTGAAACGGGCTATGGAGAAGACACCGTGGGATTGAGGGACAGGTGAGTGGTTGTTTTTTAAAAGTCAGCAGCTACAGTTTTATTTTTTTACAGAGTGACTGGGACTCTGCTTTAAGGCACATCCTATTCTAGGGTGGCAACCCTCTGTTCCTGTCTTCCAATTGTGCTGTCACCCTGGTAATGGTGACCAAAAGTAGCTGTTTCAACACAAGTTAGGCTAGGATCACATCTATGCTTGTGCATTTTTTATGCATTTTCATTCTTTCTGAATTTTTTTTGTAGTAGGAGGAGACTGGTTGTTAAACACAAAATCCTACCAAAACACATTAAAAATCATGTTTTTTAACAAATATCTTAAAAGTGTGGCGTGCATTTGTTTTCAGCCCCCTTTACTTTGATACCCCTAACTAAAATCTAGAGGAACCAATTGCCTTCACAAGTCACCTAATTAGTAAAAAAAAAGTCCACCTGTGTGTAATTTAACCTCAGTATAAATACAGCTGTTCTGTGATGCCCTCGGAGGTTTTTTTTAGAGAACATTAGTGAACAAACAGCATCATGAAGGCCAAGGAAGACACCAGACAGGTCAGGGATAAAGTTGTGGGAAGTTTAAAGCAGGGTTAGGTTATAAAAAAAAATCCCAAGCTTTGAACATCTCACGGAGCACTGTTCAATCCATCATCTGAAAATGGAAAGAGTATTGCACAAGTGCAAGCCTACCAAGACATGGCCGTCCACCTAAACTGACAGGCTGGGCAAGGAGGGCATTAATCAGAGAAGCAGCAAAGAGGCCCATGGTAACTGCAGAGATCCACAGCTCAGGTGGGAGAATCTGTCCACAGGACAACTATTAGTCGTGCACTCCACAAATCTGGCCTTTATGGAAGAGTGGCAAGAAGAAAGCCATTGTTGAAAGAAAGCCATGAGAAGTCCCATTAGAAGTTTGTGAGATGCCATGTTGGGGGCACAGCAAACATATGGAAGAAGGTGCTCTGGTCAGATGAGACCAAAATTGAACTTCTTCGCCTAAAAGCAAAACGCTATGTGTGGCAGAAAAGTAACACTGCACATCACCCTGAACGCACCATCCCCACCATGGAACATGGTGGTGGCAGCATAATTTTTTTCAGCAGGGACAGGGACGCTGGTTAGAGTTGATGGGAAGAGGGATGGAGCCAAATACAAGGCAATCTTAGAAGAAAACCTGTTAGTCTGCAAAAGACTTGAGACTGGGGTGGAGGTTCACCTTCCAGCAGGACAAAAACCCTAAACATACAGCCAGAGCTACAATGGAATGGTTTAGATCAAAGCATATTCATGTGTTGGAATGGCCCAGTCAAAGTCCATAGCTAAATCCAATTGAGAATCTGTGGCAAGACTTAAAAATTGCTGTTCACAAACGCTCTTCATCCAATCTGACAGAGCTTGAGCTATTTCAAAAGGAAGAATGGGCAAAAATGGTACTCTCTAGATGTACAAAGCTGGTAAAGACAGCCCCAAAAAGATTTGCAGCTGTAATCACAGTGAAAGGTGGTTCTACAAAGTATTGACTTGAGGGGCTGAATACAAATGCACGCCACCCTTTTCAGATATTTATTTGAAAAAAATTTTGAAAACCATTTATCATTTTCCACTTCACAATTATGTGCCACTTTGTGTTGTTCTGTCACATAAAGTCCCAATAAAATATATTTACGTTTTTGTTTACAACATGACAAAATGTGGGAAATTCAAGGTTTATACACATATATATATATATATATATACATACAGCTGAAAAAAAATTAAAGGAACACTTTTTAATCAGAGTATAGCATTAAGTCAATTGTTAAGTAGCAGAGGGGGTTGTTAATCAGTTTCAGCTGCTTTGGTGTTTATGAAATTAACAACAGGTGCACTAGGTGGACAAAAATGAGATGACCCCCAAAACAGGAATGGTTTTTCCCACTGCTCATCTTTTCTAACGTTTTTCACTAGTTTTGCATTTGGCTAGGGCAGTGGTCGGCAAGCCGCGGCTCTTTACACGCTTTAATGTGGCTCTTGTGTGCCGGGCGCCCGCTCCCCTCCCTCCTCTCGGGCGACAGGGACTCTGCAGCGTGATCCAAAAAAAAACAGCCAGGGCAGCGCGCTCAAATGCAATGATTGGCCAGTCTCGCTGCCACTCACATCCTGATAGCCAGTGATTGGCTGTCAGGATGTGTGTAGGCGGGGCAGCGTGACGAACGTGAGAGGAGCTAGGCTCCTCTCACAGTCCGCCCTGAAGACCGGAACGGCGGCGGGAACACGGCGAGAGGAACGTGCGGAGCAAAGGTAAGTGAATGGACACAGGGGGGACTTGGCTTACTACTTGCTACTTACTTACTACTACTATATGAGGGATGAATAATATGGGGGATGAATTACTATAGGGGGGATGAATTACTATGGGGGGTGAATTACTATGGGGGATGAATTACTATAGGGGGGATGAATTACTATGGGGGATGAATTACTATAGGGGGGATGAATTACTATATGGGGGATGAATTACTATGGGGGATGAATTACTATATGGGGGATGAATTACTATGGGGGATGAATTACTATGGGGGATGAATTACTATATGGGGGATGAATTACTATGGGGGATGAATTACTATATGGGGGATGAATTACTATGGGGGATGAATTACTATGGGGGATGAATTACTATATGGGGGATAATTACTATGGGGGATGAATTACTATATGGGGGATGAATTACTATGGGGGATGAATTACTATATGGGGGATGAATTACTATGGGGGATGAATTACTATATGGGGGATGAATTACTATATGGGGGATGAATTACTATATGGGGGATGAATTACTATAAAAACTTATTGAAACTAAAAACAGTGTACCATCCTATGTATTTTCAGTTTTAAAAATGTGGCTCTCAAAATAAATTTCAATCGTGGTTTTGGCGAGATTTGGCCCAGTTGAAAAAAAAAGGTTGCCACCACTGGGCTAGGGTCAGTGTCACTACTGGTAGAGTGAGACAATACCTGGACCCTACAGGGGTTGTACAGGCAGTCCAACTCCTCCAGGATGGTACATCAATATGTGCCATTGCCAGAAGGTCTCAAGAGCATGGAGGAGATTCCAGGAGACTCTAGGAGAGCTGTAGCAAAGAAATTTCATAGATGGACTTGCACAGGTGGCAACCTATCACGGTATCACAAATCACTGAGCTCTGAGAGCGACTCATTCTTTCACAAATGTTTGTAGAAGCAGTCTGCATGCCTAGGTGCTTGATTTTATATACCTGTGGCCATGGAAGTGAATCCAATGATTTAGAGGGGTGTCCCAAAATTTTTGGCAATATGGTGTATGTGTGATTTTATACGTATTCTATAGCTGGCCATATACCAGGGTTCCCCAAAGTGGTCAACATTGACTCTTAAAGGAGAAGTTCACCTTTGGAACGTGTTACATGTTCCACCTGTTTTTAGGGTGGAACATGTAACATGTTCCAGCATCGGCAGTCTCTCACCCTCATCCCCCGTCCCTGTGACAGGGGGTGGGGGATCTTCTCCCTGAACCTGCTGTCACGATTTGAAAATAGCACAGCTGTGTGGGGCTCCACCCATATGGCTGAATCATTCATTCAGAGTTTTCTGTGAATTAATGCCTACAAATACCATCAGCAAATGTGGCTGACGGCTTGTAGTTCTCAATGAACTGCAAGAGCAATGGTGGGCTCTCTAGTAGTTCATTGTTCATCTGGCTCTCAGATAACTGCCTGCCTGTATGAGGTATGGGCAGACAGCTATCCCGAGAGTCTGCAGGAGCCTCAGATTGCTGATCGCAGGTGCAATGCTCTGCAGGCGCCTTCAAAAAATAAGAATAAATGTACATTTTTTTACTTGCAAAGGTGAACTTATCCTTTAAGGGGCAATGGGACTATCTAATGGGTCAATAAAATGTCTGGGGGTTATATGTGGTAGATAAATGATGGATAGCTAATTGGAGTAAATTAATCTTTTGAGGTTTCTGTAGAGCTCTTAATCAGTCCCTAGTTCTGAAGGTGAGGTGGCTAGCAGCAAGACATTGTTACCCAGGACCAGGTAGTCAGCTGATAGCGAGAGCAGTTTTTAGTTGATTCTGTCAGTTGTGTGTTGTTACTAGCCTCTTTTACCAGCAAGCTTTGCATCATAAGTCTGTGACATTCAGACCTCCTCCTTCAGGAAGGATAATCACTGATCAGTGATAATTTTATGATCACTGATAGGTTAAGGAGTAACAATGATTATCTTGTTACAATGGCATCTGAAAGTCAGTGGCATATATTAGGCAGATAGTAAACATGTTGTTTCTGAAGTTGATCTGTTGAAAGCAGAAAAGATGGGCATCACAGTTTGTTGTGTATGGGGCTGCATAGCCTTAGACCAGTCAGGGTGTCCATGTTGACCCATGTTCACAGATAAAAGAGACTACAATGGGCATCTGAGCATCAGAACTGAACCATGGAGCAATGAAAGAAAGTGGCTTGGTCTAGTGAATCTCATGTGGATGGCCAGGTGCATGTGTGTCTCTTACCTAGGGAAGAGATGGCACGAGGATGCAGTATGGGAAGAAGGCAAGCCAGAGGAAGAAGTATGATACATTCTGCAATGTTATGTTGGGAAACAGTGAGTTCTTCCATTCATGTGGATGTTACTGTGACATGCACTGCCTCATAAACATTGATGCTGAACAAGTACACCCCCTTCATGTAAATGATATTCCCTGATGGCAGTGTTCTTTTTCAGCAGGATAATATGCCCTGCCACACTGCAAAAATGGTTCAAAAATGTTTGAGGAACACAACAACAAATTCAAGATGTTGATTGGCCTCAAAATTATCCAGATCTCAATCCAATTGAGCACCTGTGGGATGTGCAGGAAAAATAATCCCAATCCATGGAGGCCCCACCGCACAATTTACAAGGCTTACAGGTCTGCTACTAAGAGATTGGTGCCAGATACCACAGCCTATCTTCAGAGGTCTGTTGGCATCATTGCCAGATCTAGCCTGTCTGATGTGGTGGTGCAGTAAAAAAGATGTCAGGGGGCCAGAGGATGCAAGGTCAACAGGGCAGTGTATAGAAGTCAATAGGGCAGTATACAGGGGGGGGGGGGCAGCAGGGCAGAGAGATAGGGTCAGCAGTTTGTAGGGCAGACTACAGAGGCCATTAGTTTGTAGGGCAGTTTACAGTAGGGCAGAGGGTCATGTGGACTGAGGATGAGAGGTCAGCAGGGGAGTGTACAAGAGTCAGTAGGGCACAAAATAGGGGTCAGCAGGGCAGAGGATGAGAGATCAGCAGGGGAGTGTACAAGAGTCAGTAGGGCAGTATACAGGAGTTCAGTAGGGCAGAAGATAGGGGTCAAAAGGGCAAAGGACAGGGGTCAACAGATGAGAGGACAAGGGTCAGCAGGGTGGAGAACAGGGGTTATCAGGGCAAAGACAGGGCAGAAGAAAGGTGGTCAGCAGGGCAGAGGACAGTGGTCATAAGGGCAGTGTACAGGGGTCAGCAGGACAGGGTACAGAGGGTCAGCAGGGTAGACGACAGGGGTCAGAGGAGAAGAGGACAGGGTCAGAATTGCAACATAGCAGCCATCTATACACTGCAGGTTGAGCTGTACTCTGTAAGAGAATTTGATTTCTGCTATGTGCTGTGTGGAGAGAAGGAGATCTATTGACTGCCCTGTGTGTGTGGTGCAGGCAGCACCCCCCCCCCCCCATGTGTGAGCATTCTGTTTCAGCATAAATCCCCCCCTCAAAAAAAAAAAGCACTAATCAGCACGCTCCCCCAAGCACAAATTCTGTCTGCAAGCCAAAATTTTTCCCCAACAACAATGCACAAATTTCCCCTCCTCCCAGTATAAACCCCTCTCCCAGCACAAATTCTTTTTCCCCCAATCCTGCCTTCAATGCCCCCAATTCGCCCCTCTTAGAACAAATCTCCCTCACCCCAAAAATCCCCCCTCCATGCACATATCCACTCCCCCCTCCAATTTCCCATCCTAACACCAATCTACCCAAAATTTTTCTTCTTAGCATATATCCCGCCTCCTTCCACAAAGTACTCCCACAATTAAGCACATCGACAGGGAAAGAAAAATGCAAGGGTTAGGTCTAGGGTGGTTCTAAAAGCACTTTTATTTTCCCAGTCCTGGGCTTTGCATGGATCTTGATGACATCAGAGGGAATCTGACCACTGGAGCAGTCTTTCTCAACCAGGGTGCCCAGGCACCCTGGGGTGCTTTGAGGTTTCTTCAGGGGTGCCTTGGCAAAATGTCTGCAAATTGCCCAAAACTTGTATACAAACCAGTGGGAGGACCTTAGTTCCACAAAGCCACAGATTTTCATAGTGCACCATTATGACCTTCTAGCTGCCGGCGTCCTGACAACCATTGACATCATCAGTTGAGAAGGAGGATGCACAGCATTCCAGTTTGACCCTCCCCTGCCCCTCGCCATCAGTGCTGGGGTTACATTAGCTCAGTAATGGAGAAAAACTGAGGGAGAAGAGAAACCATGGAATACTACTCAGTACCAGTGTGCAAAAGTATATTTGCTTTGGAAGACTAAATCACCTCTAGTGTTGGGTGTCCTACAGGTGTGAATGTTGCTATTAGAATAGTTTTTTCAATTTTAGAATGGGGTGCCTATTTAGAGTTATGGACAGTCTTGAGGCACCCATTTTAGATTGGGGTGCCTCAAGAATGTCCATAATTTTAAAGGGTGCCTTGAGGCTGTCCATAATTTTAAAGGGTGCCTTGACTGAAAAAAGGTTGAGAAACACTGCACTGAAGCATAGAGAAGTGGCTGCGAGGCTTGGTCTTAAAGCCTGGAGGGAGCCAGTGAGTACAAACACCTCAAATTATGCTGGAGAACCAGTGAGAACACCCATCTCAAACTCTGTTGAAAAGCCATTGAGTGCACATAGCTCATATTCTACTGGAGAGCAGGTGAGTACACCCACCTCAAACTCTGTTGGAGAACCAGAGAGTACACCCATTCCAGATTCTGTTGGTGAGCCAGTGAATACACCCATTCTGTTGAAGAGACAGTGGGTAGACCCACCTCAAACTCTTCTGGAAAGTCAGTGACTACACCCACCTCAAAATCATTTGGAGAGCCAGTGAATGCACCCACCTCAAACTCTTCTGGAAGCCAGTGAGTACACCCACCTTAAAATCATTTGGAGAGCCAGTGAATGCACCTACCTCAAACTCTTCTGGTAGCCAGTGAGTACACCCACCTTAAACTCTGCTGGAGATCCAGTGAGTACACCCAATTCAAATTCTGCCAGAAAGGCAGTAAGTACACTGATCTTAAACTTTGTCAGGGAGCCAGAAAGCCTCAAAATTGTTGGAGAGCCAGTGAGTACAGTACACCCACCTCAAACAATGTTAAAGAGCCAGTGAGTACATCCACCTAAAAATATTTTGGTGCGTCAGTGAATACACCTATTCTGTCTGAGAATCAGTTGAGTACACCCACCTTAAACTCTGCTGATGTTGTTGTTGATTCTGTCTGTACACATTCAGGAAGGCCCTACTACATAGTTTTTGGGAGATCTAAAGGAGGAGCCGTACAATAAGACTGTAGTGTGTATGGACACTTTAAGTCACCCCTGGACTGGCCTAAAAATCCAAGGGTCTCCCAAAATGAGTCACTTTAGACTATATATCAGTCTACAGGAAGCACTCTGTGTCATATTAATTGCCAGAAGCATTCCATTAGGATCCTTATTCTTGACTTTAAAATACTAGCACACATAGCTATGTTTAGCTAGCAAAATACATTTATTGATGGGGACATAATAAAAGCAATAGGTAATTTCGAGTACATTACAATCATTAGAGTGGTTGTAAACCCTTATATATGGACAGTGAAGTGACTGGCCTCAGTGATACACAGAAATGAAACAAATCCTCCTACATAAGTTGTACCTGTCTATCTGCAGTCTTCTCTTCTCTACATTTGTTCAAAAGTGCTGAATTTTAAAGCTTATCTGAGAGTTACACTCTGCAGAGCTTCAGTGAGGAGAGCTCTGAAAGCTGATTGGAGGAAAGAGACACACCCCCTCCACACAGCTCAGAGGAACAGAGCTGAGGCTGTCACTCTGCTGAGAGTCCCTCCCCCATCACCATTTTTCTCTTGGTGTCAGAAACACCTGTCAGAAGTGACTCATGCAGATAGAAGACAGAAATGACACTTAGTGCTCTAAATTGAGACAAGTACACAGTATAGAGAGATATGCTTTGTTCATAAATCACGTGTGAGGTTTTCAACCACTTTAATACAAACAAATTGTAAAACTTTTGTGATCAGTAACACAATAGCTAACAGATAGCATGCAGAATAATATAAATGTCTGGTTTTAGGTTTTTGTTCCGATGTCATGGAGCGGAGTCATCTAGAAGGGTTCATTATTGATAAAATGATGGAATATGATGAAAGCTGCTTCGGGTTTGTCTTCTGGTACCATATGACCGGCTCCCTGTTAAACAAAGAAAATGGAAAATAGCATAGTAAAGCTGCAATATTTTGATGGTGGAAAGACCAATGTACTAAGCAGACTGCATTAAGTGTCATGATTTTGACAGTGTGTTTGGTTTAACTAAAGAAGGTTTACCCTTTCGGATAAGTATGATTACCTCATGTGATAATCAGAATGACGTGTACTTAAAATACATGTTGCATTGTAAGAAGCAGTATATTCCAGCACATAGACAGAAACCACCATTTCTACTTTATCTCTGACGTGTCCAGTCCAGTGCAATGGGTGTTTCTTTACTGGCTTGTAAGGTCAATCCATTGTACTGTAGATATGACTGAGCACAGGCCTGGAGCTAAGTCGGCATACTAGGTGTATAAAGTAAAACACAGTGAGCGCTCCCGATGAAGCAGCAAATGCACTAAGGTAACCATAAAAAAACCTCTGCCAAAATGTAAACAAGGAGTGCAGTGCTAAAATTCAAATGAAGGCTAAACCAATAAAATGTATAAATAACATTAAATTCATAGAAAGTTCATAAAAGTTCATAAATTGATAGTAGTGATATAAGATCCCAACCGCAGCGATATTCAAGGGCTTGTGCTTTGAAGGTAAAGTAAAAATGCGCACTCACCAGATGCGCATTGAATATGCGCATATAAATATATCCAATATGGTCCATTTTGGGGAACGGGATATGCCAGGCATTTGGCAAACTTCCTTCAGGGTGTTAAACAGCACAGCAGAAACTCTTGGGCTGGGTAAGTGGTCAGCTCATCCAGAGTACCCCTTTAAGGATGGATGGGTCTGCAGCCTGTTTTACAGGGATTCCCTCCTCTGGGTGCTTGAATGAGCCAGGCTCGCAAGAAGGCTCTAAAGGTGCTTCTCAAGCAATAGAATTTAATTTGTTATTGATACATTTTATTGGTTTAGCCTTCATTTGAATTTTAGCGCTGCACTCCTGGCATACTAGGTGTAGTCAAGTCTTAGGATTCCGGAGTTGCCATAAAGAAGAGATATTCACTAGACATGTGTGATTTGTTTAGTTATGGATCGAAATTCGGACAAAATTTTTGTTATTCAAAGATTTGGATGTATCCAAATCCCGGTATCACAATATTAACGAATTTCAACGAATTTCAACGAATGCAAAATAAATTATAACGAAAAACAACAAATTAACTTGTATTCATTTGTTTTATTCAGATGACATGATGTGATCGTTAGGGCCATTTGTTAAGGATTTAAGCATCTGAAAAAAAGATGTAGCAACATAACAGATGACTCTAATTGGTTTGCATCTTTGTGTTTTATTCGGATGAGAGCAGTGCGGTAGTCTTTGACTAATCAGCTGATTCTTTTTGCATTAACATTTTTCATTATTATAAAAAATGCACAACATTTTTTGGAGAGTTAGCCTGGGTCAGGTTTAAGAGAAGGTTAATTGTAGAGGGCAGGTACTTTACCTTCAGGCTGGGTTCAAAAATATGCAGTGTGGTATATTGCATGTGATTCACACAGGAAACGCAGCGTATTCCTGTGCAAATCACATGCGAATTGTGTGCGATGCGATTGGAGCCATACATTTTCTTTGGCTCAAATTGCACCGCATCCACACCAAAAAGGTGCAGGACCCTTTTATTTGTCTGCACTAGAATCGGATCGCATGGGTATTCACACCCATGCAATGCACATCGCACCGTGTTTTGTGGACCAATTTCAGGGTGATGTTAACATACACACCCGCAGCGGTTCGCATAATATGGTGCAGAATTCGCACAGAAAAAGCTGCGAATTCTGCACTGCATCAGTGTGAACCCAGCCTCGGGCCTGTTTATTAACCAGCAGAGCAGAGGGGATGGCTGATGGCAGTTTTGCTGTCTGCAATTAGGAGACCTGGAAGCAGCCTGCAAGTTTCCATAGCCTGACTTTGACCTGTTGGGTGAGCTTTCCTTTTTTTTTTTTTTTCGCACTATAAAGGAAAAAAGACTGAAATATTTGAAGAAAAAAAAATGTTTCTTTGTTTCTATTATAAAATTTTGCAATTTTTCTCCTTCACTTATGTGCGTTGATGAGGATGCACTGATAGGCAGCACTGATGGGCATTGATGAGGCAGCACTGATGGGTACTGATAGGTTGCACTGATGGGCACTGATGAGGCAGCACTGATGGGTACTGATAGGCTGCACTGATGGGCACTGATGAGGCAGCACTGATGGGTACTGATAGGCTGCACTGATGGGCACTGATGAGGCAGCACTGATGGGTACTGATAGGCTGCACTGATGGGCACTGATGAGGCAGCACTGATGGGTACTGATAGGCTGCACTGATGGGCACTGATGAGGCAGCACTGATGGGTACGGATAGGCTGCACTGATGGGCACTGATGAGGCAGCACTGATGGGTACTGATAGGCTGCACTGATGATGGGCACTGAAAGGCAGCACTGAAGGGCACTGATTGATGGCACTGATGAGCACAGATTAGCAGGGCTGTTGGGCACTGAAGGTCAGCACTGCTGGGCACTATTGGGCACTTTTGGGGCTGCACTGATATTCAGGGAAGTGATAATGAGTGCTCTGATTATCTTTGTAGATGTCTGCTTTGACAGCTGCCAGTTATCAGTTACTTTCCTCGCGCTATGACGTCAGGAAAGTACTGCCGATAACCAGCAAGTGTATTTACATGGTTATCAGCTGTGATTGGACACAGCTAATCACAAATTAAAAGGCAGCCGTGATTGGCCTTTTACCGTTTCATGTGATGAGCTGTGTCCAAAGGGCACAGCGATCACAGAGAGCGCCAAGTGCATGCCGCTGGGGGTGGGCATTCTGGGAGCATGTTATATGACGCCCTCCCAGAACTGGGTGACCGCACTGTAGCCATCATTCGGCTATAGCGCTGTCAAAACAAAACCCAAACACACGCATGGAAATAAAAAAGAAACAGGATTTTTGCTCAGACGTTATTGGAAGATTGAAGGCAGTACAACTTTACCTCATTTACTAAGTTAGGTAAAAATTCCTTTTCAAACTTAAAGTTCAACTTTGCTATGTGAATGGCCTATACTTCTTTAGTAAATTGACCCCAATGCATGAAGTATAGAATCCATGATTTGACAAGGACAGTACAGAAAGAGTGAAGATGGTGTGGAAGACTTGTAGAGGGATAAGGTGTGATACAGAGGCATGAGGTGGACATGACAAGAGTAGGGAAGACCTAAAGAAATGAGTATCCAATCTTAGGAATTGTACGGAATGATCAAAGAAGGAGAAGCTGCAATATAGATATTACTTATATGGTACCTTCACAGTCAGAAGAGTAAGATTGGCATATTGCTTCACAAAACCCGCAACCTGTGGAGGATCCTCCCCTGTGTACCACCATACATTGTAGGGTACCTGCATCTACATGGTATAAAGAATACATTACACAGTGCAAGCTGGGGAACAACACATACAAACAATATATTCCAAGGTGAGCTGAATTTAACGTGGAACCTCAGCCAAAAGCATGATTTCATTTTGGACTGAATGTTGAAAGGTTAGAACCTAATGTTGTTATTGCTGTATCTGTCAAAGTTGGCTAACACCAAGCCCACATAGAAATCGCACAATCGTTCCAGTGCAATTCACACCGCATTCAAAACGCACTCCATTTGCGATCTGCAGTGGGTGTCAATAATAAGTCAATGGCACCCCAAAAGCAGGTCGCAAATGCAGGGCGTTTGCTTGCACCAGGATTGCATGGCAGTGCAGTGCAGTTCAGCTCCAGTGCATTTCCCAAAGTAGTGCATGCAAAAAATTCAAAATAAATGGGTTGAAATCGCACTGCACAGAACCGTATGTGAATCGCACAGGAACGCACAGCGCATTCCTGAGCAGGCATGGTGTGAACTGGCCCTTCAGTTATCACTGGAACAGGAATAACAGGAAAACTCCCAATGGAGACCCCAGTTTCAATGACAAAAGTCAAAGATGACAGTTCCTCTCATTTTGGGGAGATATACCCACACTTCCTGTTGTGTCTTTAGGGAACATCTTCTCAATGGAGGACCCAGAACAGAAAAAAATGGCTGCAGCGACTCCTCAATTTACTATTAAGTATGTATTACTTGTACTGTGTGTTACTGAGATCCATGTAGATAAAAGTTACCTGCTTGAAAATATGTTCGTTCTCCAAGGCCCCACTGTATGTAGGAACATGGCCACTCTCTCTTTCTTGCTCCCGAGATAGACTATGGGATTTGTAGCATGCATAGAGCAGTGCCCATGACATGGGGCAGACTGGCAACTCATGGGGCCCCCGGGCAATAGGAGATCATGGGGCCCCTGTGTCCTCACCCACACTGAAACCACACCCAAAAAAAAGGTACCAGGGGCATCTCATGGGGCCCTCTACTGACCACAGGCCCTCGGGCAGTACCCGAGTGCCCAAATGGTCAGTCCGCCACTGCACATGACCACAACTAATGTGCAGAGCTGTGAAGGGGAAAATGAGAGGTTTGGTTGCTCAAGGAGGCAGAAACAATTTAATGAAAAATAGATTACGGGGCCATTAAGTAGTGGATGTGTATAGATTATTTTTCAAGAATAAGGATATTGTTTAGTGTCAGTTTAACACACACTACTGCTGAGAAAAGTTGCACTGCTTACCCTCTCCACCATTCACAGAACTCCTACTATTAGTGTTCCACAATGTATCTTGTTTTGTGGATGGGCAGCAGAGATCCTGTCAATCCCCTGCGTCTCTAGTCACAAAACATAATTTAGTAGTGGACAATAATACCATATTTGTGAGTGGTGGAGGGGCAAAAGGAGGCAGGTGAGTGGTGCAACTTTTCTCAGTAGCAGCTGCTGTTAACCTTTACAGTGCTGGAAGACAGAGGCTCAGGGCAATATCTGGTGGCTCTGAAGGGAACAATGCAGGAAAGGTTTGTAGCAGATGAAGTCATGAGCCACACAACATTGGACATACTGTAATTAAAGTGTATGGTGATGTATCCCACAAAACCTTAACTTTAATTATGATATAATTTGCTTATGTATGGTAATTGTTTATAAAAGGCAATTTGCCCTATTAGGGCTTAAGAAGAAGAGTCTGGTGTGCAGTGATCCCCATATTCAGATATGTCACCTGGCTTGTCTGCCCCCACCATTTGTACGTATAGTCCATAGTATACAGGGATACACATACCTTTAGTTTAAGCGAGGTTATGAACCAGTCAACACCCAGAAAATTGCAAGCCATATCTATATCTCCGCTGTATACAAAAATACGGTAGCCCTATAGAAAAGAGGACACCAACAATTCTGTTTACAACAGTACAAATAGATGCCTATAGAATTAAGTAGAGAACAGTGTGCATATCAGTCAGCAAGTGCAAAATCCATTCTGAATTCAGTGAAGTGATCTCTAATAGGTCAATTTTGGTTACAGAGCTTTGTGCACCATCATTGCTCCTTGACCAACCTTGACTTGGGTTCCATTCACATCTCTGTATCAGAGGCACAGTGCATTTTAGGTGTAATGTGTTTTTGATGCATTTTATGGGCATTTGATGTGTTTTACCACTCATCCCTACTGAGGAGGCATTTCTTACAGTATGTTTTACCACTCATCCCTACTGAGGGGGCATTTCTTACAGTATGTTTTACCACTCATCCCTACTGAGGAGGCATTTCTTACAGTATGTTTTACCACTCATCCCTACTGAGGAGTATTTTACAGTATGTTTTACTACTCATCCCTACTGAGGAGGCATTTCTTACAGTATGTTTTACCACTCATCCCTACTGAGGAAGTATTTCTTACAGTATGTTTTACCACTCATCCCTACTGAGGAGGCATTTCTTACAGTATGTTTTACCACTCATCCCTACTGAGGAGGCATTTCTTACAGTATGTTTTACCACTCATCCCTACTGAGGGGCATTTCTTACAGTATGTTTTACCACTCATCCCTACTGAGGGGGCATTTCTTACAGTATGTTTTACCACTCATCCCTACTGAGGAGGCATTTCTTACAGTATGTTTTACCACTCATCCCTACTGAGGAGGTATTTCTTACAGTATGTTTTACCACTCATCCCTACTGAGGAGTATTTCTTACAGTATGTTTTACCACTCATCCCTACTGAAGGGGATTTCTTACAGTATGTTTTACCACTCATCCCTACTGAGGAGGCATTTCTTACAGTATGTTTTACCACTCATCCCTACTGAGGAGGTTTTCTTACAGTATGTTTTACCACTCATCCCTACTGAGGAGTATTTCTTACAGTATGTTTTACCACTCATCCCTACTGAAGGGGGCATTTCTTACAGTATGTTTTACCACTCATCCCTACTGAGGGGGATTTCTTACAGTATGTTTTACCACTCATCCCTACTGAGCGGGATTTCTTACAGTATGTTTTACCACTCATCCCTACTGAGGAGGCATTTCTTACAGTATGTTTTACCACTCATCCCTACTGAGGGGGCATTTCTTACAGTATGTTTTACCACTCATCCCTACTGAGGAGGCATTTCTTACAGTATGTTTTACCACTCATCCCTACTGAGGGGGCATTTCTTACAGTATGTTTTACCACTCATCCCTACTGAGGGGGCATTTCTTACAATATGTTTTACCACTCATCCCTACTGAGGAGGCATTTTTTACAGTATGTTTTACCACTCATCTCTACTGAGGGGGCATTTCTTACAGTATGTTTTACCACTCATCCCTACTGAGGAGGCATTTCTTACAGTATGATTTTACCACTCATCCTTACTGAGGAGTATTTCTTACAGTATGTTTTACCACTCATCCCTACTGAGGAGACATTTCTTACAGTATGTTTTAACACTCATCCCTACTGAGGGGCATTTCTTACAGTATGTTTTACCACTCATCCCTACTGAGGAGACATTTCATACAGTATGTTTTAACACTCATCCCTACTGAAGGGGCATTTCTTACAGTATGTTTTACCACTCATCCCTACTGAGGAGGCATTTCTTACAGTATGTTTTACCACTCATCCCTACTGAGGAGTATTTCTTACCGTATGTTTTACCACTCATCCTTACTGAGGAGACATTTCATACAGTATGTTTTAACACTCATCCCTACTGAAGGGGCATTTCTTACAGTATGTTTTACCACTCATCCCTACTGAAGGGGCATTTTGATGGAAACTGTCAACTGATGGAAAGAAGCAACCAACTGTTTTTTTGTTTTTTTCAAACCGAAACCAGGTGTATAAATGTCCCTAATGCAATAAACCCAATACAAGTTCATTTAAAGCTAAACTTTAGGCAGATATAAAATACCCTAATTAATGCAGCTCTGTAATCTGCTCACTGATACATCAATACATTTATATTTTAATGTAAGCAGTTTAAGTAACTGAATTCGACCTTTCCTTCCAAGAATACTAGCTGCTTGGCTATCATACTAATCCTCTGACTTTCTGAGTCACGGCACCAGAAGAAGCACACAGACCAGGAGCTGTAACCTCATTCTGAATTCCCTAACTGCAAGCTTGTTCTGCCTCAGCAATTATGAAAGTAATGAAGTCAGACAGCCATGCAGTTAGCATTTTCAGAAGAAACTCAGCAATGGCAGTCTCTATACTTCTCTTATAATGGTTTTCCGTTAAAAAAAAGCCTGATATGTTAAAGAAGATCGACAGGCTCCAGGTTCCCCCCATAGGCTTCAAACATGTCTAGTTGTTTCAGCTCTGAGGAAGGGAGCTCGTCTCCTGAAACGCGTTAGGTCACCCTGTCATAAGACCAACATTTTCTGGGACTGTCACATTGGTTCCTTGCTTTTACTTATGACTCTTTGTTTGTGAGTATACACTTTTGTCATTTTCAATAAATTCTTTTTTTATCACATTAATGCACGAGGAGAGTGCGTCCTTATTTTCTTTTTCCAGTATTATCAAGATTCCCTGATCTTTAGAGGGCTGCACCTCAGCAAGTGACTGGTACCATGTTCCTGGGACGTGTATGGACCTGAGCAATGGTTTTGCTTTTCTTTCATATGTACTCTTCATACCATTACTAGAATCTAGGAAAACTTTGATTATTTTACAGGATATATTGTAAGCGAAATATTTTCAGTAAAGAGGACCTGTTTAGACCATAGAGATACATTCCTGCCTCCTCCCAGAAACAGAGTTGTTCCCATAAGTTGTTAGCGAGGTCTTGTAAATACAGGACTGTCTTTTCATGCCTCGAGCAAGCTTCGGAAGCAGAACGTGACCCTCGGGATAGGAATATCATTTGATAAATATAAATCATGGCGAAGTATGTCTACTGTGTGAAATAAGGTCATTAAAAATATTCACAACACCTTCTATACAGTTGGAGCAGGCAGTTATCATATGATGCAACAAGCTAGAGATTCAATATTCTGAAATCGCACATAGCTAAGCATTCTCATGATAAACTGATTTAACATCTTTTATATTTCTTTTCCTACCTTGTATTAACTTCTTGCTGACCACATATTGCATATATGTAGCAGCAGGTCTCATATGCATCCATGGGGCTCTGAGGTTCTGTGCCAAGAACATGCTGGAGCAAAGTAAATACTCATATGAGTATGTTATGAGTAAGCACAGTATTGTGTGAAACGCGTCAACAGCTACCCTGTATCCTCTGTGTTGGTGTTGTATCTTTCTTTGATACTTGGTGGAATAAATTATCAACAGTCCAGTGATGGTGTGCAGCTATTCATTTACTTTGCTCCAGCATGTTCTTAGCACAGAACCTCGAAGTAAATGAATAGCTGCACACCACCGCTGGACTGTTCGATAATGTATTCCACCAAGTATCAAACAGGGTAGCTGATGATGCGTTTAACACAATGCTGCGCTTACTCATAACATACTCATACAAGTAAGCGCAGAACTGTGTGAAACGCATTAACAGCTACTCTGTATCCTCTGTGTTTGTGTGCTGTCTGTATTTGATGCTTGGTGGAATAAATTATTGAACAGTCCAGCAATGGTGTCCAGCTATTCAATTTCCTTGTTCCAATGTGTACGGTGGTGAGCCAGGGCGGGCACCTGCATGGGTGGGAGGACTATGAAGGGCTTATAGTGTCTCGCTTGGAGCAGTGTCTCTTCACACTAAGAGCATGCTCCCTACACTGACAGCTCTCGGTCTCTGTTTGAGACTGAATAGGCTCCAGATTATGTGACTACTGTAACAGCCAATCACAGAAATCACATGATCAGGAGCCACCTTTGCCTCACCACTTTTGATGCCCACTTAAAAGGCCACTGGCACGTGGTAGCAAAGGGTTGAAGTGTCCATGTCTAGATAAAATAAAAACAAAAACGTATGTATTATATATCAACACATGCACATGTTCAGTCCTATCTACACTCACCGGCAAATTCATTAGGTACACCTTGCTAGTGCCATGAAAATATTTTCCACACCATTACACCTCCACCACCATTGATACAAGACAGGTTGGATCCATGCTTTCATGTTGTTTATGCCAAATTCTGACCCTACTACCTAAAATGTCACAGCTTCCAATCTGCCCATTCTCCTCTGACATCAACAAGGCATTTTCATCCACACAACTGCCTCTCAGTGGATATTTTCTCCTTTTCAGACCATTCTCTGTAAACCCTAGAGATGGTTGTGTGTGACAATCCCAGTAGATGAGCAGTTTTTTTTAAATACTCAGACCAGTCAACTCGGCACCAACAACCATGCTATGTTCAAAGTCACTTAAATCCTCTTTCTTCCCCATTCTGATGCTTGGTTTGTACTTTAGCAAGTCGTCTTCACCATATCTACATGCCTAAATGCATTGAGTTACTGCCATGTGATTGGCTGAATAGCAATTTGTGTTACCAAGCAATTGTACCTATAAAAGTGGCTGGTGTGTGTATATAAAACGGTCTTCATTCATGGCAGTTTTTCCTGATTTATATACATCTTTCCAGCCTTTGTTGGATAGTAACATTTCAACTGACATAAAGGACAGCTCAATACTCATCCTCTCTTTGTCCTCCACAGAAAGTCCACTGACTCCAGTAGCCGTACTCCACTTCCAGACTCAATGACACCAAGCCTCAATCAACCCAAACATCAGCACACAAAAAGTTATGGCTCCACCATAGTGTGTGACCTGTGTACGCTACTCTACTCTGCCCACAGTACAATGCTGGATAGTAGGTGGGAAAAGGTCAGAAGTCATGCCGCTTGGATGAAGGCTTATAGGTGAATAGAGGGACATTTTTCTTGAAAGATGGACTTCAGCCTTTTTTGGAAAATTAAAAGTCAACAGCTACAAATATTGTAGCTGCTGATGCTTAAAAATTAGGTACTTACCAGTGCCTGGGGTCCAGCACTGTCTTCCCATAGCTGGCTTTTCTCACTGATACAGGACCCTGCACCACCATCTGGGATTTGAGTGCTGGCTGTGACTATTTGAATCACAGCCAATCTCACACTGTACATGTGTGAGATTGTGCAGTGCTATGGGATTGCTCCTGCAGTCACCTGACATATGTGACATGTCCCAGGAGGCTACGGGCAGGAGGTGTGGGCAAGGGTCAAGCCTAAGTGGATGTCATTATCCTCTAGGCATGAATTGAGGAAATGGGAGTTCGTACCTGTCAAAAAAAAGTACCCACTCCAAAAAAAAAAACACAACAAAAAAAACATCAAAAGAGTTAGGGGCAGGGATGGGAAGGAGGAATATTGACACATTTGAGTGACAGTCCACTTTAAATTGGAACAGGAGGTGAGGGGAGATCTTTCAAAGGGGACCGTTTTTTTTTTTTTTTGAAAACGGTCAAAAGGTTGGAATTGTATCTTTGGAGAGATTTGGACAGAAGCAGGCCATACATGTAAAGATTTATTTTGTTCAGACTGGGAGATTCTAACAGATTCCTCCATCCATTCTAACACCGTAGATGGAGGAATCTTCCACTGCGACTGTCAGAATAACCAAACAATGCCTGCATATGATTGGATACAGGCGCCAGTTAGCCAACTATTTTCCACCCAGCTCCTTGCCAACGGGACCAATGAAGTGAATTTTGGTCGATTCAATGCATGCATGGCCAGCTTGTACTTTCTGTTGCATCACTCGAACAGGAAATGAAGATAAATTGTCTAGACTTTAAGGAATTTGTGTAGTGTAGTGTATTCTAACAAACTCCAAAAACATAACATAGACCACCCTGGAGTGCTGTCATGGGGACCACAAACTGCAACAGTTCTAATGATGGCATAACACACTTACAGTATGTACTGTACATGTAGTACTACCCCGGTAGGGCCGCTGAGTTTAGACAGGTTCTTTCCCAAAAGAGTGCAGAGGCAGCCAAACACACAGCAACAATTCAATCAATCTGGCTCAAACAAACAGTCTAGGGCACAGGCGTCAAACAGAAGGCTTGCGGAGCGAATCCAGCCCTCCAGGCCATTTCATGTGGCCCTTCACCTCTCCTGCAGGTACCTCCTTATCTCCACCCCCACCTTGTCTCAGCAGTTGGCAGCAGAGATGAGAATGGAACTCCTCTTCCAAATTCTGCACCTCTCAGTGCAGCTGCGGCACCCCCTCATCTCTGCCTCCTCTGATCTCAGCATTCAGCAGACTCTGGTAACTGATTCCACTCCTCCTGTGGTCCTCCTCCAGACCCTGCACTTTCTGCTTTACAGCTCTGCCCCCAAAGGGCATGCACGGTGATGTTAGGGAGGGTGTGGGATTCTTGACATCTGATGTAATGGGGGGTGGGGTGGTCTGGACATCTAGTTTTACATATACAACTTGCCCTTTGAGGGCAACCATAATACTGATACAGTCCGTGATGAAATGGAGTTTGAAACCTCTGGCCTGGGGGTGGTCTTTTGTAATTTATTGCTTGAAGAACTTGTAACAGGGGATGGGTTGGGGCATGGGATGCTCCAAGACAGTTAGCAATTAGCTGTAAGAGGATAATCTTCTCCTTAAGCACTATGGATACAGGAAAGTCTAAGACCACATAGCTGGGGAGCCTGAGGCAAGTCTTTTTGGCACCTGGTTATGCTGCACAATGACACAGCTATTGACATCTAGTGGAATCTCAGGAACACTTTCTGAGGACAAGGGAATGGCCAATATCTGAGACCCTAAGATAGCCATCTCAGTCCAAGCAGCCCCTGGCACTCTTATCCCAAAGAGCACACAGTCACTAGGAGTCAGGTCAAGGATACTACTCACAAGTTATCAGGACAGTTGCCAGCTCCCAGTTTCCTCCAGACACCTCCCAGTCAAATCATCCATCTACAGACTGATTTCCTTGGATGGAGTCCTGCAGCTAGCTTCAGATTACTCCCAGGTCTCAGATCTGCCACCCTGAGGCCACGCAGATCAGCAACACAGTTCATAGGTTGCCTCAGGGGGCATTAGCCCCCTGCGGCCAGGAACTCTCCTCCACAGGAAAAGACCCCTTCTCCAGGGCTTCAGTCTATTTAGCAGCTCCCCCCAGCCATCATGTAGACAAACCTCCCCAGTCCTGATAAATATTTAGGCTGATTATTGAATTCTTCATAACTGGGAGGGTGCTACAGAATATGCTGCATGTTTTTTTTCGCTGAAAGCACACTCAATCATGTACCCCCCAGCATGGAGACTGAGCTGTCACTGACAGCTCCTGGTCTCAGAGTATTGATTGATTGATTGATTGGGAGCTGGTAAGACCTGATCACTACAGAAGCCAATTGCTAGAGGAGAAGTCTGTGTAAACAGAAAAAAAAGTATTTTAAATAAAAAATAGTTAGATTAGGGCTTGATCTAGGTGGGTGCTAGTGTCAGTGTTTTAGGTACGAAAAAGGATTCATATTTAGTGTCAGTGTGTTTAGTTAGAAAAAAATTAAAGCAAAATGGACACAAATGTGGCTTTTTTGTACACGTCAGGTGGTGGATCATGCTAATGGAAGAAAATAAACAGCTACATTTGAAAAAATATATTCATTTTACTATTTTGGGCAAAAACAATTGATATCCTGTTGATATCCATTAATATTTACCACCAAAAGAAAATTAGTTCTGAAAAAAAAAAAACCCAAGGTAAATTCACCTGGCGTGCCTCAAGATTTAGCATAATTTTTAAAGGGTGCCGGGACTGAAAGAAGGTTGAGAAATGCTAACATACACTACCCCCACCTCTACTGGCACACAAATATTCTTTTCACTTGACAGAAAGTTACCTTCTTCAGCAGTTCCAAGTACTGATCTTGTACATCCTCCGAATCACTGTCAAAAAGTCCAAACACTTCTTCACTATGAGAGAGCAGAAAGACAATTACTATAATCCTACAGAGAAGTTATTACTGATGATGCTCAGTTGCAGGATTTACAGAATCAGTATTGGGCCTATAAAAATGATCCTCATAATTTAGGGTCTAAAAAAAAGACCACCTTGGTTGCCCAGTCAGATTCTTTAATTTTCTAATCGTTCTTGGAAATTATAAATGGAGAAGCTAATTGGGTGCTATCAGCAACACAAACAGTTCAGTTCCAGTTAACTAAAAAAATTATTTTTATGAAGAAATTAACAAACAATTATGCTTTGCACAAGTCTTCTAAAGGTGCATCTTAATAAATTAGAATATCAACAAAAAGTTAATTTATTTCAGTAATTCAATTCAAAAAGTGAAACTCATATATTATATAGATTCATTACACACAGAGTGATATATTTAAAACTTTTCTTTCTTTTAATTTTGATTATTATGGCTTACAGTTAGTGAAAACCCAAAATTCAGTATCTCAGAAAATTAGAATATTATGACAAAGATAAATATTGTAGACTCATGGTGTCACACTCTAATCAGCTAATTAACTCAAAACACCTGTAAAGGTTTCCGGAGTCTTTAATGTTCTCTCCATCTGGTAGAGTAGGTTACACAATCATGGGGAAGACTGCTGACAGTTGTCAGAAGACAGTTATTGACACCCTCCACAAGGAAGGTAAGTCACAAAATTTCATTGCTAAAAAAGCTGGCTGTTCACAGAGTGCTGTATCTAAGCATATTAATGGAAACTTGAGTTGAAGGAAAATGTGTGGTAGAAAAAGGTGCACAAGCAACAGGGATAACCGCAGCCTTAAGAGGATTGTGAAGCAAAGGCCATTCAAGAATTTGGGGGTGATTCACAAGGAGTGGACTACGGCTGGTGTCAGTGCTCAAGAGCCACCACACTCAGATGTATCCAGGACATGGGTTACAACTGTCGCATTCCTTGTGTCAAGCCACTCCTGAACCAGAGACAACTTCAGAAGCGTCTTATCTGGGCTAAGGAGAAAAAGGACTGGACTGTTGCTTGTTGATCTAAAGTCCTCTTTGCATTTCATTTGAAAATCAAGCTCCCAGAGTCTGGAGGAAGAGTCTGGCAAAGAATCCAAGTTGCATGAGGTCCAATATAAAGTTTCCACATGCAGTGATGATTTGGGGAGCCATGTCATCTGCTGGTGTTGGTCCACTGTGTATTAAGTCCAAAGTCAGCACACCCCTCTGCCCAGAAATTCTAGATCACCATATGCATCCCTCTGATGACCAGCTTTATGGAGATGCTGATTTCATTTTCCAGCAGGACCTGGCACCTATCCACATTGCTAAAAGTAATAATACCTGGTTTAATTATCGTGGTATCACTGTGCTTGACTGACCAGCAAACTCACCTGACCGAAACCCCATAGAGAATCTGTGGGGTATTGTCAAGAGGAAGATGAGACACCAGACCCAACAATGCAGATGAGCTGAAGGCTGCAATCAAAGTAACCTGGGCTTCCATAACACCTCAACAGTGCCACAGGCTGATTGCCTCCATGCCACGCCACATTGAGGCAGTAATTCATGTAAAAGGAGCCCTGACCAAGTATTGAGTGCATACTATCCTGTACATGGACATACTTTTCATTAATCCAACATTTCTGTATTACAATTCCTCTTTTTATTGGTCTTATGTAGTATTCTAGTTTTCAGAATAACTGAATTTTGGGTTTTCACTAGCTGTAAACCATAAGCATCAAAATTTTTAAAAAAAAATGCTTGAAATATATCACTCTGTGTGTAATGAATCTATATAATATATGAGTTTCACTTTTTGAATTGCATTACTGAAATAAATTAACTTTTTGATGATATTCTTATTTATTGAGATGCACCTGTATACTGCGAACATAGAGCAAATGCTGCCTATAATTAGCAAGGAACGATCTTTATCTGTTCACATTGAACAGAACGGATAGATGAAGCTGCATCAGACATTCATGCTCCCTGCTCAGTTCAGAGCAGAGGGAGGAAGAGGTTAACCCTATGCAGGCTCTGCTCATGCTGTGTTAACTGCACGGGTAGAGAGAGGGAGTTTGAGCTGTCTGCTGACAGCTCACATTCAATATGACAGGTCACGTGGCGGGAATTTGAGAAAGATTTGCTTGATTATCTATTTTGTTAATGTGGTGTACGCCACTTTTGACAATTTTTTTGTACCAGTATAATTGGAGGAGGAAGCTTAGGTAATTATCATATGTTCCTATAAACTGCTATGCTATCTGCACCAGAAAACTCCCCCCCTTCACTGTCAGTAGGCAGTAAACGCCTAATAAATGTTCCGTCACCTACAAGAGTTCCTTGTCCACCGCTCACCTACATGAGGTCCAGCCTGTCTGTGGGTTCTTGACATGCAGTTCTGCTTGCACATCGGGTTTATTTAGGTAGGTGTTGATTCTTGTGTAATTTGCACAGGGCATGCCCAGTTTTATTGGCTTCTTTAACTCAGAGAACTTTTTCAGTTTCTGTAAAACAAAAAAGAACAATATGATTCAAATTTCTAGTGTGGTACAACACCTCAACAGAAGGAACATCATCTGATGATTCTTGATGCAGCATGACTGTACTCACACATGGTCTGCTGAGATCTGTTAACGTAAGTTATTTTGCACGTTGAAGTACAACCTTTATGCCCTTTCACTAAAAGCCACAGAGTTGCATGCTGATGTGAAATCTTTTTTTTTTGTAACATTTTTAAATAAAATCTATTATTTACTTTTAAAGTTTTCTTACTTCCTGGTCTTCAGAGGCACTGACCAGGGCCTCAAATACACCCCCTGATAAGGCTGTGTCACCATTGCTTTCCAGGCAGATCTTGTTCCTTAAGAATGATAATAAAGTCTAATTTATTTTTTACATAATGGTATTGCACAGAAAACGCCGTCTTCTGCTCTTCTGGCAGCCCCCACAGGCACTGTCACTTTCTCCCTGTTGTGGAAGCTAAGGAGGCACCTGTGCATGTCTGCTCCTGATCTGGGCTGTGTGCGTCCAGAGACACACACAGTGCTAGTAAGCCACAATCCACCTTCTCACTGGAGTATGACTGACAGCAGCAGGAGTCTATGGCTCCCGCTGTCCTTAGTGTCTCCTTTGAAAGCAGAAAGTGAGAGGAATGATGCTGCAGCAGAGACAGCACTGAAGCTGTGACAAGTGCTAGGTAAGTCTTTTGGGACAGGGGGTAGGAAAACTAGCAGGGTGTTCTTACCTTAATGCAGAAAATACATTAAGGGAAAAACTTTAGATTTTAGAATCACTTTGACAGCAAAATCTTGGGGAAATAAAAGGTCCATGTGGCTTATTATGCAGTCCCCTTACTCTTTTAGTTTTAGTTAATAGAATTTAGATAGTCAGGTTTATTAGAGGAAGGCACTTTAACTACTTACCTACCGAGCCAATTCTGACATTTCTCTCCAACATGTAAAAATCATCATTTTTTGCTAGAAAATTACTTAGAACCCCCAAACATGATATATTTTTTGTAGCAGAGGCCCTAGAGAATAAAATGGTGGCTTTTGCAATTTTGTATGTCACATGGTATTTGCACAGCAGTTACATAGCTGGTAAGGCTGAATAAAGACACCTGTACATCCAGTTCAACCTGTGTGGGTGTGTGTCAGGGCCAGATCTACGGGGGTGCTGGGATTTTAAATGAACCCCCCCTCCCCAGGTCTCTGAGAGTGCATCCACTGATCCATGAGCCAGTATTGTGAGGGGAATTATATTACTGGAAGAGAGCACTCTGATTCAGATACCTGATGTGAAGGGGCACTCTGATTCAGATACCTGATGTAAAGGGGCACTCTGATTCAGATACCTGATGTAAAGGGGCACTCTGATTCAGATACCTGATGTAAAGAACTGATGGGGTAACTGATCATATGTTAGGGGGCACTCAGATGGGGACAGTTTATGTAAGGGGGACTCTGATGGGAACACCTGATGAAAGGAAGCACTCTGGCAGGGACCCTGATGTAAGAGGGACTCTGGTGGGGACTCTGATGTAAGGGAGCATTCTGATGAGTATCCTGCTGTAAGGGGGCACCCTGATGAGGACTCTGATGTAAAGGGGGAACTCTGAAGGGGATCTTGATGCAATGGGGGACTGATGGAAACCCTCATTTAGGAGGGGACTATGATGGTGATATAGGGGGCACAAGGTCTGTTTTATCATCCTAATCTAATAACAGTCTAATACATACTAGTGTTTCCCAGGTCGTGACAGTGTGATAGACTGTCAGTGACTCACACACAGTGTTGATATTGTAACCCCCGACTTTTCTTTACTGCACCCCCAATTCAGGCAAGATCCAGTCCTGGTATGTGTGTGTTCATGTCAAAAACATTGCCCGTATCCCTGTATATTGTGTTCATCAAGATGTCCAAAAGTTCTTTTTAAAACTACCAATGGTTTTTGCTGACACCGCCAACTGTGGAAGTGAATTCCACATCCTTACTGCCCTGACAGTGAAAACCCCTACGCAGTTTATGGTAAACCGCTTCTCTTCCAACTTCATTGAGTTGCCCCGTGTCTTCTCTTACTCCCAGAGACTGAATAGTTTATTCCCTATACTAGAATCACCATTAAAATACTTGAATATCTCTATCATATCCCCTCTCTAGCATTTCTTCTCTAGGGAGACTAAGTTTAGTGTTTGTAATCGTTCCTCATAACGGAGGTCCTCCAGTCAGAGGCATCCCTAGGGTTGGTGTCACACGGTGCGGTAACACGTGGTGTCACCCCTCAAGAGAGGAAGGAGCAGTGCCAGTGTAGCGGTAAAATGAGTATCCCGTGAAGATATGTATCCCCTAAAGCAATTTTGCATGTGCCGGTTTCAGCCCGAAGAAGCCGATCTCCAACTTTAGCACAGAGATGCCACAGTTAACCCCCCTTACAGGCTGCAAACCGCTGAAGCTGATCCCGCGGATCACTATGGGTTGCAAGATCAGTTAACCCCGTATAGGTTGAACCTATATGGGGTTAACGGATATTGCAACCCATAGTGATTCCCGGGGTCAGTTTCAACGGTTTTCAGCCTGTAAAGGGTTAACTGTGGCAGCTCTGTACTAAAGTCGGAGATCAGCGATCGGCTTCTTCGGCCTGAAACCGGCACATGTGCAGTTGCTTCAGGGGATACATATCTTCACAGGATACTCATGCTACCGCTACACCGGGGGCAGCTGTCACTGTGCCAAGAATCCGGGATCACCCCAATATCTGGCCAGGACCTTCACAGAGCCCAGAAGCTCTGCTGGCATCCTGCACCCCTTGTGATGGTGTCACCCGGTGTGGCCCGCACCCCCCCAGGGATGCCAGTGCCTCCAGCCCCCTTATTAACTTAGGACTCTCTTCAGTTCCAGCACCTCTCTGCTGAGGATTGGGGACCAGAACTAGACATCATACTCTAGATGTGGCACAATATTTTTTTAAAAACACAATTTCATTAATTTTAGTGCACATAAAGACAATATAAAACCAAATTGTGTGGTAAAATAGAAAAGATGATGTTATGCCAATTAAATAGATACCAAACATGTCACACTTTAAAATTGCATAAGCCTGGTGAACAATGCTGTCAGGGACCCCAGGCTTTACCGCGGCGCGCAGGTCTGCGCATGCGCGGTATGCCGGGGCGCACTAGCGTGCGGGCACAAGGACCTGGGCGCCCGCAACAGCAACGGCACTTGTGCATGCGCACTCGCGGACGCGCGCCTGGCACCAATGGGGGCACAGGGCGCCCTATTTAAACTGGATCTGACTGTGCTCAAATTGCCATATGGTCTTTTCCTGTATTCTGAGTTCCTGAGAGATTGCCTTGTTGCCGACCCTGCCTGACCTTGATTCGTTGACTGTCTCCTGCTCTGATCCCTGGCTTGTCTGACCATTCTCCTGTCTAATCCTGTACGTTTGATCTCCTGTTACTGAACCTGGCCTGTGACCCGTTTATCCTTCTGCTTGCCGCTTGTACCATCCTGCCTCCACCGTTACCGACCTGGTCTGTCTGACTTCGCTCATTCCGCCTCCTCACATCAGGCTCACACCTGCTGCGTACCACCAGCAGGTGCTTCTACCACAGCTGGTTGCACCCAGGGGCCGCGACCTGGTTTCGGCCTGCTCCAAGTGCATCCCCACCATCAGGGGCCCTGGTGAACAAGCAGGTCGCGGCTTAGATTCTGCACCCTGGGGAATCCCAGTCTGTGGAGCGCTAGAGGCTACCGCCGGTTGGTCCATAACAAATGCTGAACTATGGTACCTAAAAATTTCCATAGGCAAGGCTTTAAAATCCTTTACAGGTTACCAATTTAGAGTTACACAGGAAGTCTCATGCTGGCACGGCAGTACCTCACATTTAAATATGCACACACAACCTACATACAGTATGTGTTCACCTTTGCGTGTGAGCACAGGGGGATGGGGGGGGACTTAACGTTTTTTTTTTAAACGGTCTCTTTAAATTTTTCTTTTAAGATAAATTTTATTGCTACCACAAGGAATGCAAACATCCTTTATGATAACAATATGCAGTGACATGAACTCTTTACTGCGAGATCTGGGGTCTATTAGACGCCAGATTTCTCTTTTGCCCTTAAAAGCATCTGATCACACCAACATCGGTGTGATCAGATGCTTTCCCAAGCTAAAAAAGACTTTTTTGGCATCTGGAGAAACAGGAAGGGACAAAATACCCAGCGCTTCCGATCTCTAATATGGTTTCTATGATCGGGGACATTCCAGTCTATGGTAAGCTCGTGATAGTGCCAGCGTCAGTCTCGGGCTCCCTGATCGCACAGGAGAGCATGGGTAGGCACAAGAGAGCAGCGGGAGGGGGTGTTAATTAGCCTCTAGGATTGATCTTACATTACCGTCAAACAAAAAAATTCCGGGATGATGCCTGTAGCTGCAAGCATCATCAATATATCTCCACTTCAAGTCCAGGTCGTCATATGAAGTGGTTAAGTTAGGGCAGCCTGTCATGTGTTGAACTCTACTTTATGGTGCGTGCGGGTACTATTAACAATTATTGGCACCTCAATGAAGCGCACATAGAGAAGGTGCATTGTGGTAAAGCCCATGTTTTACGAAGAAAAGAGCTCTCAGAAGACCTACGATCAAGAATTGTTGACTTGCATGAAGCTGGAAAGGGTTACAAAAGTATCTCCAAAAGCCTTGATGTTCATGTATCCACGGTAAGACAGACTGTCTACAAATGGAGAAAGTTTAGCACTGTTGCTACTCTCCCTAGGCGCGGTCGTCCTGTAAAAATGACTGCAAGAGCAAAGCGCAGAATGCTGCATGAGGTAAAGAAGAATCCTAGAGTGTCAGCTAAAGACCTACAGAAATCTCTGGCACATGCTAACATTTTTGTTGACACAACTACAATAAGGAAAACATTAAACAAGAATGGAGTACATGGGAGGACACCACGGAGGAAGCCATTGCTGTCCAAAAAGAATATTGCAGCACGTTTGAAGTTTGTAAAAGAGTATGAAACCAAGATTGAGTTGTTTGGGAAGAACACACAACACTATGTGTGGAGAAAAAAAGGCACAGCACACCAACATCAAAACCTCATCCCCACTGTAAAACATGGCGGAGGGAGCATCATGGTTTGGGGCTGCTTTGCTGCCTCAGGGCCTGGACGGATTGTTGTCATTGATGGGAAAATGAATTCCAGAGTTTATCAAGACATTTTGCAGGAAAACGTACGACCATCTGTCCGCCAACTGAAGCTCCGCAGAGGATGGGTGATGCAACAGGACAATGACCCAAAGCATACAAGTAATTCAACAAAACAATGGCTGAAACAGCACAGAATACGCCTTCTGGAGTGGCCCAGTCAGAGTCCTGACCTCAACCCGATTGAAATGCTGTGGCATGACCTTAAGAGAGCAATTCACACCAGACATCCCAAGAATATTGCTACACTGAAACAGTTTTGTGAAGAGGAGTGGTCCAAAATTACTCTAGATCATTGTGCAGGTCTGATCTGCAACTACAGGAAACGTTTGGTTGAGGTTATTGCTGCCAAAGGAGGGTCAACCAGTTATTAAGTCCAAAGGTTCACATACTTTTTCCTCCCTGCACTGTGAATGTTTACATGTTACGTGCAATTAAACCATGGCAACACCTAATGTTTGTGTAGTATTATGATCAGCAGACTGTGTTCTTCTATTGTTGTGACTTAGATGACGTTCAGAGCACATTTTATGCCCAATTCATGCAAAACTCCACGTAATCCCAAGGGGTTCACATACTTTTTCTTGCAACTGTATGTAAAGCCTGTAAAACCATGGAGATGGCCATATGAATGGCAGAGTGTCCGACTGACAATACAGTCACCCTCTGACGCGTTTCGGGGGTGAATCCCTTTCGTCAGAGCTATGGCCATCCTGAATACAGGTCAGTCATGCTTTAAATGTCTGCGGCCAATGCCATTTATGACCAAGCCCGTCCCCTTAAGCTCACAGGAAAACCATATGTACAGCAAAATGCCATATAAATCATACACATAAATAACATACACCGCATTCCAAATTATTATGCAAATTCTATTTAAGTGTCACAAAGATTAAATATTTTGTTTTTCAGTGTAACTCATGGATGGCATTGTGTCTCAGGGCTCTTTTGATCACTGAAAAAATCTCGGACACCTGTGATAGTTAGATTGGCCGATGAGCCCAATTTAAGGAAAAACTACTAAAGGAGGGTGTTCCACATTATTAAGCAGAGCACCATTTTCAAGCAATATGGGGAAGAAAAAGAATCTCTCTGCTGCCGAAAAGAGTGAAATAGTTCAATGCCTTGGACGAGGTATGAAAACATTAGATATTTCACAAAAACTTAAGCGTGATCATCACACTAATAAGAGATTTGCGGCTGATTCAGAGCACAGACGGGTTTGTGCAGATAAAGGCACATTGAGGAAGATTTCTGCCAGATCCATGCATCAGATCAAGAGAGCAGCTGCTAAAATACCATTACATAGCAGCAAACAGATATTTGAAGCTGCTGGTGCCTCTGGAGTCCCACGGACATCAAGGTGTAGAGTCCTCCAGAGTCTTGCAACTGTGCATAAACCTTCTATTCGGCCACCACTAACCAATGCTCACAAGCAGAAACGGCTGCATTGGGCAGAAAAATACATGAAGACTAATTTTCAAACAGTCCCGTTCACTGATGGTGTCGTGCAACCCTGGATGGTCCAGATGGATAGAGTAGTGGATGGTTGGTGGACGGCCACCCTGTTCCAACAAGGCTGCGGCGTCAGCAAGGCAGTGGGGGAGTCATGTTTTGGGCTGGAATCATGGGAACAGAGCTGGTCGGCCCCTTTAGGGGCCCCGAAGGTGTAAAGATGACCTCTGCAAAGTATGTGGAGTTTATGACTGACCAATTTCTTCCCTAGTACAGAAGGAAGAACTATGCTTTCCGTAATAAAATCATCTTCATGCATGACAATGCACCATCTCATGCTGCAAAGAATCCCTCTGCATCAATGGCTGTTATGGGGATAAAAGGAGAGAAAGTCATGGTGTGGCCTCCATCCTCCCCTGACCTCAATCCTATTGAGAACCTTTGGCGCATCCTCAAGCAAAAGAAGATCTATGAGGGTGGGAGACAGTTTACATCCAAACAGCAACTCTGGGAGGCTATTCTGACATCTTGAAAACAAATTCAAGCAGAAACTGTCCAAAAACTCACAAGTTCAATGGATGCAAGACTTGTGAAGCTGCTATCAAATAAGGGGTCCTATGTTACAATGTAACGTGACCCGTTAAAATGTTTAAAAAGTTAAAATGTTGTTAAAAGTTTGATTGAAATAGCTTTTGATTTCAGTAAATATGCTGCAAACACAACAAATGACAATTTTCAGTTCTTTACAACCTATAAAGTGTTTTGAAACTTACTGTGCGTAATAATTTGGAACATTGTTATCATTAGGAGGTTTGTTCAATAAAATTTGAATTGTACTCTTAATAGTTGATAACATGAGAATTATGCTGACTGTTATTTACATCAATTATTTAGGTAAATGAGAAAAATATCATTTGCATAATAATTTGGAACACGGTGTATAATAAATACATATAATAATAGCTGCAACATGATAAAAATATTAAAACGTTATAATAATAAAAGATGAAGATACTTAGGCTGAGCAACCATATCAAAGAGAGATTTGTATTATTTACATAGAGACCTCTCTCCCATCAGTGATACTCAACGATTGCCGGGTGCCAGCGGTGGAATTACCGGTCCGGACCCGCTGATCCACAGCTGAAGCCACCAATGATGGCACCTACCCGGAAATGCAAAATCACGTGATACGTGACTTTGCACAGCTCCCCTGTAGCAGTATTCCTGTGGTGGTCAGGCAGTTCATTGAACTATAATCAAAAGGACATACAGAAGCATGCATACATTTTTCTGTGATACCTGGAAATGGTAAGATTTATTTATGTTAAGTCTGGGCACCTACCGCACGGAAACGGGAATGGATTTCAGGGTTGTATACACCAGGATGGTATGCTACAACGTGGTCTCCTAAATCCCTGGAGGAAATAAAAGATATATTTTCTGTTACAATTAGAAACTAAGGTCCCATTGGAAATGGTAGAGCACAATAAAGCATGAAAAATTAGACAGCACTTTTTTTTTTTTAACAACAACACCCTTTCCCTTCAGGACCCCCTCCCCCTCCCCTTTTTTCCCAGGCAGAATTTTCTTCTTTTTCTTCTTCTTTACTTTCCTTGTTTTCAGGCCAGCCACATAATGCAGAGGGTCTTGTCTAGCCTTCTCTTCATGGTGTGTAGTCTGAGGTTGAAGCCTCGATGCAGCACTGTCATGCATCAATACACTGAGTACAGGGCACCATGGTGACGTCCATACAAAAGATGTATCCATCCCTCAAAGAAACCTCTTGCCTCCCAAAGGCCAGCAATCCTTGCAAGATACAGCTATTACTGTAGTAATGCCTTGACAAAGAGGACCTGCATGTCTCCAGTTGTGTGTTGTGATTGCTGTGTGCAGTGGAAGAGCTACATCTCATATGTGAGGTTCTGGTTTTTCTTCGTGGTGATGTCCACACTGCTCTGCTCTCACACTATGTCCTAAGCCGGTGAATTGCTGCCAGGTCATCTTTTATCCCAAACACAGGTCTTCTTGTCAAAAATTACTGGCCATGGGTTTCTGAGTCTCTAGCATAAACCCATCCATCCCCCCGCCCCCCCAGAAATGGGATCCCACCCCAGCACCCCACCCTCGCCACCCCCCAGGTCACCCCCAACCTCCAGAGAGATCCCCCTACTCACCCCCCTAAACCTCCCAGGAATGGAGGGATCCCTGTGAAATAGTCCAGCTCTTCACACCTCTGCCTGTCCTCCTTCACTATGCTGATGGAAACTCCCTAGAGACCCTGCTGTGATATGTGCTGATGACAAATTCTCAATGAGCCAGTAATTGTGTCCACTCCACAAAATATTCCTATAGAGGAAAGCAAAAAAGTGCCTATAGAAGTTTGCTTGTGACTGCATATGGTATGCTCAAATCCTTTATTCACATCACTGTAATCAGAGCTTCATAAAGGACATAAAGTCGGCACTATACAGGTCCAGCCTAAACCTTGGTAGCTGATTGACTCTGTAGTCCATAGGCCGTAGAATAAGTCCATCACTCAATGCAACAGATAAATGGAACAGTCTCCCCATGTGGATCTCAGGACATCCATGCTGGTAGAGTAAAACAAGTGATCATGCAGTCCCAGGTAGCGGTATCCAGGGATGAAACCGCACAGCTTGCAGCACAGTATGCAGTGTTCACACAGCGGGTCGGGAGATCCGGCCTGCACTCTGGTTTCTCAGCAGGGATTGCATGTGGAAGGAAGACTTAATCCCTTCCGCCTACACGTTTCGCAGCTCCCACTAACCGTGGCTTCTTCAGGGACTAGCTAAGGATTGGATGGCTGACATGCCTATATATCTACATCATCACACTATGTTCCACCTCTTCATCCCACCTGGGATGAATCTAAACAATGTGCTGTGTGGGTGCCCCCTCCTGGTTGGTCTACAATTGTTGGCTCATTGAGAATCTGTTATCAGAATATATCACAGCAGAGTCTCTAGGGAGTTTCCATCAGCATAGTGAAGGAGGACAGGGAGAGGTGAGGAGGACTGGATTATTTCACCCAGATCCCTCCATTCCTGGGAGGTTTAGGGGTGTGTGTGTAGGGGGGAGATCTCTTTGGGGGTTGGAGGTGACCTGGGGGTGGCGAGGGTGGGGTGCTGGGGTGGGATCCCATTTTTGGGGGGGCTCCTATGTTGTAGGGGGAGTCGCTTTGGGTGAGGGTGTGTTGTGGGGGGGAGGGGGTTGGATGGGTTTATGCACTGAATTGTTTTTTGTTTATGTCCAATAAACATATTCTGCCATTGAAATGCTTCATCCTTTATTGTGAGGGTTTTTATTGCAGTGACTTCTTTTTGGATGCGCCTCACTCCCAGATGTACCACTCCCAGGACAGGTTGGAGAGTTGTTGGGTTTTTTTTATATATAAGTTATTGGGGTTTTTTTATATATATATATGTGGTACATGTGACAACAATCTCCTGTATTCTTCAAATGTCTGGGCTATGGGGTAGAGTGGCAAGATGGAAGCCTTTTCTTATGAAAAAAAACATCCAAGCCCAGTTAAATTTTGCAAAAACACATCTGAAGTCTCCTAAAAGCATGTGGGAAAAGGAGTTATGGTCTGATGAAACCAAGGTTGAACTTTTTGGCCATAATTCCAAAAGATACAGCGAGGAACAGAAGTATTTGAACACCCTGCGATTTTGCAAGTTCTCCCACTTAGAAATCATGGAGGGGTCGTTTCAAATCATGCATTGCACGGAAGGTTCCCATGCTCAAGTCATCACATGTCCAGGCCCGTCTGAAGTTTGCCAATGACCAGAGGAGGCATGGGAGAAAGTCATGTGGTCAGATGAGACCAAAGTAGAACTTTTTGGTCTAAACTTCACTCGTCATGTTTGGAGGAAAATGATGGATGAGTTGCATCCCAAGAACACCATCCCTACTGTGAAGCATGGGGGTGGTAACATCATGCTTTGGGGGTGCTTTTCTGCGAAGGGGACAGGACGACTGCACTGTATTAAGGAGAGGATGAATGGGGCCATTTATTGTGAGATTTTTAGCAACAACCTCCTTCCCTCAGTCAGAGCATTGAAGATGGGTCGTGGCTGTACTACGGGTACAAACAACATACACATATATGGTATCACAAGTGTAATAAAAGCGCCACACCCCCTTAATACTTTAAAGCAGCAATTCCACCTCAAAGAAACCAAATAAATTTCTTAGTGCTATAACTTAAATAAAGGAATGCGCTAAAACCACAAACTATTCCTAATTTAGTGTAGAAACATTAGTCCAAAAGATATATATATCTATTCTCAATTAATATCAAAAAATATCAAAATTATGTGCAAAACTATTTTTTAGTGCATAAGTAATTTAAATAATTAAATTTGTGAATATAAAAAAAATGTCCAATTCTGAATTTCTTCAAATGTCCAAACAAATCCTTTTCAAATTCAGGTGCTCTCAAAGAAATCGTGCCAAAATCCACCACCAAAAGTAAAGTTGGGTAACTCACCAGAGTTCCATGCTGATCAATCTCTAGATCAGCAAAAAAACGCTTTTTGCTCTGGGAGCAGATGCAATGAATCAACTTCTCAGGTGTGATCATCCATAAGGTAGGTATCCACCACTCAATATAATGGTTCCAGGAGCATTATATCACTCTCTCTTTTTATATCTCTCCACCGAGGTCATGTTTGGGAATGAAAGAGAAAATCATGGTGCAGCCAGTTTTTTTTTATAAAAGTATCCAACAATTTAATAAAGATTTACACTCACAAAAAGGGTGTCTTCACCGACACCAGTATAACAGCATAAAACAGCAAATGGTATAACAGTCTCCTGTTCCCCGCACACTCACTACGGCGCTCGTGACTCAATTTTCTCCACAGACGTCAACATCCAGCAAGCCAAGCCCTGCTAGGGGCGGTCTGGGGCGCCCCTTGAAGACGTCATTCATGACGAAACTAGTAGGGCTTGTTATACCATTTGCTGTTTTATGCTGTTATACTGGTGTCGGTGAAGACACCCTTTTTGTGAGTTTAAATCTTTATTAAATTGTTGGATACTTTTATAAAAAAACTGGCTGCACCATGATTTTCTCTTTCATTCCCAAACATGACCTCGGTGGAGAGATATAAAAAAAGAGAGTGATATAATGCTCCTGGAACCATTATATTGAGTGGTGGATACCTACCTTATGGATGATTGTGTAGCTATTGATCATCACACCTGAGCAGTTAATTTATTGCATCTGCTCCCAGAGCAAAAAGCGTTTTTTGCTGATCTAGAGATTGATCAGCATGGAGCTCTGGTGAGTTACCCAACTTTACTTTGGTGGTGGATTTTGGCACAATTTCTTTGAGAGCACCTGAATTTGAAAAGGATTTGTTTGGGCATTTGAAGAAATTCAGAATTGGACATTTTTTTTATATTCACAAATTTAATTATTTAAATTACTTATGCACTAAAAAATAGTTTTGCACATAATTTTGATATTTTTTGATATTAATTGAGAATAGATATATATATATTTTTGCACTAATGTTTCTACACTAAATTAGGAATAGTTTGTGGTTTTAGCGCATTCCTTTATTTAAGTTAACATATATGGTATCGCTGCGATCGTCAAGAGCTGGAGAATTTATTTTGGGTTGTTCTTTGGTGGTAGGTTATGGTAGTAAGAAGAAACACACAGCTAAATAAAAAAATATATTTTTTTTTTTTATTATTTTGGGCCAGTTTTTCTTTGATCATAAAAAAAAAAAATCAGGAAATATCTGGATGTACAAAGTAGTTGAGATGATATGTACGGTTTTACTAACACATGTCAACATTTCAAAATTGTGCTTTGGCATTTAGATTTGTTTTACCCTTAGGCGTGAAGGGGTTAATATTGCTTTGAGGCTTACTGGTCTTTTAAACAAAAAAACATAAAAAAACAAAAAGCTAGTAAGAGCCATTAACATACTTTATTCACTTGAAATCCTTCTTTATGAAGAGAAAATTACATATTCACATAGCTGAGCAGAGACATAGATTTAAAAAAAAAAAAGTCCTGGCTTTACCAAAAGGTCAAAAAATGCAGATAAAGAAAAGTACCTAATTTGTCCGGGTTCCCCATTTTCGCATGGCTTGTACAAATTATATATATTCAGTTGATGAAAACTGACACTGGCAATTCTCATCTAGAAAAAGAACATTGGCCATTTACAAACCTAGGAAATAACATTATGTAAAATGTCTAACGATTAAAGAAACACTTCCACTTTGCACATTTCTAGTGAGGAGTGTCTGCAGATAACTCTTCCTCCTACTGAGTGCTGCTTCCCACACCACTGGAGCCTGTGCTAACAGCAGAGTCACATGTATAATGGGGCTAAAGGAGCAATTGCCCCAGGCACCTGGTAGAAGTAAACCTATAACTAAAAAATGTGTTTATTTTATTGAAATGTATCATGGGAAGCAGGAGGAAAGCTTTTTTTTTTTTAGTTTCCTACTACTTAAAGTAGTGTAGCATATATACAGTATGTCCTCATAATGGCTTTCCGTCACACATTTTTTCAAATGGGTGACTGTCAGTGACAAAGTAAACCAACTCTGTAGATATTTGCTGTACATTTTATTTCCTATTTATGAAGGGCCCACTAAGCAACTTTACAAGGCTAATTTTCACATGCAGCTAAATCAGCCACATAAGCTGATTGTCCCTGCACCCCTTTCCTTCCCCTCTCCATCTTCCTTTTTTTTCAATATAACAATAGTGAGCAACAGTCTGAAAGCAAACAGTTTTTGCTCTACTCTCCCTTTGCAATACCCATAAGGGCTCATGCACAGTGCAGCTGATAAAATGATGTTCAGGAGCTTTTCTGCATTTTTTTCAGCAGCCCCTGAACTCTCCCTAATGTTTTCCTATGTGTCCATGTACACACAGTCGTTTACAGGCAGTTGAGTTTATAGCTGTTTTTTTGAACGCACAAAACTTGCATTCAGGAGTAGATTTTATCAGCATTTCAAATGCCAAATGCTTGTAAATGTGGCTAACCGCGTTTATCAGCGTTTGTGTTTAGAAGCGTTTTTTAACTGTTCCATGTCCAAATGCTGTCCAGAGCCTTTTTTCATCATCAGAAATGCATGCATTCATGTATTCAAATGAACCCGGTACACCAGTGCAGTCAGTTCCAGGTTTTGCATGAAGGAAAAAATGGTAGAAGGTGCTGCATTCTGCTCACGATGGGATCCATAGTGAATACAACCAGAAAAGACAAGTCATTTAAACACATACTGCTCTCCCTGCTTCTGCTCTCTCTATTTCTCTCAAAATGTCTGAAATAGTTAATTTTTTACTGTTTTTCAGTGCATTCTGGGCATTTGGAAGGTCTCCTGTTATCTTTAAAAAAAACGCTTCTAAACACAAGCACACATAAACGCTGTATGCACGTGTGGCTAAACAGACGTTTTTTAACCTACGTTTTCCAGCAGTCAGTTTCCATCGTTCAGAAGTGTTTTCCAAACGTCCCGTGTACATGAGCCCTAAGGCTGCTTTCACACTGGTGCATTTCTGCTGTGCTTCTACCGTGTTAAAAATGCAGCAAAAAATGCAATCTCTTTAAATCTTATGGGACTCTTTACCCCAATGTGCTGCGGGTGCAGTGCATTTTGAATAGTCCTGTTTACTGCATCTTTGGTGCGGGTTTCAAAACAGCACCAAATACACAAGTCCCCATTGAAATGAATAGAAAACAGGTCAAGAATGTATGAAAAATGCATTTTTGGTGCTATTTTTGAGTCATGTGTCCAAGTTTAACAGACGCATGCTGGCTAATTGGCACCTAGAAAATACACCAGAAATGCAGCAAAATTGCATAAAAAACACATATGCGTTTTACCGAGCTTTTGCATTGGAGCGGTGTGAAAGGGCCCTAATGTTCTGAACACACAGTCTAACAGGTATAGCCTGTATTAAATGTTTAATTGTAAAAAAAATGTATATAAATAGTGGCACAAATATAGAAAATATCAATTTAATGCCAGAACAGTTTTTTGTTTATTTTTCATAAAGTAGGGAAGAGTTATCAACCCTGCCAGACTTATTCTTGTGTCTGTGTCCCCACTGTGGAGATTCACCCCATCTAATTGTCTTTGTGACCATTGTCATTGAGACAAAAATGGTGTGAAAATCCAAATTATTGAGTTGTGTCATGTAACAGGAATAGAAGGGATGGAAGGCGGGGTGATTTTGATAAAGTACTCCTCCAAAAAGAAAAATACTGGATATATACTCTCAGTACATTATTGCCACAGGGTTTAAATACAGAACTTAATTTTAAAGTTTTTCTGAATTAAGTAAGGAGAAAGAATCTATTAGATTAGATTTAATATGCCCACAAGACTATTTGACAATATGGGAATATATTTTATTTAAAATTTAGTCTGAACACTAATTGGAGCAAATTCTACTTAAATTGGGCCATTTCCCTAATGTTCTTCCACAATCATATGTTTTCCTATGGGATTTCTGATTTTAATGTAGTAATGACATTTCAACACAAGAGGGCGACATAAGCAGTTTAAAAAGGCGCAATTAAGGCACTATATAAGGCAATGGATGACTTGCCCCCTACTAGTTCTGATGAAGTCTGCAATGATTGGCGGACGAAACACATCAACGTAATGACATCATCACGCTCGGCGTCTTCATAGGCTGCGGTATCCACGAGGGGAAAAGAAGCAAGCGATGCAGCTCCATCTTGGATAAGCATGAGGCAACACAGAATATGACGAGGCAATTGTTATTAACCACTTGCCTTCCGCCTGCTGTTTTTAAACGGTAGGGCGGTGGCACTCCAGGGGCGAGTAGTCGTTCATAAACGGCACCCGCTATTTCACCCGCAATCCGGTGCACCGGACACAGTGAAACACCGATCGTCGGACGGGACCTCTGTACGAGGTCGCGATCATGTGATCACTGATTGGCCAATCAGTGATCACATGCAAAGTAGTAAGCAAGATGTCACTTGTGACATCATTGCTTACTACGTGTGAAATCTGTGAATGATCACAGAGGTCACATGGTACAAGGCTAGTCACAACAGCCTTGTACCATGTGACAAGCTCTGACCAATCACAGCTCACACAGTATTTCTCAATGGCTGCAAGAATGCAGACAGAGAGAAAGAGAAATGATTGCTTTTACATCCTATATGGGTGTAAAAGCAATCACTGTAAAAAAAAAAAATCTTCATCACCAAGGTGACACTGTACTGCTAGGGTGACGGTATGTAAAAAAAAAAAAAAAACATAAATAATAATATAAAAAAATAAAATAAAAATGTAAAATAAAAGTTTAAAAAATTATAATTTTTGGTTATAACTAATTTGGCGTATTTTTTTTTTTTACTAAAAATATAACGGAATAAATTTTGGCCAAGATTTATGATAAAATATTATTTATTTGCAAAATTTTATAAGAAAAACACTTTTTTCAAAATTTTTGGACTTTTTCATTTATATAGCAAACAAAATAAAAATCCTAGCGGTGAATAAATACCACCAAAATAAAGCTTTATCTGTCTCAAAAAAATGGTAAAAAATTCATATGGGTATAGTGTTGCATGATCGCGCAATTGTCATTCAAAGTGTGAAAGCGCTGAAAGCTGAAAATTGCCCTGGACAGGAAGGGGGTAAAAGTGTCCGGACAGGAAGTAGTTAAGGAGCCTTTTTGGCGATTTAAGTGACACAGCTCACTTCCACCGGTGACAAGTAACAGTGTGTTTAGCTGAGTCACTTTAGACCGCAATTTTTTTAACGAGAATCACATCCCATGCGCTAATAGATTTGCCTAAAGCCCTATTCTGAGGGGAATTTTTGGACTCTAATTGGTATACATTATATACTATGTTCTATACAGTCAGTGATACGGGACATTAGTCTCATACTTCCCTATAGGAACCGCACCAACTCTTTATTAAGAGCATTTTTTGGAACTCCTAGAGGGGTATTTACAAAAGGGTTTATTGATGCCTGTATGACCTTTTTGGAACATCCGTATTGATTATCCTGGATTTTCACCTAACTATTCACAGCATAGGGTTTTTTTTTTTTGTCACATCTCCAGTGAGAAGGAATTTTTTCTGATTTCCTTTATGGTAATTCACATTATTTTATTTTTATTATATTCCAGTATCACTGGTATTTATTTTTGACTATTCACATTTATTCACTTTTAGAATCACTTGCAATTGTGGATTCATTTCCAACTGTGGTGGTCATCCTGGAAGGTTTAACCACTTGAGCTCCAGAGGATTTACCCCCCTTAATGACCAGGCCTCTTTTTGCTACTCGGCGCTGCACTAATTCAACTGATAATTGCGCGGTCATGAAATGCTGCACCCAAACGAACTTTACGTCCTTTTTTTCACACAAATAGAGCTTTCTTTCGGTGGTATTTGATCACCTGTGCGCTTTTTATTTTTCACACTATAAACAAAAAAAAAAGGCCAAAAATTTTGAAGAAAAACAATATTTTTTACTTTCAGCTATAAAAAATATATAGTAAACTCAAAGTTGGTTATAAATTTAGGCCAAAATGTATTCTGCTACGTTTTTGGTAAAAAAAATCCCAATAAGTGTATATTGATTGCTTTGTGTGGACGTTATAGCGTCTACAAACTATGGTATAGATACTGCAATTTACGCCATTTTTCTGCTATACAGCGCTGCGCTAGTTTAACGGACAATTGCGCGGTCATGCAATACGGTACATAAATGAAATGTACATCCTTTGTTTCCCCACAAATTGAGCTTTCTTTTGGTGGTATTTGATTGCCTCAGCGGTTTTTATTTTTTGCGCTATAAAAAAAAAGGCTGACAATTTTGAGGAAAAAAAAAAACAATATTTTGGACTTTTTGCTATAAAACATGTCCAGTAAAAAAAAAAAATCAAAAATCAAATTTAGTCATAAATTTCTGCCAAAATGCATTCTGCGACATATCTTTTCTTAAAAAAAAAACCCAATACGTGTAAATTAATTGGTTTACGTGAAAGTTATAGCGTTTACAAATGGCGGGAAAGATACTGGGATTTTTAGGTTTTTTTTTATACTAATAATGGCGGCGATCAGCGAATTATGGCGGCGATCAGGGACTTATGGCAGCAACCAGCGACTTATGGCGGGACTGCGGCGGACATTCTGACATTGGGGGGTACTGACTTGGGGTCACTGACATCCACAAAAACACTAATACAGTGATCAGTGCAAAAAAAAAAACACTGACACTGTACTAATGGCAATGGGGAGGAAGGGGTTAACTTTATTTTGCAGGGAAGGGTTATAGGAGTGAGGGGAGTGTTTTACTAGGGGGCGGGGGGTGTGTGCTGGGCGGGACAAGGCTGATCGAGAAAGAGAAACTGTTCTTTCTCGATCAGCTCATCCTCGAGCTGACAGGGAAGTGACAGACAGCACAGCTACTGCAGCTGTGCTGTCTGTCACTGTTTGCCGCCAATCGCCGGGAGATAGCCGCTAAGGACCGGCTCTGACCCGGCGACTCACATCTGCGGCGGTGATCGGCGGGACAGATAGGGCGGCTGCGTGCCTCGCGCGTGCCCCCTAGCTGTTTACAAAACACACGTTTTAAAAAACGTGGTTTTGCTTGCCAGTGCCGCCCTGCCGCCGTATATCTACAGTGGCTGGGCGGCAAATGGTTAATACCAATTATACATTCATGATGGCACAGCCACAAAGAAGGTAAAGGAGAGTAATAACCCGTTTATTTGAGTATGTGCATCCTATCAGGTTGATGACTAAGTGATCATCTCCTGCTTCCTCTGTATTCATCATTTTCCATTATTAAATCCCTAGGAGTTCATCCAGTCTTACTGTGTTGTTCATGAAGGAACAGTCAAAGAAGAATTATATTTCACTGGGATACACAATATGGAACTTTACTGCAGATGAATACAGAAAGGAAATTCCATTGCCTCATATGGATCATTTCTTGCCTATACAGCCGTTTCTGAAGACGCCGAACGGTTCTTTCATTTTAATTCTTTGATTTTAATATGATTGCAACATGTTCACCATGTCAATGTCAACCTTTTCTATGATCCATGTGATCGAATAAATACAATATTGCATTCATTTTTTGTAGTGAATATTACTCCGCATGGGATTTAATTAACCGCTTTCTAGGCGGTCATGCACTAGTCAACTGCCATTTTTTCTGTGTTCCAGTATTTTTAGATTTATAATCCACACTTGTTCTACTTAAGTGAGTCGGAGATATTGCTAAGATACGGTTACCGTATCAGTTTGGATGGCATTTTTTCTCTTTTGACATCTTCTCCCAATAATTTTCCTTAGCTGTCAACACATGAAATAATCAGGGTCTTGTGCTCATAAGGGTCATATATACTTAATGTTATAAGATATTATCCTTTTAACGATTCTTAAGATACAGTAGCTGTAATACTCACTTTTTGCACACACTGCTGATTCTTCAGGTCCATAAAGTTACATTTTGTTTCCTTACAGCAGGCAGACTGCATATCTGACCACAATCTAGAGCAATGACAAAGAGTCATATATAAGGTGGGGGATGGGGTGATATATAAACCCATTCTTCTATCAATAGAAGGACATTGAATAATTATTTAGCTCTAAATTTTCAAGTATAACTCCACATTTAATGGACTTCCACTAACTTTTTGGACCATGATGCGCTCCGTAACCCCCTGCACCCTTTCATTTGCACTGGAGAATCAAGGCTTGATGGTGAAGCTTTTAATGAAGAGGCTGCACAGTCCTGAGCAGGTCATACATTGGCAACTCTGGAGTGTGAGGGTAGGAAAGTGGATACATATCAGGGGCATTGGAGCCCATTACCTGTAACTCCACTAAAATAGGAGTTATACTTTAATCAAATATGTAACAGTAAATTTAAAGTATATATAAGAAAGTGCAGCGCAAAAAAAAAATATATATATATATTTATATGATTGCGGAATGGTAAAGTGCAACACATAAAAGTGCAAAAAACATTGTAAATGCGAAATCTAAAAATCAAACAATATGGTAAAGTGCATCATAAATGTAATGAGCTAAGTGAAACAGTAAAGTGCATCATGTAAAAGCATGAAAATATCAGCTAAACAGCTCAAAAAGCAAAAGTCAAACAATAAAGTGTATCACGGGCAGAATCTAAATACAATCATGTTCGTGGTGATCCGTGAAGTAAAGTGCAGTAGTAAATGATGTTACAATAAACATATAAAATCTGAGATATATAAAAAGGATAAAACTCTACATCAATGTCCGTGGTTAGACGTGCTATTTATATAGTCAAATATCCATAAATGGAAGCAATTGTCCATGAAACCATGAGGCGCAGTATAATTAAGGTGCAGAGTGCAAATGTGCTGATGATCACTCAAAAAAATCCACCACCTCTCTCAGATGTACACTCACCAGATGAAAACTGGTAACAGGCAATCAAGCATTAAACATCTGAGAATGGAAGCCGGCCAAAGGGTTAATCCAGACCAAATTCTTCCTGGGCACTTGGAGGGGATGTCAGCCCTTGTCCTAGAGGGAATAGCTCACCACAGGAGCCAATAAAGTTGCAAGTAGTGTAGTATTTTATTGGAACATTAAAAAGTATCCAGGTGGAGACAGAAATCAAAAAGCATAAAAAGTGTACCAAGTTGGCCACCGCTCTGGCCATCGGCAGCGGGGCGGCATGATGTCAGTAAATGGCGGCTCCACCTAACACGTTTCGTGCGCATGCACGTCCAAAGTGATACGCCTATTGCCAACGTCATCTGCAAGTTCAGTTTAAATAGCCCTGTTAGGGATCCGGATATGACCAGAAATGTGTGGACTGACACAGGGAAACACAGGCTCCAGGTATAGTATAAACAATACAATTTATTAAAGACTAAACAATACATAAAACACTAAACAATACATAAAACAATAAAACAATACATAAACGCAGTGCAAGACTAAACATAAACACAGTGCAACCAAAACTCCAAAAGATAACAATAAGAACAATACTAAACGTAGTCGGGCAGGCCGGGTCGGTAGCAAACAGGGCAGGCAAGGTACAAGGAGCAGGCGGAAGCGTAGTCAGGAATAGCCGAGGTCAGGACAGGCAGAGTTCATGCAGAGTCAGGATTAAAGCAGAATCAGGATCAGGCAGGAAGCAGACAGGATGCAGGTACAGGGGCTTATGGGAAACATACACCAAGGCCCTGATCACAGGCCTGGCCATTCCTTAAATACACCTGCTGTAATCAGCCTCAGGTGATGGCTCATTGCAGGAGTGAGCCTCTGGTTGCTGAGAGCACCCGCTGGCCAGCCCTGGTACTGCAGCCCACAAGGCAGGTGAGTCCCACCACCACTGGCAAGTCCATTCCTGACAAGCCCGCATGCACGAAATTTAAAGTGGCCAGGCAGTTTTGAATACCCCTGCCAGCCATGCTGCCCTAGGTCCCGACCTATGTAGCCTGGTGAGAAATCTGGCCCCAAAGTGAGAAAAGTGTTCCCAAAAATTGTGCAGCATCAATGAGAAGTCAATGAAAATGTGCCATCTTATGTCTGTGCAGACAGTCGGGAGGAAAATAATGGCAATGCATGTGAACAAGATAAAGATTATAAGAAATGTTTCACTTACTCTGTGTCAATTAGACCATGATAATATACAAAGTACATAAGAGAGTCATGGTTCATTCTATAACTAGTCAGTCCGTTTCCTATAGCAATACCCTTCAAATACAAAAAAGATAATTAATAATTAGCATCATTATATCACTTTGTGTTTTTGGTTTTTTTTAAGTAAATTGTACCTTTGAGGGCACACTGGTTTTATATTTAATAAGCAATAACCTAAAACATTTAAAAAGTCATACTGTTCTGAAATGAAGAGCTCCTGGATTTACCAAATGCCAGCTCATACCTCCACTTTTGTTGAGTAAAAAAAACCTTCCCCTCTGGGTGATTTATGTACACTGCAAGGATTTTAATAAACTTTGTTGCAGATTCCTACCTTTTGTTATTCAGAAGGGATAGCTGTTTGTTTGTCTGTGTCCATGTGCAGAGTGAATCTGTACTAGAGCAGTTTTATAATTATCAATCAGCTGCTGCACCTGCATGGCTCTAATAAGGAAAATTGAAAGGGTCTGCATCCCTTTAGTCTAGGTTCACACCTAAGCGTTTTCTGCTGCATTTTGCAGAAATGCACTACAGTCCATTTAACATGATTTCCTATGGGACAGGTTCACATCTCCGCGTTTTCGCCCGATGCGTTTTTTTGGAAAGGGTCAGGGACTTTTTTAAATGCAAAACGTCACGTTTTTGGTTCTATAGACTTTAATGGAGAGGCTGCAGAAAAGCATGTAGTGAATGTGTTATGTGTTTTTGATGCATTTATTTATGTATTTATTTCAGGTACTTATATAGCGCCGTCAATTTACGCAGTGCTTTACATATATATTGTACATTCACATCAGTCCCTAACCCTCAAGTGGTGTACAATCTAAGGTCCCTAACTCACATTCATATACAAGGCCCATTTTAGACAGGATCCAATTAACCTACCAGCATGTCTTTGGAGTGTGAAAGGAAACCGGAGTACCCGGAGGAAACCCACGTAGGCACAGGGAGAACATGCAAACTTCAGGCAGGAGGTGCTGTGGCTGGTGCAATGACCCTACTGCCAAGCTGAAGTGCTAACCATTTAGCCACTGTGCTGCCCATTTTGCATTTTATTCTGCCTAGTAACAAGAAAAAGAAATGCAAAATGCACCAAAAACATCAAAAAAAAACGCATGTGCAAAAATACAAAACGCACTGCAGAAAAGGATCAAATGCAAACTGCATAGGGGTGAACTTAGACTTACAGTTGCAAGAAAAAGTATGTGAACCCCTTGGGATTACGTGGAGTTTTGCATGAATTGGGCATAAAATGTGCTCTGAACGTCATCTAAGTCACAACAATAGAAGAACACAGTCTACTGAACATAATACTACACAAACATTAGATGTTGCCATGGTTTAATTGCATATAACATGTAAACATTCACAGTGCAGGGAGGAAAAAGTATGTGAGGCCCTAGCTTAATGACTTCTCCCAGAGCTAATTGGAGCCAGGAGTGAGCCAACCTTGACTCCAATCAGTGTGATGATATTGGATGTGTTGCTGACAGCTGTCCTGCCCTTAAAAAACACACACCTGTTTTGGGTTTACTGGTTTCAAGAAGCACTGTCTGATGTGAACCATGCCTCGCAGAAAAGAGCTCTCAGAAGACCTACGATCAAGAATTGTTGACTGACATGAAGCTGGAAAGGGTTACATAAGTATCTCCAAAAGCCTTGATGTTCATGTGTCCACGGTAAGACAGACTGTCTACAAATGGAGAAAGTTTAGCAATGTTGCTACTCTCCCTAGGCGTGGTCTTCCTGTAAAAATGACTGCAAGAGCACAGAATACGCCTTCTGGAGTGGCCCAGTCAGAGTCCTGACCTCAACCCGATAGAAATGCTGTGGCATGACCTTAAGAGAGCGATTCACACCAGACATCCCAAGAATATTGCTACACTGAAACAGTTTTGTGAAGGGGAGTGGTCCAAAATTACTCCAGATCATTGTGCAGGTCTGATCTTCAACTACAGGAAACGTTTGGTTGAGGTTATTGCTGCCAAAGGAGGGTCAACCAGTTATTAAGTTCAAAGGTTCACATATGTTTTCCTCCCTGCACTGTGAATGTTTACATGTTATGTGCAATTAAACCATGGCAACATCTAATGTTTGTGTAGTATTATGTTCAGCAGACTGTGTTCTTCTATTGTTGTGACTTAGATGATGTTCAGAACACATTTTATGCCCAATTAATGCAAAACTCCACGTAATCCCAAGGGGTTCACATACTTTTTCTTGCAACTACAGACATCATTTCCCTTTGGTAGTATCTTAACAAAACAGATGATTTTGTTGCAGGGGATGCCTGAAATCTGACTTGTATCTTGGTGCAGACTTCTGGGAAAATCAGTAAGCCAATCGCACAAGCAGGAATTGGTGTTTCTGGTGGGCGTTCTGTACACTTTCTGTTTACAGAATGCCTCCAGGTAGCCATATTGCATTGAATTTTACAGAGAATGACCGTGCTGCAGATTGAAAAGGAAAGGTCATTTTTAATAACATTCAATTACAATGTGACTTGTGCCACAGTTGAATATGCTATATGCTTCACAAAGGGTGAAGAAGTCGGAAGTGACGAAACACGTCAAGGACGTGACATCGGATGTAGACCGGAAGTTGCGGAGCGGCCATCTTGATTGAGGTTCATTCACTGATTGACTTTTTTCTGAGGATTCATGTTCCCCACAATGGAGGATAATGCGTTTAAACACTGTTTTAATTGTAAGCATAACTTTAATAAATTAGACCCTTTTTCCAAGACTCACTACAATATAAGGATCTTGTTTTTTGACCCATGTCATGATGCCATATAGAGATTGAACAGGGCAGGGATTATCGGATGAGGAGAGCCATTTATGCTTGTGGAATTGTTTAGTCCGGTAAGGTGCATGGTGTGTAAGGTGACGGGGAAAGGATTCACATTACACTTATACTGTGAAAATAAGGGGAGCACTTTTTGGTATCCCAAAGGATATTGCACTATTATATGTTTTTTTTGTTGGAGGTAATACTGATGAGAGGAAAGGACAGCTTGGAGCACCAGTTTTTGTGGACTATTATGAGATTGAAAGTAGTTTACAAGCTTTGACAGGGTAAAAGTGTTTAATACAGAAGTGGACACTGAATGGCGTGTCACTTTATTAGCACTGGGTGGTTATTATATTCCCTAATGTTTTGTGGGGTAATGCACTATACAGAATATTCTTTTTGAGGTACACATGGATATAAAAAATGCCTGTATGAAGGTGGATTCATTTTAGGAGCACGAATTCACATTGATTTGCGGTTATCACAGACGCCGAGAGATTGTTATCTTGACTTTGGACTTTCAGGGGAGAAAGTGGAACTTTTTGCATCTAGGGTGACAGAAAAATCATTTAAGATTATTATTTAGGTTGGGGTAAACCAAATTTTTGTGAAAGTTAATGGATCACGTCTGAAAAGAAGGATCGTTGATAACTTAAAAACACACAATTTGCTGGACCCAAAGCAGCATGGCTTTACTGAGGGCAGATCATGTCAGACTAATCCGATTGGATTTTTTTACTATATTACCAATGTTTTGGACAAGGGTGGTGCTGTGGGCATATCATATCTTTATTTCAGCAAGGCATTTGATACAGTTCCACATGATGATTAATTATCTAATACAAAAGTTGTAGAAGCTAGGACTTAGCCCTTGGGTGATACAGTGGATATGCAGCTGGCTAAAGGATAGATACCAGAGTGTGGCTGTAAATGGGGTTCACCTGGAACAGAGACCAGTCACAAGCAGGGGCGGACTGACCATTTGGAAACTCGGGCACTGCCCGAGGGCCTGGGGTCAGTAGGGGGCCCCATGAGATGCCCCTGGTTCATAGGCTTTTTTGAGTTTGGGCAAGAACACAGGGGCCCTATGATCCCCTATTGCCCGGGGGCCCCATGAGTTGTCAGTCGGCCCCTGGTCACAAGTGCTCTGTTCTATTTATTCTATATATAAGTGATATAACTAAAGGTCAAAGGTAAAGAGCATGTAGAAATAAAGAGAGAAAAAAGGAGGCGCCAAAAACGAAGTGCAGATTATTGTTGTCACATTTAATGGATAGGTATAAAAACACTCAAAAGAACAAAGATAAAATAAAGTTCATCTGTATAAGACCACTCTCCTCTGTCCTGTAGGGTACCGCCGGGACACAGGGATATGACCTTAAAGTAACTGGAGGAAAGTTCAAAACTAATTTCAGAAAATACTATTTTACTGAGAGTAGTTGATGCTTGGAATAAACTTCCAGCAGAGGTAGTGAGCCAGTCAACAGTAAATAGCTTCAAACATGCTTGGGACGAGTATAGATCTATAGTCAGGCAAAAAAAGCTAATGGGGAAAAAAAAAAAAAAGAGAGTGGACTCATTGGGCCACTTTGTCTTTTTCTGCTGTCACTTTTCTATGTTTCTTTCTGTCCCAAAGATGCAACAGGACATAAAAGGAAATCTCCCAAAGTGAGATTTCCCCTCTTGACTTTAGTTTGAAAGGTCAGTGCACTCAGGTCTTTTACATTTTATAACCTACCCAATCAGCATTTGCGCTGACTGCTGTTGGCTGGTGGGTGTCTACCTGAATTCATAACAATATAAAAGCCCCCTTGCACATTTTCAAGCTAGCCAGCAAAAAAACGTAACTCAACTGTTTTAACTACTGTGACTTTTTTTTCTCTTTTTGCCTATAACCATTGACATAAGGCTTTATCCCAATCTGGCCATCATCCAATGTCTATGGGCGGTTACACAAATCATCTTGGATAAAAAAGCTCTGAAATTCTTCTTACTGAAGATTTTACCTTCAGATTTATACTATCATCATTGGATAGCTCTACCGCCAAATAAGGAACATAAAATCCTCCATAACTTTCCCCCGCAATGTAAAAATCATTTCCACTGAACTCTGGAAAATGGTGGAAAAAATCCTTTAATGCCATGTGGTTATCCCGAGCAGTCTGGAAAAAACAAACAAACATAACAATGAAAGAAGGAGAGATCATAGATAAAAACAACAAAGGGCAAATGATGCTCAAAAACATAGAAGACCAGTTAGAGCAGTGGTTCTCAACCTGTGGGTCGCGACCCCTTTGGGGGGTCAAACGACCCTTTCACAGGGGTCGCCTAAGACCATCGGAAAACACATATTTCTGATGTGTACAGAGCAGCTACTGTGTAGAAAAGCAGCTACTGTGTTGAAAGCAGCTGTATTGAAGGTAAAACGACACATGAATTATAATTACTGGGTAAAGAATTTTATGGTTGGGGGGTCACCATAACATGAGGAACTGTATTAAAGGGTCATGGCATTAGGAAGGTTGAGAACCACTGAGTTAGAGCAAATCCTATTTTTTCCTGCACTATGGGAAAGCAAGTGATATAATTATGATTACATTTCCTCCTCCCTTACAGAATCACACAACCTACATTATTAGATCTAATACTGCTCTCCTATGAACACAAACCATGTTGGGTCATTTATGTGCCTGGTAAAGTGGTCCTATTCTAGGCTGAGCGACTGGCATGCTGAATTGTAAACACAAGAGGTTGGCCACTCAGAACAGCGCGCCATTTGCATTTTCTGAATGAATGCAAAGCATTCCCTGATTGAACAAGGAGGGAAGCGTAATGTCGCTACTCTGCCTCTTTACCCCCTCCAATCAGAGAATACTTAGCACTAATTCAGGAAATGCAAGCATTCTCTGAATGGAGCCTGATCCAAGCAGCCAACCTCCTGTGCTCAGGATGCATCAGCACAGGACCCAGAAGCTAGTGGCGATCACTGGAGTAGCAGTGCCTACTTCAGTGATTTTCAGCTTCCAGGAGCATTGGCCAGGTTTGCATTGTACATAGTTCCAAGCTGTAGCAGTGTAACTATGTGTAAAATATCCATACTTGGAATTTCACTTTAATGTGAGTTTTGTATATCAATTTTAGTTATAACTCAGGGCCTTTACAAATATTGTTTGCTAATGCATGTATGCAAGTAAATGCTCCTTTTTTGGAGTGGGGGAGACCAAGACAAGAAATGATGGCGATGGGCAGTGTCTATTATTTTATTGGCATTGTGCCACAATGACAAATGTACAAAACTCCCCAGATAACCATTATGATTGAATGAGACAGATGAAAGGACAAAGCTGAAGTGTAAATTGCAGTAGCACTAGCAATTAATCATATTAAAGTAAATTGAGTGAACGATGAATTGTGATTGTAGGGTACTGCACCTTTTTTTGGAAATGCATGTTTTTTTTTCTACTAGAACTCTTGCAATTTTTAAATGTCTGCTTTTAGGGCACCAAAAATTTTCAAATACAGATAAGAAACCAAGCATTAGGAAAGCAGATTATGCATTCTGAGCAATCAATTATATCAGTTGTCAGTCTAAAATAAAAAGAAAAATTGCTTGTGTGCTGTCCCTCCAATGTAAACTTCAGCATCTCACATTAGGGTTTATATCGGACATCAAGAGCTCATTCAACTTGTGAGCTCAGTTATCATACAAGTCTTAGACTTCTACCAATTCAACTGAAAAAAAAGGCCAAACATTACAGAAGATCTTCATATACAAGTGGTAAAATTCAGGCTGTCTGTGAATAGGGAGATTTAGTATACAAGACCCATGCTGCCTGTCCTTGAAATAATGAAGATTTGGTACAGTGGAATCTTCCTCCTATCCCATGCAATGTGTTGAGTGCAATAGAATGCTGCTCCCATCCCATGCCATGGGGCATTTATTTGCTAATATGATTGTTACCATAATATGACTGCGCTTGTATATGAGTATGTGACCATAAAGCTCAACCAGCTGGCTGGATATAAGAATACATTATATTGTAATGTGTTTTTTATATATACACCAAATTACAAAATATATTTTTAATTGTATTAGCCATAATAACTAAAGACCATGTGAACAATATTATAATAAATTCCTGTTAAAAGTGAATTGATTCTTTGAAAAATATTTATGCACCCTTTTTCAAGTAGAGTGGTAGTGAAAAGTGTGAACAAGATGACCTATATCAGTGGTTCTCAACCTTCCTAATGCTGCGACCCTTTAATACAGTTCCTCATGTTGTGGTGACCCCCAACCATAAAATTATTTACCCAGTAATTATAATTCATGAAGTGTAATTTTACCTCCAATACTGCTGCTTTCAACACAGTAGCTGCTTTCTACACAGTAGCTGCTCTTTACACATCGGAAATATGTGTTTTCCCGATGGTCTTAGGCGACCCCTGTGAAAGGGTCATTCGACCCCCAAAGGGGTTGCGACCCACAGGTTGAGAACCACTGACCTATACAATGAAAAGTGGGAATAGTGTAGGGTGATCTTTAGATACAGTGATCCTCTATGACAGCATGAAACTTGCGCTACAGGAGAATGCATAGAAATATACAGTATATACATTCTAAATAGGAGAAAAACACAATCTTACCTGTGTATCATTTGTTTGATATCTTTTGTCATCAGAATAGGAAAATCCAACCCCAGCTGGGGATTCCAGGTACAGCATATTTGCAATCTAAATGTTTTAAAATATAAAGCAAATTTGAGACAGAAATTTCTAATAACATGATGTAGGAAGATACTTCAGAGAAGGTTACAAAATAAATCTCTTGATGACCAACACATGGCTCTGTATATATAGAAATGATTGTGGTCTAGTATTGTTAGGTAAAGCCTTGAAATAAAGGACAATAATGCCAAGATGTTCTGCTTGTCTGTGTCAGGTTTACTGAGAGTAATAAGATATATTGGATCTTAGAGCTGACATAGGCTGTGTGACAAATACAAAAGCAAGACACTCAATTTAAATAGAGAAACCCTAACATTAGACCACATCTGGGGCATATTGCCAAGAGATGGGGAATTTCCTACTAATGAAGTACAAGCAGAATTATATTTTGATATGCAAATATGGGAAGATCTGGTAAATAGTCTAAATTACATCCATGGAAGTCATCCATCACTTTGGGAGTAATACTGGTTTAGCATGACATGGGACCTGTCAGGACTGGGATATGAACCCACGAACTCTGTTGCATCCGGCAGTAACTTGTGTTGCTGAGCCACCTGGAATGCTGTACAGTGCCTGATTCCTTAGACTACCTTGCCTCGTGTCTTGTTTCTCCTGAACCGTTTGCTGTTCCCATGAACTTCCTATTTAAAGCTGATCTCCATCTTTTGATATTCTTTATATAGTTTGTTTGGGCCAGCTTGGAAAAAAGGGGAGAGTAGTGTTGAACTCGTGGTTACTGGGGTGTTACTTGAGGAAGAGGGGTTACTTATGATAAGGATTTTAGTGCATAGATGATAGTATAAAGGGGGTCTGGGGAATGGCTGAAAGGCGAGGAGGAGGTGGGCGAGGGAAGCCACATAGGGATTTTTGTACTTTTATACTGAAGTTAAACTTAAATATCTGTTTTTTTACTTTAAAGTAGCTGTGTACATACAATATTATAGACACTTTCTAATACAGTTTGAACTCTCCAGGCATTCTAACTGCTTTTGCTTGGTTTCAGAAAGACTTCAGGTTAAGAAGTTCTGTATCTCTTCTTCCTGATATTGGAGCGTGGGGTTCCAGGATGCTATGCAGATAGACAGTGTGCCTGTATTCCATAATCTGTGCAGCCAAAAGAAAAATGCAGGCTGTGCTTAAGCAGGGGGCGTGTTCATGAGGCTGTAATTGGGAGGAGGTGTGTGTTAGAGGCAGGTCAGGGGTGGGTGGCTGAACAAACTACCCAATACAGGCATGCTGTGTGTCTGCACAGTGTTCTGCACCTCTGAATGACCAGCCATAGATGAAAACTGACCACGCAAGAACAGATCAGCTTTTGTGCTTTGTGTGGTCAGTAAGAACAAGGAAGAAAGATGACCGGCAGAATCAGCCAGGTACTCAGCCACTCATCCTCTCCTTCCTGCAGGCATTCAGCTGAGGAGAGAAATGGACAGATCGGTTCCTCTATATGCCACCCCCCCTTTTCCACTTCCTACTGACCTGGGCTCCTGTGTACTCTCCCAGCGACCGCCCCCTTCCCCCCCATCCCCAGCAGTGCTGACAGGTTCCACCCCTCCCCTCTCCTGACAGCTGCTGTGGGTGATCAGGCAGGATGGAGAGTGGGGAAGGGGCCAATAGATGTGTCATTTAGTGGCCCTTTGCTTGCTTGAATGGACAGTCAGTGATCAGTACTGATCACTGACTTTGTCCATTCATAACTGAGACATAGTAAACCATTTACTATACTTCAGTTTGAGTGAATGAATGGAAAGCTTTGTAGAGAACAATTCCTGTCCATTCATTCAGTGCTGCAAAGGCTGCAGAGATGGAGATTGAGGGCTGTGTCCTCAATATTCTTTCTCTATCTCAACGGTGAGATCTCAGGGGTCTGTTTCGATGCCTGATATCTCACCAAAGCCCCTCATGGGGCTCCTAAAAAAAATGTAACAAATAATAAAAAATAAAATTGTAAAAAAAAAAACTAAATAGAATGGTAACATAAAAAAATAGAAACTGAAAACTACTGACACCAATGGTGGAAACTACGAGGGTCATAAAGGTTGCAGTTGCGACCAGGCCCTGGCGTTCTGTCACTGGGCTCCAAGGAAAGGGCCCTGAACTCGAATCTGCTCAGTCTAAAATGCCCAGGCTTATTTTTTGTCCCAGCCCGGGCCTGGAGACTATGATTTATAAAATACACATTTGTGAACACACTCAGAGAAAAAAAATATTTAGGATAACACACACTTTAATTATTCAATTAAATTATTCAAGAAATGATTAGTACCCAAACGAGCCTCTCTAAATGATGCTAGATGATGATTCCCATGTTGGGAGTTTAGGTACCACAATACAAAAAAAATCCCATAAAATGAAGGGATTTGTGAGGGACCGCCGAGCGGCACCACTAGCACTCCACCGGTCAGGCGTGCCCAGAGCGCGGAATCTAAGCCCCAGGGTACTTGTTCACCAGGGCCCCTGATGGTGGGGATGGACTTGTAGTACCCTGAGACCAGGTCGCCTCTACTGAGCACACCTGTCAGTGGTAGGGGTGTCCGCCAGGGGTTCCAACCCAGGGAGAGCCAAATGTGAGGAGGTCGGGTGACCCTGATGGGATGGATGGATGGATGGCTGAGCAAGTGCGTAGTCAGACAGGCCGAGTCGGTAATGTAGAGGACGGTAAGGTACAAGGGAGCAGGCAGAGAATCGTCGGGTCACACGCCAGGTCAGCAACAGGAGGTCAGATCTACAGAGGGGCATCCAGGGAGAGAGGTCAGACAAGCAAGGGTCTGGGCAGGAGAAATCAGCAAGGTCAAGAGCAATCCGGGTCAATAACTTACAGTATACAGGTTCACAGGATCAGGAATGCAGGTAAGACCAGAAGGCAACGAAATGACAGCTCAGGGACCTTTAAATATCCCGCCCTGCGCTGCCATTGGTGCCCAGCGGGCGGCCGCGGCTTCTTCTGCGCATGCGCGAACTCGAACACCGCGGCCGGCCCGGACCTAGTGCCCGTGTACTGGGAGGAGCAGTGCGCCTGCGCCGGGACCAGCGAGGGACGGATCGCGGGGATCCCTGACATTGCCCCCCCCCTACGGGCAACCTCCGGATGCCCACCCGATCTCTCCACCACGGGTGATCACAAAGAAACCTCCGGACAAGCCTAGGTGCATGGACATTATGGGCTGGTTCCCACGAATTGTCCTCAGGGCCGTAGCCCTTCCACTTGATGAGAAATTGGGTCTGGCCCCCCCTTCGACGGCACTTCAAAGATTGCCTCCACCTCAAATTCCTCTTCCTCTTCAACCGTTACGGCCTCCGGGGGCCTGGATTCCCGTTCCGGGAAGGCATCAGGGACTACCGGTTTCAACAGGGACACGTGGAAGTCAGGGTGGATCTTGAGTGTGTCAGGGAGAACAAGTTCATAGGCCACCTCATTGACCATCCGTTTGATGCAAAAAGGGCCTATGAATTTAGGTCCCAACTTCTTCGACGGGCAAAGCATCCTCAAGTTTGACGTAGCCAGCCAAACCTTCTCTCCGGGCTGCAACACCAGGTTCCCTCTTCGCTTCCTATTGAAAGCCTTCTTATAGTCTTCTTGGGCTTGACGGATGGCTTCCTGTAATTTCTTATTGTTGGAGGTGAAGAAGGTCAGTGCATCCTGCGTCGCTGGAATCGGGCATTCCGGGACCAAGTCCGGGAGGAAGACCGGATGAAACCCATAGTTGGCGAAGAACGGGGACTGCCCAGTTGCAGAATGGCAAGCGTTGTTGTACGCGAATTCTGCCAAAGGGAGGAGTGGCGCCCAGTCGTCCTGAGAGAATGATGTGTAGCATCGCAGGTATTGCTCCAGGGTCTGATTGGTCCTCTCGGTCTGGCCATTGGTCTGAGGGTGAAATGCCGAGGAAAGAGACAGCTTGATATCCAGGGCTTTGCACAGCGCCCTCCAAAACCGCGAGGTAAACTGCACCCCTCGGTCCGAGACGATGTCTTCGGGAACCCCATGCAGTCTAACGATCTCTCGAATAAAGACTTGTGCCGTCTCGGCTGCAGATGGAGTCTTCCGTAAAGGGATGAAATGGGCCATCTTGGATAAGCGGTCCACAACCACGAGGATTGCTGTGTGATCCAGCGAAGGAGGGAGCTCGACTATGAAGTCCATGGAGATTCTCTGCCAGGGCCGTTCAGGGATAGGCAATGGACGTAGCAGGCCCCATGCCTTGTTCCTTGAAGGCTTGTTCCCGCTGGCAGATGGCACAGGAGCCCACGTAGATCTTACAATCCTTGGCCATGTCCGGCCACCAGAAGGAACGCCGGAGAAGTTCCAGGGTCTTGACCGGTCCAAAATGTCCTGCCAGTGGGTGGTCATGGCAATGTCCCAAGACTAAGGTTCGGGCATCCTCTGGCACCACAATCCGGTCCTCCCTCCATAGGAGTCCCTCCTTGTTCTGGAGGGGGGCCCCATCGGAGGTAGACATTGCTGTGGACGCCCTCAGGATCTCGGAGCGAAGGTTTGTCTGAAGGGCCAAGAAATTCCCTGCCGGAAGAATAGTGTCGGGCACTGGGATCTCCTTGGTGTCCTCATACATGCGCGATAATGCGTCAGGCTTCGTGTTTTTCGAGCCGGGCCTGTATGTGATGTGGAACTGGAACCTCGAGAAAAACAATGCCCATCTTGCTTGTCGTGGGCGTAGACGTTTGGCCGTCCTCAGATATTCCAGGTTCTTGTGGTCCGTGAATATCAGGATGGGATGGGAGGCACCTTCCAGCAGGTACCTCCATTCCTCTAAAGCGGTTTTGATAGCCAGTAGCTCGCGATCCCCAATGTCGTAGTTCCTCTCCGCCGGGGTAAGTTTCCGTGAAAAGAATGCTACTGGGTGAAGTAATTCCTTGGCGCCCTTCCGCTGGGAAAGGATGGAGCCAACCGCGTTTTCAGATGCATCTACTTCTAAGATGTAGGGCAGGGAGGCGTCGGGATGACCCAGAATGGGTGCCGAGGTAAATAACCTTTTTAGTGCCTCAAAGGCTTCCTGTGCCTCGGGCGTCCATCTGAATCGCGTCCCAAGCTTAGTTAATTGAGTGATAGGGGAGACCAGACCCGAGAAGTTCTTGATGAACTTCCGGTAGAAAATTTGCGAACCCAATAAAACGTTGGACACTTTTCCTGTCCGTGGGTTCAGGCCAATCTAGGATCGCTGAGACCTTCTGAGGGTCCATTGCGACCCCCGTGGTGGAGATAATCAGACCCAGGAATGTAACGCTAGCCTGTTCAAAGCAGCATTTCTCTGCTTTAGCGTACAACCCGTGCTGCCGCAACCGCCCCAACACCTTTGTTACATGTACCCTGTGCTCCCCCAGGGAGGATGAGAAAATCAAAATGTCGTCTAAGTAGACGATGACAAAGATGTCCAGGAAGTCCCTAAAGATGTCGTTTACAAAGTGCTGGAAGGTGGCTGGCGCATTGCATAACCCGAAAGGCATGACCAGGTATTCAAAATGGCCGAATCGGGTGCGGAAGGCCGTCTTCCACTCATCCCCCTCCCTTATGCGAACCAAATTGTAGGCTCCCCTTAAGTCCAACTTGGTAAATACTACCGCAGCCTTTAAGCTCTGGAACAATTCAGGTACCAGAGGTAATGGGTAACGATTTTTAATGGTGACCCTATTCAGCTCCCGATAGTCAATGCATGGCCTCAAAGTCTTGTCCTTCTTTTCTACAAAGAAGATCCCTGCACCTGCTGGGGAAGTGGAGGGACGGATGAATCCCTTACGGAGGCTATCCTCAATATAGTCCTTCAGGGCCCCTAATTCCAGCTCAGAAAGGGGAAAAATTCGTCCGAACGGGATTTCAGAACCGGGCAACAGATCAATTGGACAGTCATATGGGCGGTGGGGGGGTAGAGCATCTGCTCCCCGTCACTGAACACGTCAAGGAACTTGTGATAGGCTGCAGGAACCACTTGTTTCAGGCTGTCATCCCCCTCAGAGCACAAAAGAACCTGGGGGACCCCCGGGCCCGAAGTTCGACACAGTTCCCGACAATATGGGGAAGGGAACGAGACAACCCCAGTTTCCCAGTCAATTTGGGGGTTATGGGCCCGCAACCAAGGGAGCCCCAGAATGACTGGGAAAAGGGGGTGATGCAATAGCATCCAGGCGGAGGAGTTCCCGGTGCTGACCGGCAATGGAAGTCATAATGGAAGGGGTCTCCTGGTTGACTACTCCTGACTTTATCCGGGAACCATCAGCTAAAAAGATATGAAACCCCTTCCTTTGGGCGGAGGGGAATACCCTGCTGGTGAGCAAAATTGATATCCACAAAACAGCTGCATGCCCCCGAAATCAACTATGGCCGACACCTCCACGGTCCTTTCGGAAAGCTGAAAGGAGAGGGGAACAACTAAGTACTGGGACGGGGTCATATCGCCAACAGATAAAGAAGATGAAGTGAACTTACTCAGTTTCTGCGGGCAGGAACGCACCATGTGACCAGCTTCGCCGCAGTACAGGCACAGATTCTGGGAGCGTCTGCGCTGGCGTTCCTCAGGCGATAGTTTAGGCCGAGCCAGGCCTAGCTGCATGGGTTCGGGGGCATCTTCAGCCGGCAGGTTCTGGATGCTTGGCCTAGTATGTTGACCGGATCCCTGAAATGAGCCCCAGGGATTTCCGCGACCCTGACCAGACCTCTCCAATCTGCGCTCCCGTAGCCTACGGTCAATTTTAATAGTGAGTGCAATCAAGTCCTCTAATATCTCGGGCACCTCTACCCGGGCGAGCTCGTCTTTCAGAGCCTCAGATAGGCCCATACGAAAACTGGTGTAAAAGGGCGAACTCGTTCCAACGAGTGTCACCCATCCAGCGCCTAAAGTCAGAGGCGTATTCCTCAGCCGTCCGCCGACCTTGTCGGAGTGTGTATAACGTGGCCTCGGCCGAGGCCGCCCGTTGTGGGTCATCATATAAGATGGCCATAGCGTTAAAGAAGCTGTCGACCGAAATCAGGTGAGGGTCATTGTTTCCCCTTAGTCGGTGGGCCCAGTCTTGGGGTTCACCCTGCAGCAGGGAGACAACAAACCCCACTTTCACTGACTCTGTCAAAAAGGTCCGTGGCTGTAGTTCAAAAAAAGAGAAGACAAGAGTCACGAAATGACCGAAAACGTGTGCGATCCCCATGGAAGCGCTCGGGTAAGGGTACTCGGGGTTCCGCCATAGGGAGTGATGTGGGAGGCCCAGGAGCCGGCTCGTGGGCTGCTGCGACTGGAGGTGCAGGAGCCGGGGCCTGTGAAACAGGAACAGATATGGTGCAGGCCTGAAACCGATTCTCGATCTGCAGACATCTGTCCTGTAATGTGTTTACAGCTTGCGTCAGGGTAGACAGGTGCCTGCACACCTCGTCCAACGGGGTGAGTCCTCCTCGAGGCTCAGTCATGGCCTTCTGGTACTGTGAGGGACGCCGAGCGGCACCACTAGCACTCCACCGGTCAGGCGTGCCCAGAGCGCGGAATCTAAGCCCCAGGGTACTTGTTCACCAGGGCCCCTGATGGTGGGGATGGACTTGTAGTACCCTGAGACCAGGTCGCCTCTACTGAGCACACCTGTCAGTGGTAGGGGTGTCCGCCAGGGGTTCCAACCAGGGAGAGCCAAATGTGAGGAGGTCGGGTGACCCTGATGGGATGGATGGATGGATGGCTGAGCAAGTGCGTAGTCAGACAGGCCGAGTCGGTAATGTAGAGGACGGTAAGGTACAAGGGAGCAGGCAGAGAATCGTCGGGTCACACGCCAGGTCAGCAACAGGAGGTCAGATCTACAGAGGGGCATCCAGGGAGAGAGGTCAGGCAAGCAAGGGTCTGGGCAGGAGAAATCAGCAAGGTCAAGAGCAATCCGGGTCAATAACTTACAGTATACAGGTTCACAGGATCAGGAATGCAGGTAAGACCAGAAGGCAACGAAATGACAGCTCAGGGACCTTTAAATATCCCGCCCTGCGCTGCCATTGGTGTCCAGCGGGCGGCCGCGGCTTCTACTGCGCATGCGCGAACTCGAACGCCGCGGCCGGCCCGGACCTAGTGCCCGTGTACTGGGAGGAGCAGTGCGCCTGCGCCGGGACCAGCGAGGGACGGATCGCGGGGATCCCTGACAGGATTATTCTAAAGATATAAAGTGCTCCAACTTAATTTTATCACATTTGAGAGGACCCTGGCCAAATGTTTGAACTGGACCCACACAGGCCAAGATATTACCCGGCAAAAATGGCGCCCAATTGCTTTTAATTCAGGCACATATAACAATATATATATAGCTTCTGTGACGTCCGGCAGCTATGGCTCTTATCCCTTCTGATGATGTACGTGTGATACGAAACGCGAGTCAAGGAGGAGCCCCTGCTACCCGTGACGTCAAGTCGCCGGATCAAGGAGGTCCGGCGGCCACCCATCTATACCAGCTGGTCAGTGTGTAATTTATCACATCCTTTGTGCACAAGGATTGATTTTACTACGATATTCATGTTAAGTGTTTCCTGTTCTAATTTTCAATAAATTCATTTAATATTTTACCTAAGTACTACACTATGGGTACTCCTTTCTGCTCTATATCGAGCACTTAACTCCTCAGGACCACAAGGTGATTATCCCAGGGCCCTGAGTAACATTCAGCTGATCCTGTTTGGAGCCAGGTCTACTACAAGGGACCCCCAGATGCGGCACCCCCCCATCACGGAGTCATTCGATCCGAGCTTCTTTCCATCCACAACTGGAGTGACCTTTGGTGTACATGAAACAAATGCGCAATTAAATTGTGCTTCCGGTGAGTGCGCAATTTACTCATTTTTCTGCATAACGCCGGACTATATTTATCACGGGGATCTTATCAAGCCTTTCTCAACTCATCTGTGGCTTTTTTGATCATTGGACCATCATTTTATTGTGCATTTTTATTGTGCGTTTATATAGGGAAGTGAAGGCGTGTGTGGTACACGCCTTTACTGCATCTTTATTGGGAAGGTCATACACATCCTATGTGGCCTATACCGTTTGCCAAGATCTAAAGAACTTTGCACCACAAATACTGGTGCAATCATACGTTTATATCATTTTCTACCGCTGCACTATCTGTTATGCTTTGTCATTTTTAAGGTTTTAGGGTTTTCCTTTTTTAGTGTATCAGCTGCTGTATTAGTTAGCGCTCACTGAACCCCCCACTATTATATTACACTATTATTATTCCAAGCGCCATGACCCAATAGGTATTTAGGTATGTTGAATTGACGGCCATAAAACTGATTTCACCTGACAAATGGTAGTTCGCAGCTGATATGCCACTTCAAATAAAGCTTGCAATTACTACCTTATTCCAGGAATGTGGATTGCTCTTCAGCGTGTGGCCATCTTCTTGAACCTGGTATGAGGAAGAAACGCAAAAGAAAAAAAATGTTCAAAATGTTTACAGAGTAATCAAACAGGAATTATGTTTTCAAGATTGTACTAGTTCTGGGTTCCCGCACTCTGATGATCAATATGGGCTTGTGTGTTGTTTATCTGTGTTTGGCGTGCATTTAAGATGCGCATCGAAATGCAGGTCAGTAGATTCCCATTTACTTTAATAGTTCATTGTGGATGACAGGCTGCATTTGACCTGCTTTGAATTGCATTGCATGTCTGTGAATATAGAGCTATTGGAAATGTGTTTGTATTGTAGACAAAGCGATCAGTGCAGCCTTTTGTTCTTGCATACATTTGAGCTGAACTGTGTTGGAATGGAAAAAAAGCCAGTGTTTGACAGTGACATCCGATACAGTGATCTTTTTTTTTTTAATCTCTCTCAACATAGTCACAGGTGAAATAATGAAACTTATTAATTAAAATATTCCTGGCAAACGTCTGTTAAACTGTGAATGTTGGTGGGTTCCTTAGAACCCTTAGATTCAGAATCCTTAGATTCACAATAGGAAACAACACACACCAGAAAAGGGCCATGTCCTTTTAGGAAACCTCCAAGGGAGCTGCAACCAGGACCTCCATTCAGCCACAGGACCACTGGACTAGAGCTGGGATCTTGCTGGGACTCCACAAACCTGCACAAGACAAAATTGTACAGATCAGAATGAGAGAGGAGCCTAGGTGGAGGTAAGGAAGTGGATGCCTAATACAGGGCAACTCACCAATAATGTAAATATTTGCCCCCTGGTACATTCAGGTACCCAGAGTACTGCAGGAAAGATGGCTCCTCATCCAGGCCAGGCAAGTGGTTGATCTGATCTTTCTGAGGAGCAGCTTCTATAGAAAGTGCCACCAGGACCACAGAACAAAGTAGATGGATCATCTGAAACATTCAAAACCAAAATACCGATTGACAGGCAATGGATAAAGCATAACTCCCAAATGTTCCTCAGTTGGAAGGACTGTCCCTCCTTTGAAACCAAATCCCTCTGTTCCTTGTGCAGCCTCAGTTGTCCCTCTTTTTGGTCCAATGTGTACATCTCTATACAAAATGTACTATTTTAATACCAAAAGTGTTATGCTACACTAAACCTTTTATCCAACCTTTATATTACTGCATTTGTTTTATTTTGAAAAGTTAATATAAAGGAAAAATAGAGGTAAAAAGGCACTGGTATGGTTTAGCGAATCATTTTCTGTATATTAGATCTTTGTGGTCCCTGTAACAAGGGCAGTGGCAGGGACATGTCTGCCGCTGTCTCGTTTTGCCAGTTCAGAAAGATGGAAAGTATATATAAACAAACAGAAATCGTAGCATATTTAACCACCACAATACCGCCAACGTACAGTATATATATATATATATATATATATATATCTTGGTATTAAGGTGGTTATTCCGGGATCATAATTGAGGCTACAACCATAATTCTGGTACCGTTTTCTTCAGGAGGCGATACCCTACAATATAAAAGAGATCCGAGGTGCTGAAAGGGGGTCCCCCTTTATGCCACCACCTTTCCCAGGCTCTCCTGTCCCACTGGTTGCACTGCGCAGAGTGAGAGCAACTGAAAGTGTTCCTCCCCCTATGTGAGATCAGAAACCGGAAACGATGAGGAGTTTGTTATTTCCGTTTTTTTATTTTATTTGTCTACAAGCTATGACTGGCATGTTCAGCAACTGATCAAACTGATCTTAGTTTGATCAGATGCTTTGGAGGCCAGGAGGAGAGATATGGGTTCTAAAAGACCCCAGATCTCTCCTTAAAGTGGAGCTCCATCCGAAAGGGGAAGTTCCATTTTAAGGACTGATCCCCCGCTCCTGTTAAGGATTGGTACCTTTGAGGAGTGGGTACCTGAAATTGACAGGTACCCGCTCCCACGTCTGCTGCGATTGCCTAGGCAATCGGAAGTGGAAGTTGTCCTCCCTCCTCATAGTCTTCTGGCACACATTACAGGTCCCAGAAGACTATGGGACCATTCACAAAGTGCAGCGCTACTCGCACATGCGCAGTGAACACCCAGCTGTGAAGCCGCAAGCTGTCACAGCCGAGTGCCCACACTGAAGATGCCGGTGCCAGGAACACAGAGTGGCTGGTGAAATGGGCCACAGGGAGGACACCAGGGATCGAGAGACAGGTAAGTGTCTATTTTTTAAAAGTCAGCAGCTGCTGACTTTTTTTTTTTCTTTTTTATTTTCACTGGAACTCTGCTTTAACGAGGACCTGTCATAGCTAGACATGTGCGGTTCGTTTCAGGCCAATTCAAATTCGAACAAAATTTGTATTATTCTGGGACTTCGAATTACAATAGTAACAAAGTTAAAGGAATCCGTAATAACGAAACAAAATATAATTTGAAATTCAAATCGAATTCGAAAACAAATTCGAAATATAAACATATTGCTGATTTCTTTCAAAGACTATGTGTAATAGTGTTAGAATATAGCCATCTTCTGAAATTTTAATTTCGAAAAGAATAGGATAAAACAGAATGAAATAGAAAAAATAGAGAAACAGAACAGAAAAAAAAAATAAAAGAATAAAAGAAAATAGAAAAAAGGAATAGAAAATAAAATGGAACACAAAAAAATAGGAGAAAAAAAAAAAATTGATTGGAATAGAATGGGATAAAATAAAAAGAATATAACCGCCTTCAAAAATCCAAATTTCGAATAGAATAGAACCAGCTGTTCTTCACAATGAATTCAGATCAAGTCGATATTTTCGATTCAAATACTTTGAATCCACTGTAAAAATCTGAATTTGGTTGAAAACGAATAAACAAAACAAATTTAGTTACAAATGCAATGAAACAAAATTAGTAAATTAATCAATCCAAAACTAAACAAATTATTCCATTCTGTCCATGTCTAGTCATGGCTCATGCTGTCACAAGGAATGTTGTTTATCCCTTGAGATAGCAATAAAGTTGATAAAAAAAAATGAAAAGGCACAATGTAAAAAAAATTTAAACAAAATAAAATAGTAACATTTAAAAAAAAAAGTAAAGCGCCCCCACCCCCCTTTGCACACGTGCAAAGGCTAACGCGCACACAGATATAAATGGTGAATACACCACATGTAAGGTATTGCTGCAAGCGTCCGAATGAGAGCAATAATTCTAGCACCAGAAACTCTAAACTGGCAACCTGTAAAGACTTTTCAATTGTCGGCAATGCACATTGTTAGGTACCGTACTTTGCTGCCGTTCCAGGGGTATATGCAATTTTAAAGTGCAACATGTTTGGTTTCTATTTACTCAGCGTATTATCTTTTGATTTTTACCAAAAAAATGAGGTATTCTATTGCGTTTCTTTGCACCAAAATTCATGAAAGTGTATTTTTTCCTTAAAATGTGTGTTTGACAAACCGCTGTGCGACATAAAAATTGCAACAACCGTTTTATTCTCCAGAGCCTCTGCCTAAAAGGAGACAATGTTTGAGGTTCTGAGTAATTTTCTAGCAATGGAATGCAGTTTTTTACATGCCAGAAATGTCAGAATTGGCCTGGTTAGAGTCCAGCTCCAGCCATCGTTTCAGCAAGCATGCCATGAAAGACATCCTGCAAATCCTTCCTCAAGGCTTGTGCTGCTGAACAGGTTGAGAAGCATTGAATGAGGTCACAGAGGTTCCAGATAGGCTGTTTGAACGTTGAAAAAAAAATGTGAACAGCACAATTAACAGTCCGTTGGGAGTAATCTGTACAAAAAAAATGTATTACTGCCAGGAGTCAAACTTTACTACTGAACACGGTAACATTTCATCACCTTTACAATGAAGGCCTGAATTTAGCCAGAACATTTGTTTTTTTTAGTTTTCAACAGAGTAGGAAAGGGTTGGAACTGCTATCAGGCTTTTTATTCCTGATTCACACCTATGCGTTTTTTAGTGTTTTTTGCAGAAACGCACTACACTCCATTTAACATTGTTTCCTATGGGACATGTTCACATCTATGCTTTTTGAGCTTTTGCAAAGTTTTGAAAAGGATCAGGGACTTTTTAAAACGCAGAAAAGCAGCGTTTTTGCTACAATAGAGTTTAATGGAGAAGCTGCTGAAACGCATGTGGTGCATTGTTGCCACATTTTTATGGTGTTGCGTTTTTATTCTGCCAGCAACAAAACAATTTCCACTTCAACAAGAAACTCAAAACAAAAAAAAATGCAACAAAAATGCAAAAAGCACTGCAAAATGGACAAAAAGCACAATGCATTGGTGTGAACCAGGCCTTACATAGTTAGTCTGGCTGAAATAAGACAAAAGTCCATCTAGGTCAATCATAAAAAAAAAAAAAGTTATAATCCTACTCCCACAGTTGATCCAGAGGAAGGAAAAAGAACCCAGCAAAGCACAATCCAATTTGCTCTTGCAGGGGAAAAAAATGCCTTCCTTATCCCCCGAGAGGCAAAATCGGATATTCCCAGGATCGCCTTTACCTATAAATGTTAGTATCCAGTTATATTCTGTGTATCTAAGAAAGATTTCAGGCCTTTTTTAAAGCAATACACTGAGCTGGCCAGAACCAACTCTTGAGGGAGTCTATTCCACATTTTCACAGCTCTTACTGTGAAGAAACCTTTCCATGTTTAGAGATTACCGTATTTTTCGCACCATAAGACGCACTTTTTTCCCCCCAAAAAAGGGGGGAAAATGTCAGTGCGTCTTATGGAGCGAATATGGAGCGGCCGGTCTGGTATTTCCACTGCCGCCGTGTCAGAATACCGGGCCGGCCGCTCAGCTCTACAGCGGGACCTTATAGAGATGACTGCTGACCTTTGGGGAGGGGGGGGAGCGGGTACCTGAATTTGACAGATAACCGCTCCCACTTCCGTGGAGTTGTTCTTTCATCTTACCCGTTCCTCTATCCAGCGGCGCGGTCTTCCCGGCTTCTGTAGTGGGCATGACAGCCGGGTGTCAAGTGCGCATGCGCAGGAAGCGGTGCTTTTTGTGAATGGTAAGGCGGCACCTGGGACACATGACAGATCCCAGAAGCCGCCGGACCAATCACAAAGCGCAAGTGCTTCTCGCTCATGCGCACTGGGCACCCGGCTGTCATGCCGAGCGCCATTACAGAAGCCGGGAAGACAGCGCGCGGCTGGATAGAGGAACAGGTAAGATGAAAGAACAACTCCGCGGAAGTGGGAGCGGGTATCTGTCAAATTCAGGTACCCGCTCCCCCCCCTCCCCAAAGGTCAGCAGTCATCCCCTGTACTATCCACAGTCTCTGGTCATCCCTGTGCTGTCCGCAGTCTCTGGTCATCCCTGTGCTGTCCGCAGTCTCTGGTCATCCCTGTGCTGTCCGCAGTCTCTGGTCATCCCTGTGCTGTGTCCGCAGTCTCTGGTCATCCCTGTGCTGTGTCCGCAGTCTCTGGTCATCCCTGTGCTGCTCCCTGTCCGCAGTCTCTGGTCATCCCTGTGCTGTGTCCGCAGTCTCTGGTCATCCCTGTGCTGTGTCCGCAGTCTCTGGTCATCCCCTGCACTGTGTCCGCAGTCTCTGGTCATCCCTGTAATGTGTCCGCAGTCTCTGGTCATCTCCTGTACTGTGTCCGCAGTCTCTGGTCATCTCCTGTACTGTGTCCGCAGTCTCTGGTCATCTCCTGTACTGTGTCCGCAGTCTCTGGTCATCTCCTGTACTGTGTCCGCAGTCTCTGGTCATCTCCTGTACTGTGTCCGCAGTCTCTGGTCATCTCCTGTACTGTGTCCGCAGTCTCTGGTCATCTCCTGTACTGTGTCCGCAGTCTCTGGTCATCCCCTGTACTATGTCCGCAGTCTCTGGTCATCCCCTGAACTGTGTCCGCAGTCTCTGGTCATCCCCTGAACTGTGTCCGCAGTCTCAGGTCATCTCCTGTACTGTGTCCGCAGTCTCTGGTCATCTCCTGTACTATGTCTGCAGTCCATTAGTTCAGAATTTTTTTTTCCTGTTTTCTGCCTCTAAAACCTAGGTGCGTCTTATGGTCAGGTGCGTCTTATGGAGCGAAAAATACGGTACATTTATTTTCCTCCAGACGTAAAGCGTGCCCCCTTGTCCTCTGTGATCACCTCAAGGTGAATAACTCTACACCGAGTTCACTATATGAACCACTGATGTATTTATACATGTTGATCATATCCCCCCTTAATCTCCTCTTCTCAAGAGAGAATAAATTCAGTTCCTCTAATCTTTCCTCATAGCTGAGCTCCTCCATGCCTCTTATCAGTTTGGTTGCCCTTCTCTGTACTTTCTCCAGTTCCCCAATGTTCTTTTTGTGAATTGGTGCCCAAAACTCAACTGCATATTACAGATGAGGTCTTACTAATGATTTGTACCGGGGTAATATGATATCTCTCTCTCTGGAGTCTATACCTCTTTTAATACAAGAGAGGATTTTGCTCGCTTTAGAAACCGCAGCTTGGCATTGCATGCCATTATTAAGCTTGTGATCTACCAGAACTCCCAGATCCTTCTCCACCATTGATTCCCCCAGTTGTACCCCCCCCAGTATGTATGATGCATGCATATTCTTAGCCCCCAAGTGCATAACCTTACATTTATCAACATTAAACCTCATTTGCCACATAGTTGCCCAATTAAACAGTGCATTGAGGTCGGCTTGTAAATTGGAGACATCATGTAAGGACGTTATTCCACTGCACAGCTTGGTGTCATCTGCAAAGACTGAAATGGGATTTTCAATCCCAGACCCTATATCGTTTATAAATATATTAAAAAGTAAGGGTCCCAACACTGAACCTTGGGGTACACCACTGACAACCCTAGACCATTCAAAGTATGAATCATTAACCACTACTCTTTGAATACGATCTTTTAGCCAGTTTTCTATCCATTTACATATGGATTTTTCCAAGCCGTAGACTTTACCTTACACATTAGCTGTGTGTGGGGAACTGTGTCAAACGCTTTTGCAAAATCCAAGTATACCACGTCCACCGCCACCCCTCTCTCCAAGTATACCATGTCCACCGCCACCCCTCTGTCCAAGGTTTTGCTCACCTTCTCATAAAAAGAAATCAGATTTGTTTGACATCTTCTGTCTTTCATGAATCCATGCTGTCTGCTGCTTAAAATATTTTTTTCCATCAAGAACTCATCTATGTGGTCTTTTATTAAACTCTCCAGTATCTTCCCAACTATAGAAGTTCAACCGACAGGTCTATAATTACTTGGTAAAGATTTTGACCCCTTTTTAAATATTGGCACCACATTGGCCTTACACCAATCCAGTGGTACTATGCCAGTCATTAAAGAGTCTCTAAAAAATTAGAAGCAATTGCTTTGAAATGACAGAGCTCAATTCTTTAAAGGATCCGTGGGTATATGCAATGTGGTTCAGGTGCTTTATTCACCTTTATTCTGTCTAAATATTTCTGGATCATATCAGTTGTGAGCCAATGTGGATCATCTGGAGCTGTATCAATACCATGCCCATTATGGACAAGAGCTCCCCCATGCTCCTTTGTATACACAGAGCTGAAGAAGGTATTTAATAAATTTGCCATCTCTTTGTCCCCAGTCACCCAGTTATTTTGTAACGGGCCTACATGCTTTGACCAGACCTTTTTTCTATCAATATATTTGAAGAATTTTTTGGAGTTTGTCCTGTTTTTGCAATCTGACGTTCGTTTTCAATTTTTGTGGCCTTTATTTCCTTTTGGCATATTCTGTTATATTCTTTGTAATGTTTAGGCTTTACTGTAGTCAGGCTGCAATGGAGAGATTTCATCTTGGTTTCTGTTCCATGGGACACAGAGTGCCAAACATTTTTTCAGTAAAATGAGGAAATGTTAGAACCTCTGTCAACTTATTATTACTGCAGCAGTGTCAAGTCATCCAGAAAATCCGGGAGATAGCCAGATTCTGAAAACCCTCACCTGATCAGTGGGGCTGATCTCGTATGTACTTTACTCTTCCATTACTTTACAAGCAAGTGGACTAAAGGTGGACTACATGATGGATCCACCCAGTCACTATCTGAAGGTGATTCACAGGAATGGGGAGGAAGTCAACTAGCCACACCTGCTACCAGGGTTGACTGTCTCCTGAACCCTTCTGCTGAGGAATAGCATAAGGTCATTTCTGCAGAGCCAGATGGATTATACAGGGTGTGTAAAGTATGGACACATAGAAGAAATGAATACTGAGGAAAAAAAACATAGCTAGTGATATTTCCTATGTGTCCAAATGTTAGGGACACCCTGTAGAATCAGACTGCCTAGATGGCTGCACACTGGTATCTCTTAGTTATAAAGAAAATAATTATGGCTTTTACAAAAAGCTCATTCACTCCCCCTCTTTGCCTGGTACCTACTACTGTACACCACTCTACTCCCTTAGCACCTTCTGCTCCTCCAAACTCAAACATCAGAACATCCAGTCCTTCATACTATCAAGCCCTCCTTCACATTTTTACCCATTTGCACCTCCAGCTCCCCTCAAATCTGACAACCCAGTACCTTTTGGCCTCCTCTAACCTAATCTCCATTGTCCCCCACATACGTCTCTGATCCAGTGCAGTGAACTCACCCAGGAATATTTGGAGGTACCCAGTTTTTGGGGTTCACTCCTGGTGGTTGAAGCAAACCTACCAGAGTCATAGCAGATTCTCTGCACCTCCTGGAGACTCTCAAGCAAGTGTGAGCCAATGCAAGGGCAGGAGAGGCTGGCTGTCTAAGTGTACAGTTAGGTCCATACATATTTGGACACAGGCACAATTTTAGTTTTTTTCAGGTATTTACCAAAACATATTCAAGCTATAGTTATATAATGGATATGGGCTGAAGGTGCACACTCTCAGGTTTAATTTGAGGGTATGTACATCCAAATTGGAGGAAGGGTTTAGGAATTACAACTCTTAAGAGTAGTCATCCCCCCTTTCCAAGGGACCAAAAATAATTGGACAGTTGAATATAGTCATAAATAAAAAATGTTTATTTTTAATATTTTGTTGAGAATCCTTTACTGGCAATGACTGCCTGACGTCTGGAACCCATGGACATTACCAAAGACTGGGTTTCCTCCTTGCTGATGCTTTGCCAGGCTTTAACTGCAGCTGCCTTTAGTTTTGCCTTCAGCAAGCGAAATGCATGCTCAATTGGATTGAGATCAGGTGACTGACTTGGCCATTGCAGAGTATTCCACTTCTTTTCCCTTAAAAGCTGCTGGGTTGCTTTTGCAGTGTGTTTTTGATCATGGTCCATCTGTACTGTGGAGTGCCTTCCAATCAACTTTGCTGCATTTGGCTGAATCTGGGCTTACAGTATATATCTAAACACTGCAGAATTCATCCAGCTGCTTCTGTCACATCAATAAACACCAATGACTCAGTGCCACTGGAAGCCATTCATGCCCATACCATCACATTGCCTCCACCATGTTTTACAGATGACGTTGTGTGCTTTGGATCATGAGCTATTTCAAGCCTCCTCCACTTTTTTTCTTCCCGTCATTCTGGTACAGATTAATCTTAGTTTCATCTGTACAAAGAATGCTTTTCCAGAACTGGTCTGGCTTTTTTAGATGTTTTTTGGAAAAGTCTAATCTGGCTTTTCTATTCTTCAGGCTTATGAATGGTTTGCACCATGTGGTGAACCCTTTGTATTTGCTCTCCTAAAGTCTTCTCTTGCTTGTAGACTTCGACAATGACACACCCACCTCCTGGAGTGTCCTTCACTTGTCTGGATGTTGTCTTGCCTGAATGGGTTTTTCTTTACCATAGAAAGCATCCTGCGATCATCCACCACTGTTGTCTTCCGTGGACATCTGCATGGACAGCTCCTTTGAACACATGATGTAGGTTCACAGCAATAGATTCCAAATGCAAATACCACACTTAGAATCAACTCCAGACCTTTTACCTGCCTAATTGATGAAGAAATAATGGAGTAGCCCACACCTGGCCATGAAACAGCTTTGGATTCAATTGTCCAATTACTTTTGGTCCCTTGAAAAGGGGGGATGGCTACTACTATTCTTGCCACAAAAGTACACAGTCATGGTGATTCCAGGCTATTTTCACCAGAATGCTCCATTTTATGGGTATAGGGCATTTGGTTTTCCCCAAACCACCCAATAGTTTGTGGAATCCCTATCTTATGCCCACCTAACAAGTATTAGTGTTTGTGTTCACACCCACTCTTGTTTTTTTTAAGTTTACTTTTTTTTGTAATGGGGTACTTAATCTGAGCCCCCTACCTCCTTTTACATAGCCTGCCTCTACAGGCGAGCATATCCCTGCCTAGCTCACATCCTTCCCACACGAGATGTGTCTCTTTTAGAGGCCAACCACCCCAGTAGCATCCTTAATGTGACAAAAGTCTGGTATGTATTTTCAACTAAGGGGAAGGGGGGGGGGGGGGGGGGGGAAACACACCACACCTTTTGTTCTCAACTTCCTTCAAATCACCAAATTCTATTTTTTTTCTTCTTCTGCGATCCCACTTTTTCTTAGGATAGCTACAGTCACTCTCAATGGTCCCCACTGTATGTAGTCACACTCTTGCTTGCTCCTAAAATAAATTAGGCACTGTAGGATTTGTAGTGCGCATAGAGTAGTGCACATTACTGCAACTAAATGTGTGCTGCTCATTCCAGACAAAAAGGCATTGAGGGGGGAAGGGGAAAAAGGAGAGCGTCAAGAGCTCAGAGAATGCTACAAGGAGGCAGAAAAACACAACGGACCCATTAATAGAGGTGTTTGGATTACTTTTGGAGAATAAAGATATCATTTGTGTCACCTTAAAATAACATTCATAAAATTTAAAAAACACAGTTGTAGTGCCTATATATATATATTATATATATATATAATAAAGGAATTCCATGCTCAACATAAAAACACTTAACCAAAAACATAAATACCGTAATAAAAACATAACTTCCAATCAGTTTATTCCAAAAAAAATCTGAAGCCTTGCATAACATAGATTGGTTATGCCTGAATCATAATGGAGATGAAGATGTCCAACAATAAAGAAAAACATAATTCAAAAGATGTAAAATTACCAACCTTGTCACTTCTTCGTCTTGATCCCTGTATAGTATCAAAAGCTGCAGCTTCAGTTGCGTTTATATAGGGAAGCTTATCAGTCACATGTTATGTTATAAACGGATTGTCTCTTTTTTTTTTATTTTAAGAAAAAGAAAAAAAAAAAAAAAAAATCACGTCTTATCAAGCATTCAGTCTTTCCTGATGCAGTTTCAGTGCTCATGCAAACTGGATATTTTTACAGTGGCTGTTTTTTGGCTTTTGATGGTTTTTTCTACAGCCAGTAAACACCCCAGCATGTTATCCTACGTGTCCATGCAATACAGACTATTCAGTTTTTCAGCAGGGGTGTTTTTTGGCTGAAGAAAAAAAAAAAAAAAAAAAAAAAAAAAAACAGAACTAGTGGGTTTCTAGAGGAGTTTTTCAGCTGTAAATAAATACTCTAACGCTGCAAAAGGTGGCAAACTGGCATTTTTGGACTTATTTTCCAAAAATATATATATATATTTTTTTTGCCCCAAAAAAAGTAAAATAAAGGGGAAAGCGAAAAAAAAAGTGGCAAAACCTTACGTTTTTAACATGACTCTACACAGCTAATGTTGTCGCAAACATGCACAACACACAGTGAAATACGCAGACTCCATTTTGTTAAGAGTAGCCATGTTATTCCCTCATTCTCCTTCCCCCTCCCTTCCTGAGAGGCACAGTGACAAATGTGTGTGTGTTAAAAGTATCACAGGCCAGATCCCAGCAGGGAGCCACGTGGTGCTGCACTGTCCAAAGAACCTGTGTAATTTCACACCTCGTAAAGATAAGGGAGCCTTCCCAGGAGTTAAAGGCATTCCCAAGAAGCCCACCCCAGATACCATTTTTTAAAGATCCATTTTTCCCCCTATGTCTCATATCTTGGAATATGAGAGACATACATAAAAGCCAGACACATCATCGGATGGACGATGAGCAGGCGAACAGTTTGATGGGTCACTCGCCTTATCTTGGTCGCACGGGGGGGAAGCAGAGAAATAGATCTTGCGAACCGTGTAGCATACAACTTCATAATTCATATCTGGTCAATCCTCAGAATTGTCTGCATAATAATCTACCCGTGGGTGGGAGGTCCCTGGTGCAGATGGAAGGTTATGGACCAGAATATGAGTTATGAAAGATGTTGGCTCCAGTTTAGGGCTCCGCCTGATGATTCCTCCCTAAACAGGGGATTGGTCCTTTACTTCAGAGCCACCCCCTGCTGGGAAACCAAGCCTAAGAGTAGAGAGTTGAAGACTTCTCCCATTTTAACATCAATACCACCTGGGGAGACCCATGCCTTTTGCTCTGCAACTTGATCAGCTTACATCCAAGGTTTACTGGAAAGTACCTTAACCCTTTAACCTCTTCTCTTTGCTGTGCTGTTATTCTCTGTATGATATCTATCTCTATATATCTATCTTAGTTACATCTTTTTCTGTAAATATTGTTATTGCACCCATTTGACCTCTTAGTAATAAATCATTCTTTCTGAAAGTGTTGAACTGTTTCTATAGCTCTTAATTGCAATTTATGAATCTCTGCCTTTAAAAGAGAATGCTACTGTGTTTGTGTGAACCTCTGAATACCCGGCCTGCGCACCGTTTTATACAGACAATTATATCAACCATTATAGTGTTATAGCTGAACGCCGAGTTTCCTCTTTCTCTGATCAAAAAGGAGGTGGTGGCAGTGTGAAGGGTTAGTTGCGTAATTAACCTGACCCAGTAACAATCGATTCAGGCTGCTGGCACATCGATCGGTATCCATTAGCTGGAAAATAGTTGTGCAGGGTTGCAGCATTCTTACGCACGTCACATCGCGGTTTCAGATTGGCTAGTCCTTCGGTCACGAGTTTGGTGAGAAGGGCTGGGGTTTGATGCTGCGATCGTGACATATTGGACGTCGCGATCGTGAGATTGTCGCATGTTGGTGGCGGCGATCTTGCGATCATGACAAACGTTACCAGCGGTATTAACCTCTTGCCGCCCTGCCACTGTGTATATACGTGTGCAGGGCGGCAGTGGAGCGCAAAAGCACGTTTTAAAACGTGCTCCGCGCTCCCGACACATTCACGGGTAGGGGGGGCGGCGCGCGCGCGCTCCCGCCGACCTGCGGTGACACGATTCGATCCAGGAGGGATCAATCATTAGATTTCAGCCAGTGATTTCTGGCTGAAAACACATGATCGGTCCCTGTCCTATCCTGTCCTGTGTTGACATTTACACAGGGCAGGATATGTCGTCATTCTTCTCTGCCTGGACACATTCCGTTCCAGACAGAAGAAGACATCCAAACAGTGAGTAAAACACTACACACTGACAGTTAAAAACACTCTAGGTCACATTAAACCCCCTGATCGCCCGCCCCGCCCGCCCCCCCCCCCCCCCCCCCCCGTTAACCCCTTCACTGCCCTGTCACCAGTGTCACTGATTAGTGAAGCGATTTTTACTGATCACTGTATCAGTGTCGCTGGCGACTTCCGATAGTGTTAGCGCCCCTCCCAGATAGCGCCAGTTTGCCCGCTAATACACCAATAATCCAGTCTAACCCCTTGATCACCGCCCCCCCCCCCCCCAAGTTGACCCCCTTTACTGCCCTGTCACCAGTGTCATTGATCAGTGAACAGATTTTTACTGATCACTGTCGCTGGCAACTTCCGATAGTGTTAGCGCCCCTCCCAGATAGCGCCAGTTTGCCCGCTAGTGCGCCAGAAATCTTTTTTTACTGATCACTGTATTAGTGTCACTGGTGACTTCCGATAGCGTTAGCGCCCCTCCTATATAGCGCCAGTTTGCCCGCTAATGCACTGGATTTTTTTTTACCAAAAACATGTAGCAGAATACATTTTGGCTTAAATTTATGACTAACTTTGAGTTTACGATATATTTTTTATAGCTGAAAGTAAAGATTGTTTTTTTGTTTTTGTTCGTTTTTTGTTTTTTGTTTGTTTATAGCGCGCAAAAAAAAAAAAAAAAAAAAAAAAAAAAAAAAAAAAAAAGCGCACAGGTGATCAAATACCACCAAAAGAAAGCTCTATTTGTGTGAAAAAAAGGACGTAAATTTTGGTTGGGTGCAGCATTGCATGACCGCGCAATTATTATTTGAATTAGTGCAGCGCCAAACAGCAAAAAAAGGCCTGGTCATTAAGGGGGGGGGGGGTAAATCCTCTGGAGCTCAAGTGGTTAAAACTCCCAGTGTGCACAGAGCCTAAATACCATGATGAAATAAAAGGCAAAGAAGCATACACATAAAAAAAAAAAGAAATTTTATTTAAATTTGCCAGCCATGATCTCAAGCAATAACAAAGAAAATTAATAAGTGCAAATTTAAAGCGACCAGGTTTGGGGGGGGGGGGGGGAAGGGAGATTTAAATAACCCTGCCGTGCAGCTGAAGAGAAGTAATTGATTCTCCAGCAGCTCACATGTCCTACCTACTCTCTGTTCTGGTGCTGCAGTCTCCGTCGGTATTCAACACTTTTGGGAGTGTCCGATACCTTTGTCCCTTAACCAGCACACTGGCCGATTCCTCTGACCCCCTATGTCAATGCCGAGTCTTGTAGTAACGTCAGAGGAATGCACCAGCACATGGCAGGTGACACAGGCATCTGAAACTGCCGGTGAAGCAGGGAGACACTGACAGAGGCTGCATAACAGAGCGGGGATGTAAAAGAAATGGGTCAACGGAGAAGCAAAATATCTCTTCTCTTGCAGGCCACTATTCTTTGGATTCCCCCCCCCCCCCCGAAACGGTTAATTTTAACCGACTTTCTGTGACATTACACATGGGTAAAACACAGTAAGGTCACATAAGTTCAATTTCTAGCAGCTCATCTGACAAAAAAAAAAAAAAAAAAAAAAAAAAAAAAAAAAAAAAGGAAGGGAGTGGCCAACCGCTTTAACTGCTCTTATAAAATCTACAGCAGATATAAAAAAGAAAAAAAAAAAAAAAAAAAAAAAAAAAAGGAAGAACAATCAACATTTTAAAGAGCAGTAAGTAGAGGTTTTTTACAGTGCTATATCAAGAAACACCCTGAGATTATCACATAAATTATGGTAAGGTGAACATGCATTTCAATCCAAAACCCTCTGTTTTGGACAGGACAAGGAATGATTAAACTCCAGATTTGTTTTTTTTGGTCTGTGGTACATTTGAGAGATTCCCATTTACATCCTACACCAGAGCGGCACCACTGCATGATTTCCCCTCACCTCCTGTTCTGGTATCAACTGTAAAATGGTTGATGTGCATAATTTTTGTCCCAATGGCAATAATAATCAGAACAAGGAGGGGGACTCTCCCCAGAAAACTCATGACAGATGATTATACCCTTCCCCATACAATCCTACAGCTACAAATAAAAAAGTTACAATTTAAAGGGTCAGGGGGATATGTATGTAAGTGCCAGCCTTCATAGTATTGCAAAGACAAACAGGCATGCTAACAGCACAGGAACAGATGATTCAGACCGCAAACTCGCCGATTGGTGCTTTGTATAAATACAGCAGACATTAAAATAACAGTCAGTTTCAGTCCTGATGTTTGTGGTACTCAGTCGCTAAATATTTGCTGAAAATGAGATGTCCAGTTTAGATTTAAAATGGCTCATTGTTGATGTAGCGGCTGAACACGATAAAGGCAGAGCTTGGCTTGTCAGTTGGCACCATATGTCCAGCTCCCTGTGAGAAGAGAACAATGTCAGTGTACCTGGGGGTTACAGAAAGGATCTGGATAAATGAGAACCTTCACAGACAGAAACAAAATTGTAATGGAAATATTTTACAATCAGCACAATATCAGGTTATTACAGATCTGTGTTAAAGTGAACCTGTCACTATACTATCTCACAAGCAAGCTATCCCTGCAAAAGAAGAGTGGAAATGCTTACCTCCTCTGCCACCAACAAGTACACTGGGGCCCGCACAACACTCACCGATTCCTCCTGTTCAAGGTTGCCAACTGTCTGTAAATACTGGGGGCTAATAATTTGACTGGTCTACACTTAAAGTCAACACAGCATGACAAATTACTTGTTATGGGTATGGTCAGTGTTTCCATTTTGTGTTTATACTGTTTAAATATTGATGGTTTTAGTTTTAATGTAATTTTTCAGGGGGGGAAAAAAAAAAAAAAAAATGAGAAAGAGGGAAGGAGGAGAAAGAGGGAAGGAGGAGAAAGAGGGAAGGAGGAGAAAGAGGGAAGGAGGAGAAAGAGAGGGAAGGAGGAGAAAGAGGGAAGGAGGAGAAAGAGGGAAGGAGGAGAAAGAGGGAAGGAGAGAAATGAGGGAAGGAGGAGAAAGAGGGAAGGAGGAGAAAGAGGGAAGGAGGAGAAAGAGGGAAGGAGGAGAAAGAGGGAAGGAGGAGAAAGAGAAAGGGGAAGGAGGAGAAAGAGGGAAGGAGGAGAAAGAGGGAAGGAGGAGAAAGAGGGAAGGAGGAGAAAGAGGGAAGGAAGGAGAAAAGGGAAGGAGGAGAAAGAGGGAAGGAGGAGAAAAGAGGGAAGGAGGAGAAAGAGGGAAGGAGGAGAAGGAGGAAGGAGGAGAAAGAGGGAAGGAGGAGAAAGAGGGAAGGAGAGAAAGAGGGAAGGAGGAGAAAGAGGGAAGGAGGAGAAAGAGGGAAGGAGGAGAAAGAGGGAAGGAGGAGAAAGAGGGAAGGAGGAGAAAGAGGGAAGGAGGAGAAAGAGGGAAGGAGGAGAAAAGAGGGAAGGAGGAGAAAGAGGGAAGGAGGAGAAAGAGGGAAGGAGGAGAAAGAGGGAAGGAGGAGAAAGAGGGAAGGAGGAGGAAAGAGGGAAGGAGGAGAAGAAAGAGGGAAGGAGGAGAAAAGAGGGAAGGAGGAGAAAGAGGGAAGGAGGAGGAAAGAGGGAAGGAGGAGAAAGAGGGAAGGAGGAGAAAGAGGGAAGGAGGAGAAGAAACTCCATCTTTAAATTTCCCATGTTTTGTCAGTGAAAAAAAATTCTGAGAGGTTGGCAACACTGCTCCCGCTGTCCTACAAGTCACTACAAGACATAGTAATGACATGGATGTCGGTGGGAGAAGCAAACTAGTGAGATCTGCAGGAGGTGCAGCAGATCCACACCTTTGAATTGGTTGGTTTCCCAGCGGACCTCTGTGGACAAGATCTCTTAGCATCGGAGCACTGTTAAGCATTGAAGGCAACAAAATGTGTAATTATTTCCATTTGATTTTTTTTTTTGCAGAGATAGCTGTCCCATGAAATTTTATAACAGCAATAGGGTTGAATTAAAGTGAAACACTAGGCAAGACCCTAAAATGCACAGGTTTACCTGTTCACATAGCCATACAGTATGTGTTGGATCCATATCTGTTTAATTCAGCATTGTGACCGGCTGCAGTCTTCGCTCCGCTCTCCCTCTTCACACAGGGTCTGACAGGCAGCCAATGGCTCCTGCTGCTGTCAGATTCAGTAAGCGAGGGGGCTGGGCTGAGCAGCACTAGGTCTATAGAGGCAAGCGGCTTATTATGGGGGCACTTGCAAAAGAGGAGAAGTCAGGAGCGCTGACTCCTCAAGAAGAGGGGGTTTGGGGCTGCTCTGTGGAATTCCATTGCACAACTATAAAAACTTTTTTTTTTTTAATTAACAAAGACCCCTGCAAAAAAGTAACACACACAATAACTGACTGCATATGTATACATTCACGTAAAAATTAAACCCATTGTAAATCACCACTAGTGTAGCCAATGCCAATAATCTTCAGCAGCCTCCCAACCCATCCATTAGTCATGGACAAATTCCAGGCTGCCCAGAATGGCAATTAGTTAGTGCCAACAGTGCTTGAGCTTTTTCTGCCTCTTCCTGAGGGTTCACCTCTAACTTTGAGGATGAAGCTACTACCACTGAATCAACAAACACAACACACACACACACACACACTTTTTGGAGCTCACAATACCAATATGGCTATTCAGCAGGAATAAGTTTTGTAACTGTGGCCATTGGGAGTAGAAATTATCTTGGCACCAGTAGAAGTAATCAGTGCATCTTTGGTATGGGAGGAAGGCACAGTGGACCAGTCTGTGTCAGTGGATGAAATAGTACCCATCGTTTTGTCAGTGGATGAAATAGCTCTCCTTTATGTTAGCAGCAGGAATTATGCTTCATCATTGGTGTTAGTGGGGGAAATAGTGTCTTATCAGTGGGAATAAAAATGCCACAAAAAGAGCCAGATAAAGGCAATCAAAGGGCCCGCATCTGTCCCCTGAGCCGCAGCTTGGTGACCACCGTCATAGAACAAGAACAAACTAACCAGGTAGTGGTGAATGAGCTTAAATCGGAACCAAAACTGCTTTCTACTTCAAAAAACACTGTAGAGAAGAATCCTTCTTAACATTTTACAGTACTCCTAATAAAAAGAGCATTTTTGAATCCTTGCTATACGCAGACAGGTTATCCTACCTACATACAAGCCATGGTGTTTACGTCTACTGACAAAGGCCAGCAAACCCAAGACTACTGAATGATTTCTTTTATTTCAGGCTGTATCAGTCTTTCAAGCTGGGGGTCCTGAGTGCACAGTTAGCCAATGGGATATGAAGGAATGGGGGTGCATGGCTATGCTCTCTGTTTTTAATTGGAGAAATAACCCCTTATCTTGACATTTTGAGGAAGTGACAATGTGTATATAATCCGTCTGTTTTAAGAAAGGAAGCGCTGTAACACCTAATATAGGATTTGTATTGTTTTAGGGGGCAACATATTAGCAAGCAGAGAAGTAGCAATATATCTATAACTCTCACCTTTATGGTAAGGAAGGTCAGGTTGGAAAACTCCTTCACAAATCCACCAATTTGCTGCTTGTCTCCATCAATGAAAAGCCATGGCCGACGCTGTACTAGCAACTGATTGTCAAAGCAAATGTAGAAAAATTATCAAGCAGAAAAAAAAAAAACAACCACCACACAAACTAAAAATCTATAAAATAACCTGATCTTGGAGGTTTTCTTGGGCAGGCAACATAATCTGCCAGTAACAGGTAACCCCCCCCCCCCAAAAAAAAAAAACAAAAAAAACCCCAAACACATTGGAGACACAGTCACCTGCCCACCCCAGACAAAGTGACAGTGTCTGCAGATAGCCAACAACCCACCCTGGAAGAATGAATTAAACATGCCCATATGTGATCTCCTCCCAGTCTGCCATTGTTTTACCATAGCAAGGATTCCAGGCATGGAAAAGGAAAAAAAAAAAAAAGGACAAGTGGCCAATTTGTCGTACTTCAGTGTTCAGGTGCTAAAAAGGGGACAAGCGGATGGATAGGAAGAGAGCAGAGTGATAGAAAGAGGAGCTCATCAGTCTACGGCTTCTTTTTTCATGGTCTAGTCAAGGGCTGGGGAAGGGACAAGACCTGTAAGTTTTACTTAGCACAGCCTCTCTAACAGGGCAGGATACCTCAGGTTTCTCTGCTGCAGTTATGTGGCAGAGCTGTAAGATCTCAGGACAGAACAGCCAAAAATACAAATTCTTGGCAGGAAAAAAATAGCTCCTATATATGTTTTTTTGCAGTTTTCCTATAAATCAACTGTCCAAGATTAAAAAAAAAAAAAAAAAAAAAAAACCACAAAAAACCACCACCACACACAGCAGCATCTACCTTCTGTTGCAGGGAATCCACAAACCACTGGTCACCCAAGAAGTTGCAGGCCATGTCTACATCTCCATTGTATACTAGGATTCGGTATTTTCTAAGAACAAGAAGTTTGTATGAGTGTCCAGCTCAGAGTACGCTCTTTATAACAATGATTTCATAATATGAAATACATAAAAGGCCAAATGTGTCTCACCATAGCACCAAGCAGCTTCATGTAGAGGTCCTTCATGCTCTCATATATCCGACCATAGTTTCGATAAACCTCAAAGCTGAAAATAAATATGTACTGTATTATAAATGACTTATGTAATACTTCTCTGAGATACTGTATATGTATGCAAGTACACCCCTCACATTTTTGTAAATAGATCTTTTCATGTGACAACACTGAAGAAATTACATTTTAGTAAAATGTAAAGTAGTGAGTGTACAGTTGTAAATTTGCGATCCTCTCAATCTGTACAAAGTAACTCAACACAGCCATTAGTGTCTAAACCGCTGGCAACAAAAGTGAGTACACCCCTAAGTGAAAATGTCCAAATTGGGCCCAATTAGCTATTTTCCCTTCCCGATGTCATGTGACTCGTTAATGTTACAAGGTCTCAGGTGTGAATGGGGAGCAGGTGTGTTAAATTTGGTGTTATTGCTCTCACTCTTATACTGGTCACTGGAAGTTCAACACCTCATGGCAAAGAACTCTCTGGCACCTCATGGCAAAGAACTCTCTGAGGATCTGAAAAAAAGAATTGTTGCTCTACATAAAGATGGCCTAGGCTATAAGATGATTGCGAAGACCCTGAAACTGAGCTGCAGCACGGTGGCCAAGACCATACAGTGGTTTAACAGGACAGGTTCCACTCAGAACAGGCCTCGCCATGGTTGACCAAAGAAGTTTAGTGCACGTGCTCAGCCTCATATCCAGAGGTTGTCTTTGGGAAATAGACGTATGAGTGCTGCCAGCATTGCTGCAGAGGTTGAAGGGGTGGTGTCAGCCTGTCAGTGCTCAGACCATATGCCGCAGACTGCATCAAACTGGTCTTCATGGCTGTCATCCCAGAAGGAAGCCTTTTCTAAAGATGATGCACAAGAAAGCCCGCAAACAGTTTGCTGAAGACAAGACTAAGGACATGGATTACTGGAACCATGCCCTGTGGTCTGATGAGACCAAGATATACGTATTTGGTTCAGATGGTGTCAAGCGTGTGTGTGCGGCAACCAGGTGAGGAGTACAAAAGACAAAGTGTGCTTGCCTACAGTTAAGTATGGTGGTGGGAGTGTCATGGTCTGCGGCTTCATGAGTGCTGCCGGCATTGGGGAGCTACAGTTCATTGAGGGAACCATGAATACCAACATGTACTGTGACATACTGAAGCAGAGCATGATCCCCTCCCTTTGGAGACTGGGCCGCGGGGCAGTATTCCAACATAACAACCCCAAACACCTTCAAGATGACCACTACCTTGCTAAAAAAGCTGAGGGTAAAGTTGGGACTGGCCAAGCATGTCTCCACACCTAAACCCTATTGAGCATCTGTGGGGCATCCTCAAATGTAAGGTGGAAGAGTGCAAGGTCTCTAACATCCACCAGCTCCGAGATGTCATCATGGAGGAGTGGAAAATGACTCCAGTAGCAACCTGTGAAGCTCTGGTGAACTCCATGCCCAAGAGGGTTAAGGCAGTGCTGGAAAATAATGGTGGCCACACAAAATATTGACACTTTGGGCCCAATTTGGACATTGTCACTTAGGGGTGTACTCACTTTTGTTTCCAGCAGTTTAGACATTAATGGCTGTGTGTCGAGTTATTTTGAGGGGACAGAAAATTTTACAATGTTATACAAGATGTACACTCACTACGCCACATTGTAGCAAAGTGTCATTTCTTCAGTGTTGTCACATGAAAAGATAGAATAAAATATTCACAAAAATGTGAGGGGTGGACTCGCTTCTTGAGATACTGTACACACACACACACCTCTTTACTGTTCATGCACAAGGTGGAGTATAAAGGACCTGGAAGTGTTATTTTAGGTGCAGAAGAGAAAATTCAGGTCTCCTGTTCTGTCCATCCACTCCTGAGTTGATCTAAAAACCTGTCTTACAGAAGTACAAATCCTTTGGTAGGAAAAACTGCTCCCTTGTAGGTATTTTTCAGTATATTTGGCAATTTGCCTGGAGTTCAGCTTTAAGAAGGGACTGCCACTGCAGGTAATGGCTTCAATGCTATCAGAGTCAAAATGTATACAAATAAGTAGTTTTGACACTTTTCTGACACTCATTTATAGCATGGTTGTTCTAGGCATCCAACTTAAATGTACTTAAGTCAGACACAAACCGGTATCTAGCGTTTTCAGAATGAGGACTGCACTGGCAACCCCTACAGCACCCTAAGCAGCCCCTCCTGCACTTAAAGCCTAACTCCTAGTCTAGTAAGCTGTGGATTTCTTTTTAAGTATAGGGGTAACAAGTGCATGTTTGAGTGGGGAGGAAAAGATTGAAGATGTGGGTTATTTATTTCATGTACTTATATAGCGCTGTCAATTTACGCAGCACTTTACACATATATATTGTACATTCACATCAGTCCCTAACCCTCAAGGGGTGTACAATCTAAGGTCCTAACTCACATTCATACATACACATACTAGGGCCAATTTGGACAGGAATCAATTCACCTACCAGCATGTCTTTGGAGTGTGGGAGGAAACCGGAGTACCCAGAGGAAACCCACGCAAGCACAGGGAGAACATGCAAACTCCATGCAGGAGGTGCCATGGTTGGGATTCGAACCCATGACCCATTTACTGCAAGGCAGATGTGCTAACCATTAAGCTACTGTGCCGCCCATCGTTTCAAAGTTTATGAAGAAGGAAGGAGCAGGAAGGAGGCCACAATAATTGTGAGCAGACAGGGTCCAGCGGACAGGTGGTGAGGTGAAAATACGGAAAGGAGTTTGGCAACCCATAATATGGGATGAGTACAATTATCTGCAGTATTAGCACTAAAAGACACTTGTTTTAAAGCAAACATGTGGTTTTTACTATGCAAGGCAAAGCAGCAGGTATGCTTTAATGTCCCTTTCTCCAGAAGCATATGCTTACCATTCCTTCCCTACCCAGTATTACATTCAGAGATTATATATATATATATATATATATATATATATATATAAATATATATAAAATACTCGACAATTCCAGGTATAACGTTGCATGCAACTCAGTCCTTCCTCATGTGACAGTGCTTGTTGTTTGGCCCAGCAGTGTCACAAGTGGGCTCTGTGTACGCTCCGAATAGAGAAAGTGGGAGCTCAGAGCCCCCAGATGAACAGAGTAGCAAGTGTGCAAAAGGAATAAGTATGTGGTATAAGGGGGTAGGGCATTAAAATGAACCTGGTGCTTTGCATCAGTGTAGTGTAGGCAGACATACAGACATCCATTAACCAAGTTGTGTATTAATTACATAAACTGATTATTAAACAGCACCTTAGGTGTTTGTATTCGTTCTCTGTAAACCCTTCTAGAAAAGCAAACAGAGAGGAAAGGGCAATACTTGTACCCAGTCAGGCTTTAGAGCCATGTACAGTGCTGCAAATTCAACAGAGGGGGAAATGTACTAAAACTGGTGCAAGCAGAATCTGAAGCATCTGTGTATAGTAACTAATCAGCTTGACCTCATCAGTGAGCTGCTGCTCCTTCACTATCCAAGCAGTCTCAACAAAGCTATATTGCTTTGACTGCAATGGAGAACAGTAAATGAACAATACCTTGTTTGCATTAGAAATTATTACAAAATGATTTGATAAGCAAGATAGTTCACATATTTCCTTTTCAACTGTGTATTTAACTGCCTACAATTACACTAGCTTGTTTTTAAAACAGCAACAGATATAAAATGTAATCTTGTGTGTGAGGAAGATTAATTTGCATACAGACATATATTTCACGTGTCTTAAGGCTTCTTACCTGCAAACCTCCCATTTATTGACATTAGGAGATATATGCAATGCCTTCCTCACATATTGGTCATTCAAGAAGTTGCTGGAAGCTGTACTGTTCACACAAGGAGGGTCCAATCTCACAGGTTTATTGAGATCTGATATAAGAAGCAACTTCTGCTCCACACACAAAAAAAAAAAAAAAAAAAAAAAAAAAAAAAAAAAAAAAAAAAAAAAAAAAAAAAAAAGGGGGGGAAGAAGGAGGACATGTCAGCATTAGTACCACAATACAGTCATTTAGGTAAAATCATTAAATGCATTTTGCTGCCCATAGTATTCAAAGTCATCATAAATGGCAATAGCGGAGATCACATTCAATCATTCAGAAAAGAAAAAAGAGGGAATGTCAATATTTCTTATGCACTCATATACTATGAATATATATTTTCTGGTGTGTAGTGCAACCAAATCTACAAAAAAAGTTTTTAATTTTTTTAAAGTAAATGAGGGAAGACAGCACTAAGCAAGGCTGGAGTACATCGTGTATTAAAATCCCAAATATGTTCAACTGTAATCCTTTATTTCACACAGAGCATAACTCTTTATCTTTCTTCTAGAAAGATAAAATAGATACAAAAAACGTAACTAATCATTCCAGCAATAAGTGATATGTCCTTGGACTTCCTGTTAGTAAGATGACAATCTTCGCTCACTGGCTACTAGTACAACAGTGGCATCGCTACTCTTTAATACTGCATTAAAAAGTTGATCACAGGATTTGCACCATTGAATAAACAAGGCTGCATACAGTCAAGCTTTACAAAATAAATTTTTATCTCAGAGAACACCGATAGAAAATTACTTACTAATGGATATACTACAAGAAAATGTTAGCGTCAAACTAATAGGAAAAAGCTGCATTTGTAGAAGATATATATACACATACATCTTGCAAAAGGACACAAATTTACTGAGGTTTATGCTCAGGATCTTGTTGATAGAAAATGTTCCATAAGGACCTGATGTATGCATGCTTTAAAATCTTTATCCTTCTCTGTTCTAAAATCTTTAATCTCATCACCCAGCTCTTGGGAATTAATATTTCATTAACCCCGGGTATGGCACTATTGGCTTTGGAATAGAATCCACCCCTCCTATGTTTAGAACTAGATGATTACATATTCTGATAGCAGCACACCTTAGTATCATTAGACATTGGAAGGACCCAAATATTACAAACCTTGGAGAAGTTATTCAAACAATCCACACTCACAGCACTTACGAAATATTCTGTGTGTCTAGCATGGGGGAAGTATAAATACTGCTCTCAAAATTATGGCAGCCTTGGCTGACATGGTATTTGCGGCAAACTGGTTCTCCAATAATTCCATCTCCATAACTGAAGAGATGGTCTACCTATCAGATTCCTTACCAGGTTAAAGCTATATTTTACTCAGACTACTATGTTGTTGCTAAAAATAATAGTTGTATATCCAATCCATAACTAGAATTTACAACCAGAAACCTGTTGAATGTATATTCATTACATTCTTTGTATATTTCTTCATAAAACCCAATAAAAATATATTGAAAGGATATCTTCATCCTTCTAGTAGCCAGTGCTGCAAAATAAGTTTTTTTTTTTTCTCCCAAGTGTATGAGCAGGTTTTGTCCAACATGAGATTCCTTTTGCCACACCTAGAGGGCAGCATTGCTATAGTTAAACTGATGATTTACGGTTAGAACAAGCCAAGTTTTATTTCCCTCCCCAGATTAATATACAGGATTTATACAGTGCCAACAGTTTGCTCAGCTCTTTACAATATAGCATACAATTATTTTCTTATCACATTTAGCACTGCTCATTTGCACACAAAGTCACCCACAGAATTTAGAGGCAATCTAGACACCCAGGAATGACCGATCTATAAAACCACAAAAGGTCCCCAAGCGCTCCACAAACTTGTAAGGTTGCCTCTGCTGACCTAGCAAGTTCAGGTCAATGCCAAAAAGGGAGGAAGAAGAGAGGTTGGCAGACAATGGAAGTGAATTACCTTACTGAAGGGAGCATGCATGTGTGGGGACAGTAGCCCTGGGAAATTCACAGCAATGTGGTCTCCTTTATCCCTGTGGAATAAATAAAACCTGTCAGTCTTAAATTGGGCAGCTTATAGGCAATACAAGTCAGTTGATCCATCAAACACGTGCATAAATAACAAGCCAATGAAAAACGCAGATTGCTATATAGAATGTCTCCCAAGGTCTGTAATATTTCCTTCTAAGAGAACATGCATATACAAAAGGATATTTAAAAAAAAAAAAAAAAAAAAAAAAAAAAAAAAAAAAAAAAAAGAAGAAGGGGGGGGGGGGGGTAAGAAGGAGGGTCCCCCGCAGGTTCTCCTGGCTCCTCCCTTCTGCTGTAGGGTGTCCCCCCAACAAGCAGCTTGCTATGCAGGCGCCTGCTACTTTGTGTGTCCATTCACACATGGAGCTGTGGCTTGGCCCTGCCCCTCTCTCCTCATTGGGTGACTGGCTGTGATTGACAGCAGCGAGAGCCAATGGCTTCCACTCACTGTCTCAGCCAATGAGGAGACCCAGGAAAGCTGTGGCTGTGATTCACATTGCTGGATCGCGATTAGGCTCAGGTAAGTACTGAGAGAGCTGGGAGGGCTGCTGCACACAAGTTTTTCACCTTCATGCATAGAATGCATGAAGGTAAAAACCTTCAGCCTTTACAACCACTTTAATGCCCATGATTTTGAAATAGAATGCCCAACAAGATGATATGGGTGTGATGGAAAGGTGTCCACAAACTTTTGGACCATATAGGTGTACCTCCAAGAATGGCAAGCAATGAGAAGTCTACCTGCCTCTTGAAGTATCCCCTGAACACGAAGACTCAATGAGATTTTCACTCCACTATGAGAGTGCACACAGAACTTTACTCCTTCACTTAACTACACAGAAAAGTAAAAAAAAAAAAATAATGGATGTATTCCACTCATCGGGGAAGCACTACCATCAATACATGAATCTACATACCGAACCTCTCCAGGGGCTCCTCCGGCACATGCCTCATACAGATTGTAAATGTTTAGCCCTGTACTGTATACATCATGCATGGCTTCTTGGACCTGAATATAGAATAATGAACACAAAAGTAAAAAGTACTAACTTGTAGCAAGTTGTTACCTGAGAGAAAAAAATTACTAAAAAACTGGTGCACACAGAACTTGGGGTAGCAGTTCATAGAAACCAATCAGCTTCCAGGTTTTGTCAAAAGCTTAATTGAACAAGCTGAAGTTAGAAGCTGATTGGTTACCATGTACAGATGCACCCAGTTTAGTAAAAATGGTATACTACAGTGGTTTAAAGCCAGACAAGCTTTATTTTTGGTTTTCATACAGAATATGCAAGAGTCAAAACCTCTGTTTTGGGTCTGTGTCCTCAGGGGAGTTCCCCCCCCCCCCCCCCCATCTCCTTTTCTATTGACACCAGGAAAAGAAATGAAAGACTGTCACTGGGGTAGGAAGACATAGGAAGCAATAAAATCCCAATAGATACTCTAGCTCCGCTCCCACTACTAAATAAATATATGTCTAATGCTAGCTATATCCCTTATCAGAGATTTCACTTTACTTCCTGTCTATGTGACACTGTCACCAGGGTAGGAAGCATGAGTAAAGTTCCGTGATTGGGATCAAACTCAGGAATAAAAATTTTACAAGAGTATTCTGCCCTATGTAAAAAAACAAAAAGTTTGCCCGACGATGGGCCAGATCAGGCGATTTCTGTTTTTCTAGGGCACACTTACCCGTAGGGAGCAGTTTGTATCTGCGTTATTGTAGAATTGACAATTCCCTCCTTGACAACAGAATTTCTGCAGCTCCAACCAAAGGCTGCAGGAAATAAAAAGCACAAAAATGGGTCACTTGGTAAGAGGGGAAAAAAAAAAAAAAAAAAAAAAAAAAAAAAAGGGGAAGAAAGGGGGGCAGAAGTTTGTGTATATAGTCATTCAAGATGGGATATTTACTCTTTTGCAGATGATCATACCCTTGGAAAGATATTTTAAAAAGGAAACTCATCAATGTTGACTTGGTCTCTAAAAGGTGCAAGCTCCAGGGCTGTCATCTTCATTCTTTCACTTACTACTTCTTGTTTCATTGACCTAAAACAAGCATGTGGATATCTGTAACCCCAATAATTGACATGTGTTCCTTAGGCCCGGACTGGCTATACGGCTGGGTTCCTCTATGGGCCGTCCAGCTGCCCCTAACAAGCTCCTCCATGCTCCCCCCCTCTTCTTCAGTGCTGCGGCAGACCTTCTTTCCCTTTCTCTGTCTACGGTTTCTTTTCTTTACCTCTATCTTTCCCTCTTTCTTGCCAAAAAAAAAAAAGTAAAAAAATTAAAAACACACAACCCACACAACCCTGGACACTAGTGGCAGAATTACCAGGATCGGAAAGGTCGCTCTTGCAACCAGGCCCTGGCGTTCTGCAGCCGGGCTCCAAGGAAAGGGTCCCCGGTAACCCACAATAAGGTAGAAGGAGTATGGCGAGCCTGAGTGTGCAAGTGTGTATTTTTTTTCCTTTCTATATATTTAATTTTTTTTTTTTTTAAACAAGTTGCATGTTTTTTGCAATTTCCATGTTTCAAAGTTAACAGGCCCCTTTTCACTAATCTCACTATACATTATACCAAGTACATTATTTATTTAGTTTACTTAATTCCATTACTATCACAAGGAAGCCAACAAGCACCCTACATGATAGTACATAGAGAGATTGACAGCCATTCCTTTCTGAGGCATCAGGGGTTGTGTATACCCCTTAATGCCGCCTCTACCTCCAACAAGGGCAGATCAGTAGATGCTGAGCGATCTGCTGCTCACCTGGCTGATGCAACAGGAATTGGCAGCTCTGAACCCAAAGCACTCGGCTATGAGATTTTCCAGGTGCATTTGGCTGAGAGAAGATCAGAGAGCAGCACTCAATGTGCTATATAGAACTGAATCACCAAGTAAGACATTTGGTTGGAGCTGTGTGAGAAAGGAGAAAGTGGGACATCAGGAGGAGGAGTGATAACAGCGCTCTTCTTTGAAAAAAAAAAAAAAAAAAAAAAAAAAAAAAAAAAAAGAGCACATAAGCAAGACCGCGATAAAACCTCTGATGCCAGTAAGCTATATATTTAATGACTGACAGACAAGACATTTTGTAATAGGTTATTAGAGACAACCTTTCATTTCAACCTGCAGGAATTGTGACAATCCAAAAACAGCGTCACAAATTTCTTGACAATAGGGCAATGTCTTATTTGCTCATGCCTTGATCCTAGAAGTCTGCAATGAACTACAAGTGGAACTACTACAGGCAGCTGCTGCAGCTTTTCAGAGTTGGTGAAGCGAATCAATATCTAAAAGGATGCAGGCATTATTACAAACAATAAGGTGCCAATTTACTAAATCTGGAGAGTGCAAAATCTGGTGCAGTTCTGCATAGAAACCAATCAACGTCCAGGTTTTATCGTCAAAGTTTAATTGGACAAGCTGACGTTAGAAGCGGATTGGCTACCATGCACAGCTGCACCAGATTTTGCACTATCCAGCTTTAGTAACTCAAACTTGGGGATTACTCAGGGGATATGAAGGCAGAGCCTCCCATTTAGAAATGTTTTATAGTGGAAGGAATATCACAATGTCTTCAGATCAGGGGAAAAAAAAAAAAATCTAAAATCTGCAAAAATTGCTTGCTAAATTCCTTGCAGTGTATACAGTTCACATGAAAAAAACTGGCAAAAAAAAAAAAAAAAAAAAAGGGGGGGGGGGGGGGGCAGAAGGAAAAAAAAATTACTTACTTGCTACCCACTATTCCATGGTAATAGGCAAAGTAGATGAGAGGAATTGTCATTAATTTCATAACTACTTAATCCATTGCCAACAGCAATTCCCTTGGGGGAAGAAGGAAGAAAAAAGAATGGATTAAACAAATTTCAGTTATACTTCATATAGATTTGGTAATGATTCCAAGTTAGTTTTTGTTTTCTTTCCAGACAAAATATTATTTCAATATTTTATCAATTTACAGGTTGTAAAATGGTTCTGCCACAAGAAAGACAAACAAATGCCACATTTTCTTTTTACTCTCCCTCTGAATAGGTTAGTTGCTTGGCTGTCACATGATGCTTTGGCTTTAAGTCCTCATGCACACTTGACGTTTTTACAGTTGTGGTTTTTTTTTATTCCTACAGCTAGTAACCCCCCCAGCATGTTATCCCATGTGTCCATACACACAGACTGTAATCACTGTTTTTTGGCTGGAAAAAGAGCCCAGGACCAGTAGGTTTCTAGTTTTTTTTTTTAGCTGTAAAAACACTAACGCTGAAAAACACAGCAAACCAGCATTTTTGGAAGGTTTGACCAAACAAATATTTTTTTTTAAAAAAAAAAAAAAAAAAAAAAAAAAAAAAAAAACCTCACATTTTTAAACGTGACTTTACACAGCTAGCATTACCAGCGTTGTCAAAACGTCCAGTGTGCATGAGGACTAATTACTAATACTTCCACTTACTACATGCTTGTGTCTGTACTTAATACTTCGAGCTAACAACAAAAAGAAAAAAAAAAAAAAAAAAATTACAAAAAAAGATAAGGACATCTGCCAATTTTGGATCATATGTACACAAACTATTCTAAGTGGAATGCCTGTGTCTTCTACTTACCTGCCCTCCATTCTAGCACTATAGCCTCCTATACACACTTTAGCAATTGACACGTCGAGGAGTGTTGGATGCCTATATCCTCTGACATACACACTAGAATTCCTTCCGCCAAACACAACAATAGGACTTGCACAACAACCAAATAAAATTTGGACCTGTACCATTTGTACAACATACTAATGCGTGTAATGTGCTTTGCTGTGGTAACATGCATGCTGCAGTGCACAGGTAAGAATGAGACCCTAAAAAAGGAGGAGATATATATATATATATATATATATATATATATATATATATATATATATATATTTTTTTTTTTTTTTTTTTTTTTTTTTTTTTAAGAAGCTCCATACATGTAAATGAGTATTGATCAATGTAGAAGTTTCTAAAAATCTGTCATTTATCTCACCTTGAGGTTTATAGTGGAATCTTGTGACACCTGAACAGCCAGGGACGGAACATACACACCACCATAACTTTCACCTGTGATGTAAAGATCGTTTGCGCTGTATTCTGGGAAAAGTGTATAAAATTTCTTCAAAGCCAAATAGTTGTTATGTGCAACCTGCAAGAGGGGGGGGGGGGGGGGGGGGGAAAGAGTAAAAGTGTTTTTAAATATATTTATTAAATCTGATATGTCTGGTTTTCTCTTTAAAAGTAAATACTAAAATCTTTGGGAATCCAAGATGATCTGAAATATAAAACAAAACTCCAGGGGAACACAACACCACACCCACCATTTTCACCTACATCTCGTTTCCCTCCCTCCCGATGTGTTTTGACACCCACTGGGGGCTCATGTCTCTGAAAATTTGTCTCAGATTTGAACGATGAAGCAGCATCAGATAGAAAAGCACAGCATTTGGCCTTTTATGCTGCATGCACTTCAATAAGTCAAACCAAAGAAACAAATTGCAATGCAAAGCAAGCCAAATACAACCTTGAACTTCCATGGAGTACTTACCAATTACCATCCAATGGGATTTTGCTTACCTGCATTCCAAAATGCACATCAACTTGAGCCCCAATATTCCCCCTAATCTGCAGTCCTACATTCTCTAGTAGTAACATGCGAGTGGGCACTCCTACTGATAGCCATGTCCCACCCTAATAATATGGCCTTTGCGTCTGCACTGATAACAATGCAGGTATGACGACATTGAGCAGCAAAAAATGTTTTTAAAGATGGGTCCACTCTGCTTGCAAGTTTGCAATTGAGATGGCAGTGTGGAAGATCACTATAAATCACAGCTTAAGTATTACCGGATGCTCAAGGCTATTGGAGGCACTGTATGTATGTGGACAAAGTTCTGCTTTAATAGACCCTATCAAGTATGTTCAGTTTGCCTTAAAAAATGTAGTAGGAGTAATACAGGGCTGCCATTTCTGACCTCCATTTAAAAAAAAAAAAAAAGTCAGCCATTATTACCCAAGTCACTGACCTGGAACCAGCATGCTAAGAGAAATTAGAGAAATGAGAAACTGGATTAGCAAGAAAGATCAGCTGACTAACAGTCAGAAGGACACGTTAGCAATGGTAACCTCCATATCCTATAAGCACGGGTTTCCTTTATCCATATCCTTGGAAGGAAGGAAGGAGATACTGTCTGCCCTGAGGAAACAGTATGACTGGCTTCGGTGAGGGTCTTCCTTTTAACACCTTCCCATCCAGTCTCAGTGTCCCTTGGCCTATTACACCCAGGGGGTGGAAAATACTGCCTGATCATGTGACCAATGTGGCTGGCTGTCACAATGGTCAGAAGCTGGTCCCACCAGCAACCAAATCATTACTAAAGGCCAGGAGCAGTCTAACATCTCAGTCACGGTAAGCATGCCCTTGGCAAAGAAACCTCTGGCACACATGGACCTATGTGCACAGCATGTGGGCTCTAAAGCCCACCCTTTTTGTACCGCACATATGCATTACCTGGAAGGCAAAAACGTTAAAAGATTGTGGCAGTCTATGGGCTTAACCACACTAGCTGATGTGATCTTCCCGATAATACAGGATGTTAAATACACAGGAATAAATCCCAATGAGGCAACCACAAATCAGCCACACAACGAATAAACCAAATTCCTTTCAGATTCCATATGTGGCAATGTGTCTGATTTACTAAATCAATTACTCCAAAACATGATAATCACAGCCATACCACTCACAACATACACAATTAGACACAACATTCCAAAACAAGTTAAGTGGAACAAGGCGGTGCAGACCAGGGAAAAACAAATCCAGGAACCAGCACACTCATTTCATAACACCATGTCAGTGTCTGGAGTTTCCCTAGATTTTAAATGAAGCACTTCTAGAGAACCTATTTTTATCAACAACTCTTCCTTTAAGATTATATGTGCATTTAAGACTTTATGCATGACAATTGCTAGTAAAAGCCTATCTTGGGTAGACCTTCAAAAGCCAAGAGACTGCATGCATCCAACATGGCGGTAGACCGCAGCATATAAAAATAGGGATTCTCTCCAGAAAACCTTGGCATAAATGATATTCTTGCGTGTGATGCGAAGATCCTTATTCTCCTATGACTGCATGGTCATGCCAAAAACCAATTCATTGTAGCACCCTACACAGTCCCCTACACAAACTGGGTGAGAGTGCAAGGACTACTATGTGTGTGTGGGGGGGGGGGGGGGGGTGAGAAGGAGATGGGCCAGCAGAAACAGTAACTGGACACTCCCAAGAGAAAAGTGGGTTAACAAGAAAGGAGGGAGAGGCTCTGCTAAAGGAAAATAGAAACAAACAAATTCTACCTCTCTGAGCCTGGTGGAATGCTGATGCCACAGGAAAGGCTCCTTTCCGCTTACAGATAATCATCCAAAAAGGCTGGTGCAGCGCTCTGATCTAGATCCAAAAGTTTGTTTAAAAAGCAACAGCAAGACTGCTTAAGTGTTTAGGCTATGCAGCCATAAATCACAGCCTTAATCAATGCTATGATTAATACTGTATAGCCAAAACACATTGGCAGTCTTGCTGGTTTTTCTTGCCATGTAAAAGAAAAAAAAAAAAAAAAAAAAAAAAAAAAAAAAAAAAACTTTTGCATATGGATGTGAGCTGGGGAACTATCCTGAAGCAGTCAAACAGATTAGCAGGTTCAGAGAGAAGAGGAGGTTAAGAGGGGATATGATCAACATGTATAAATACATCAGTGGTTCATATAATGAACTCTGTGATGACCTCAGGGTGAATAACTCTACACAGAGGGCAAGGGTGCACATATTACGTCTGGAGGAAAAGAGATTTCATCTCCAAACACAGAAAGGTTTCTTCACAGGAGAGCTGTGAAAATGTGGAATAGACTCCCTCAAGAGTTGGTTCTGGCCAGCTCAGTAGATTGCTTTAAAAAAGGCCTGGATTCTTTCTTATATACACAGAATATAACTGGATACTAACATTTCTAGGTAAAGTTGATCCAGGGAATATCCGATCGCCTCTCGGGGGATCAGGAAGGAATTGTGTTCTCTGCAGGAGCAAATTGGATCATGCTTTGCTGGGTTTTTTTTTTTCCTTCCTCTGGATCAACTGTGGATATAGGATAACTTTTTTTTTTTAAGTTTAACTGGATGGACTTTTGTCTTTTCAGCCAGACTAACAATGAGACACATTGCAAGTGAATGGGGGGGGGAACCCCACAAGTGAGCAGTTAATATACTAGATTTTCATCTGTAATTTTTTTATATTGGTGTAAGGGACTATAATGAGTACAGACCATGTAAAGAATGAATATGGCTGTGGTGCACATGCGCACCAGACAATGGATTTGGGGAGGATGTTTTTTCTTGAAAAGGCTGTGCAGTAGCAGGCAGGATCACACAAGGATGAAGGCAAGAGTGCGGCTACACTGAAAGAAGGGGAGGTGTACATTTAAAGCAGAACTCTTGCCATAGTGTGCACAGCATATCTGCACATTATAGCAGACATGCCTTTTAATGTGCCCTCCTCTAGAAATACAAGGTCTATGCTCCTTTTTGTCACTAGGCCACCACTGCTGTCATCTTCTCCCAGTCTTCTTCTGTGTCCAGGTCTTCTGTCTCCAGCCACATATAATGCAAATTGCACATGCACGCAGCAGCTATCAGAATACACTGTTTAATGTGGATAGAAGAATCTCCCTTGTGCATATACAAGAATTGCGCCATTTCTGAATGCAGCAGCCTATCCGCCCCTGATCATCCATTTGAAACGAGCACTAAAAAAAAAAAAGTTACAGATTGTGCCAGGACTGTTGGCTTTTCAGTTTAATCTTTCAGGTCCTGACCTCTCCATTCCCTGTTACGGAAGAAAAGTGCCATAAACAGCTGTTGGATTATACTGAAGAGCAGCTGTAAAAAGTGAAAGGAAGCTGACATTCAGAGAACATCAACAGCCAATAAGATTAAGGTCTTGCATATAGGTCTCCGTCTTCTGGGTCCTGTCCACAGTTCAGATCTTAATCAAGAATCTCCCTCCCCTCCCTCTCTTTATTGTGGCTTTGACTTTTTGGCAGGTAATGTTGCCCACCTTTGCAGATGGACAGTATTTCAGGTGGTATAACACAGATCCTTAGTGCTCACGTACTGAAGACTGAACACGTTTTATTATGAGAAGTTATCACATTAGGATTTTAAATCCCAATAAAGGGCTGTAGCCATATTTTTTCTATAACTTTGGTTTCCTGGAGTTTTTATTATTTTTGATCAATTTGTTATTGTTTTGATGGCATTAGGTAGGTGGCTGTTTGTTGTGTTGTACACATATGCAAGTATAGAGCACTCTTATTTGACAAGTGAATGGTAGTTGATGTAGCTTAGCCCAGTAACAAAGTGAAATCATATGTGTCAGACAGGCAAATAAGACTTTTCCCGGTAAAAAAAAAAAAAAAAAAACCCACTACCTGCCAGGTGTGGCAGTAAATTTTAACTGTATTTAATTAATTTTGCTCCAGACTATATGTATAGCCACAGAGCAATAGATACAGTAAAATGAAATTTACTGCCACACCTGGCAGGTAGTGTTTTTTTGTTTCTAGACATGACTTTTTTTCTGCTTGAAATAAATGGTAATTTAATTAATTTTGCTCCAGACTATATGTATGGCCACAGAGCGATCGATTACCATTTATTTCAAGCAGATAAAAAAAAAAAAAAACACCCCACACACACAAAAACACACACACAAGGGAAAGTCCACCTTTAAGACCATGTTAGGCTAATATTTATGGCATAACATGGTGTCAAGCAACAAGATCAAAACCAGTAAAATCATACCAGCAGCACCTACAGGACAGAGGAAGGATTTGCCATTTGTGATAATGGAATGTTACACTATGTACCAAGAATAGCAACATTGTCTGGGGAAAAGAAAACTAAAATGGTGGAGTTCAGGTATTAGGCTTACCTCTGTGTCATTGGTCTTATAATTTTTGTCATCAGAGTAAGAGAAGCCCACGCCAGCTGGAGCCTCAAGGTACAGAACATTAGCAATCTGAAGAACAAAGTACAAAACTACTGTAAATTCAAGAACTGAGCAACAAATATGAAGGCTGTTATGATATAAAAAAGGTCAGTACCTTGTTCCAGGAATAAGAATTGTACTCAAGTGATACTCCATCTGGCTGGATCTACAACAAAGAAATGCCAAGTAATAACAAATGGACTGACTACTACTAGCTCCAAATAAGAAGTCAGTGAAATTACCAAAATAAAACCTGCTAACATTTTACCAACAAAAAAGGGGGCAGCAGCCATTATGCTAACACTTTACTAAAAAAGCCCCGCAGGCCAGAGTACTTGGTGTCATTCTGGACTCCAACCTATCCTTCAAGCCCCAAGTCCAATCTTTTACAAACTCGTGCAGACTCCACCTCCGCAACATCGCCAAAATCCGCACGTTCCTAACCCCAGAAACCACTAAACAGCTCATCCCCTCCCTCATCATATCACGACTCGACTACTGCAACTCCCTCCTCACTGGCCTGCCTCGCCTCTGGCTATCCCCGCTTCAGTCGATCCTGAATACGGCTGCCAGACTCATTCACCTTTCCAACCACTCCGTTTACGCCAGCCCCCTCTGCCAATCCCTCCACTGGTTTCCGATTGCGCAACGGATCAAATTCAAAATCCTAACACTGACGTACAAAGCTGCACCCCCGAACTACATCACCGACCTAATATCCAAGTACCACCCAACACACACACTCCGCTCCTCACAAGACCTCCTCTCTAGTTCCCTGGTCTCCTCCCATGCCCGCCTCCAGGACTTCTCCAGGGTGTCACCCATCCTCTGGAACTCCCTGCCCCAACCCATCAGATTATCACCTACTCTCCTCTCCTTTAGGCGCACCCTGAAAACCCATCTCTTCAGGGAAGCCTACCCCACCCCCTGCTAACTTGCCGACCTCCTCCACTCTTCCTACCACTCCATCCCCCACAGCTCTCTCCTCCTGTACCACCATCCCCTCCCTCCTAGATTGTAAGCTCGAAAGAGCAGGGCCCTCGATCCCCTCATGTTTTGCATTGTATTGGTATTGTTCTATCACATGTTCTGTCCCCCTTTGTAATGTACAGCGCTGAGTGAACTATTGGTGCTTTATAAATACTGTATAATAATAAATAATAACTGATGTTACTTTAAATGACTAATTAACAGTGCCTGCACATAGTTCTCCACTACATATCATGCAGACAAACCGCACTGGTCACACATGGCTACTCTGTTTATGCAAGCTGCTGCTACAACACGCATAAAGCCAAACAGACCAGCAAAATCAGAAGAGGAGGAGATGTGCTTGTGTTATCTATAACTGTGAAGAAATTATTATAGTTTGTACAAGATCAGATAAAAGGAAGGCATTGCATCATGGCAACCGAGCATTTTTTTTTTTTTTTTTTTTTTACTTCTACTGCAACGTATACTTTTTCACCTCTCCTTTCTGACAAACTGTGCAGGAGTGACTCAGGGGCAATCCTTGTCATTTATAGTTATTTACTTGATATTCAGGCCATAAGACATCATAAATGCATGTTTTTTGTTCTTGAGGAAGGACAGTTATTTTATAATCCTAAAAAAGCATTTACTCATATGCTAGTGACCAGTGTTCTCCAGTCGCTGTGCACCTTGCCTGCTAATTTTGATGCACCTTCAAATAAATTGATTTGTATAGAAGAGATATTTTTCCTTTTGAAATGAGCATTTAAAAGGGTAGCTGTACCTTCCTTACAACGGTCGCTAAAATTCAACCCTGCACCCAGTTTCACTACTGCTTACTTACCTCTAATTATAAGCCAAATGGCCCATATGAGCCTATGGGAATTTGTGAGTGGCCAGAAGTAAAAACTTTTTTTTTTTTTGGGGGAGGGGCTGTGAACAATGGAGAAGGACAGGCTCTGGAACCAAGAAAAGTGGGCAGCAGATTTTTCTGCACTGAAGAGATGTATGGGCTGTCATAGCAAATGCTTAGATAGAAGGAAATCTATCCTTTAGAGCTGGTTCATACTTCCTGCACAGTAAATGCCACATTGTACTGTGCAGGAAGTGTCAGTTCTGGTGAGCGTTACCTTGAACTTTGACTGTAGGTTTGGTGATGCGACTATTGTTCTGATCACAAATATCCTTGCTGGGAGGAGACCCTGACATGAAGCAAAGCCCTGCTTCTACCAAGATGGCCTCCTCCACACAGAGACACAGTCCACAAGGCATTGGAAGTCAGTAACGAGAAATGAACAGCTACAATAAGACCACACAAAAAGTACTTGTGACTAGTCCACTACCCTCTGCCTGCCTTTTGGGCACAGCTTACAGAATTCACTTTCTCTTTAACTGCTGAAAACCTTATTGTCTCAATTATTGTTTCATCCTCCGATACAGCTCCCTTTCCTGATCTCTTCAAAACTCAATTAAAAAAAGTGTTACCCAAGGATTGTAAGCTCGAAAGAGCAGGGCCCTCGATCCCCTCATGTTTTGCATTGTATTGTTATTGTTCTGTCACATGTTCTGTCCCCCTTTTGTAATGTACAGCGCTGAGCGAACTATTGGCGCTTTATAAATACTGTATAATAATATTTTTTTAAAAAAATTAAAACATGTTATACTCACCTCTATGCAATGGTATTGCACAGAGGTCCCCATCCTCCTCTACTTGGGTCCTCTGCCAGCAAGCTTGGCTCCTTTTGTGTGTCCCCACAGCAAGCCGTTTGCTACGGAGGCACACACTGCATTCTCGCTCCAGAGCTGTGCGTCTCTGGAGCCTAGCTCCAAAGCCACACATAGCAGAGCTTAGCCAATGGCTCCTGTTACCGATAAGAGTCCCTGTGAATGAAGAGGAAGAGAGGAGAACAAATGCAGCCATGCACAAGGCTGGAGCTTTTCTCCCCTCTCTTCCCTTCACCCAGGGAAGACAAACGACAGAAAAAAAATAAAATAAAATAGAAAAAAAGTTAAAACTTAATGCAAGGAAAGCATTAAGGTAAAAAGCATTTTTAGCTTTAGAATCGCTTTAAACCCCTCCCTGTGCACACTATAAACCTTTCTGTCACCATAACTCTTCCCCTCACCATAGCCCTCCTGTGATTGCCCCTCCCTGCCCAATGCTAAACCTGACTGTCATTCCCATGCCAATGCTAACCCTCCTGACACCCTAAGATTAACCCTTCCTTACTCCCCCTTGTTTGTAAGTGAACGTATCCTACAGTAGGAATCTTCTGTGCTAGAGACCAGTTCTCATGTGCCAAAAATTCCAACACCAAGGTCCCAGTAGTGGAACCTCCAGAGTCAAGATCTCATGTGCTGTACCATGGTAATGTCATGAAATTGCTTTACATCCAACATAACCTGTATTCTGAAGTTATGGCAGGTCTGCACATCATAGAGGTGCCTGGCGTTATAAGACAATGGAGACCTCGGTTTTGATTCAAAATTGAAACAGACACTGGGAAGCAGGGCTGACTGCAGGGGAATTTTGTATTGCGCGTTAGTGGTGAATCAACCCTCCCATTCTCTACTTTTGCTGATTGTGAAACGACTTGGCAGATGGCCACATCCTCTTTGAACATTTATCCAAAATGGCAACTGCAGTTACATACCAGAAAGGGGCCATGTTCTGTCAGCAAGCCATCCAGTGAGCTACAACCAGGACCTCCATTCATCCATAAGACCAGAGGACTAGAGCTGGGATTTTTCTGAGATTCTACAAACCTGTATTAATGAGAGTTATAAGGAATCAGCAAATACAAAAACAATTTGGATAGATGACATCACTGAGGCTGCTACCTACCAGTAGTGGAGATGTTTTCCTCCAGGCACATCCAAGTAGCCTGAGAACTGGCGGAAAGATGGCTGCTTTCTCAGCCCCGGCAAGTATTTGATCTCATCATCAGAGGGTGCAGCATCTGCTAAAAGAGCTCCTAGGAGCACAGCGCACAACAGGAGAGGACGCATGCTAAAAGGAAAGACAGGGAAAGGCTGTAACCAGAGAGGCAAGGCACAGTGCTTGCAGAGAACCATCCTCTATGGATGCTAGTGGGTTCAAATGCTGAAATTCTATTACATTTGGGAATCTCCAAGGTTAGGGCAAAACTTTGGTCAGACAGAACCTCACAGGGTGCCCTCTCATAACATTTAAACTTTTTAAGAAAGGGTTAAATGTGACTGGGGACTAAGAATTTTCCTAATACCTAATTTCACACTTCAGGACCCCCGCTTACGCCCCCCTCCCTTCCCAAACTCCACACTGACACCCATCCCCACTCAGAGAACACTGATCAGCTGCACGAAGGAAACTTTTAGTGTTTCTAGTTCGGTTGTACATACTATTCTTCTATGATTTACTATTCAATCATCAGTACACTTAGGGCCAAGTCACATTAACCATCTTGCGGTTTACCCCCAACATAGGTGGTCAGGTACTATTGCTGGCTTCTGGTGTTCTTCACTCATAGCAGCCCCCTTTCCCATAAGGCTAGCAGGCCTACCAGTACTATTGCCCCCCAAGCTATAGAGCTTGGCCACTGCACCAGGGCGGTTGAAAACTGAGCACAGCAAACAAGTACTTGTGGTTGGCAGACAGGCAGAGTTGCTCAAGGACATTACAGGCACAAGGCAGGCAAGGTTCAGAGTAGTCAGGGCCCAATCCATAGTCAAAAGGCAGGCGGAGTTCAGAGAATAGTAAATATCTGATCCAAGGTGGTCAATGAGAGGATCCAAACTAGCAGGCACAGCAGACAAACAGCTTGGTGCATAACATGATCACAAGCATGAGACTACAGGCTTGGCTGGCTTAAATCAGGTTTGGTCTCCCAGAGACTGGCTACATTAATCACCCTGCAGGTGGACAGACAGGGAGAGTGCATCATTGTCAAAACCAGGATGCTGGCTTGAGACCAGCAGCTGTGACGGAGAATGAGCATGCCACTACACACTCCTGACAGCAGCTTATCAATAACAGGAAGAGAGTAGTAGTAGTCTGCTCCTACAGCGCCCCTCACAGACCAAAATGTGCTGTGAGGAAGCAAGATCTCCAGGATTCAGACGAATGTTTTTTGGCGATTCTGTTGCCAGTGAAATGTCATTCACTGCAATCCCTGAAAGTCATGTCAAACTAGTGATCCTGTAGGGCAGAGAAATACTCGCCCATTTCCAGATCAACTCCTTGCTGTCAGATAAGTGGGGTGTTACTTTGTTGCGGACGAGTTACGTTCAACAGTGGAGCCACACCTTAATCTTCTGGCCAGTGAGGTAGTGACACCTGAAAATAAGTGGAGATTTTCAGTAATCTGTCACCAGGATGACCGTAGACTTTGTACAAGTTAGTACAAGCCATCCTCAGGCACTACCACCATGCATCGTGCTCAGCATACGTTGATAGCAGATGGTCAGATCTAGTTATCACAGCAAGGTATTAAGCTCTCAATTAAAAAAATAATGCTTCCATGTATGCATTGATGTATGTCCGGATTTTTTTTTTTTTTTTAATAATTATTAGATTTCCTTCCTTTTCGTTCCTCTTTTGATTGTTTTTTTTTTTTTTTTTTAACATTTACTAAGCGTCCCCTCGACAAAAACAATTCTGTCATGTTTGGAAGTGACTAAATACATACAATAGTAACAAAGATATAAATGTAACAGGACAATACACTATGCAATGTGATTGCACAATTTCCCATCTTGTGCGAGGATCTGGCTGATTGAATATTAATTAGATTGTTTAGGAGGATCTCATATTTTGATAACTCTAAGGCTATGGTTCACATCTAAGAAGGATGCGTTTGAGCAGTTTCTGAATTGCGGTTTGCACCTGCGTTTGACGCATTTTTTTTTCCTTCAATTTTTCTTGTTGCTAGGCAGATTTAAACCGCAGCAAAAACACACTACATGCTTTTCTGCAGCATTTCCATTGGAGTCTATAGAACCAAAAACGCTACTTTGCATTCAAACTCCCTGACCCTTTACAAAAAAACACCGGGTAAAAACACGCAGATATTAACATGTCCCATAGGAAATCATGTTAAATGGACTGTACTGCGTTTCTGAAAAATGCTTAAGTGTGAACCTAGGGTAAGGGTCAGTTCACACTACATGTGTTTCAGTTGCTTTTTTATGCATCCAAAATGCACAGAAAGCAGGTTATATGGTTGTCAATGTCAAAGTTCACATCAGTGCTTGCAGTTCCAGTGCGTTCTGGTTGCAGGAAAAAAAAAAAAAAAAAAAAAAAAAAAAAAAGGAAGGGGGGGGGGGGGGGGGGGGGAAAGAGGTAGAACAGGCTGCATTTTTCCTGCACAGAACTGTACTAGGATGCAGTAAAAATGCTCCAAACGTGTCCCTTTTTTAACCTCTTGGCGCTGGCCAAATGCAAATGTGCGGCCTCCTGGCGTTTGGGCCTAGACGCCGTGCAGCCACACATTTGCGTTCTATTAATAAAAAAACATATGTGCTGAGAGCGTGCGCCCTGCACGTTGCCAGCACACACATTCAGTCCAAATCTCCTCTTTCGATCGCGACCTTTCCGATCATGTGACAGCGAATCCTGACAGCCACATGACCCCAAATCCCCGCCTCCCAGATTCTGGGACCCTTATAGGGCCAGGAGGCACCAGCGCCAAGGGGTTAAATTGAACAAAAATAAAAAAAATAAAAATAAATGAACCAAAACACATCAAAAACACACCGGAATGCACCAAAAATGAGCGTGTGGAAATGCATCTGGACTGTGTTTCTATAGTGTAAACTGGCCAGAAAGAAAATAGCATAGGAATAGTACAGTAAATGGCCTGTTTAAATGTTACCAATTTCATGGTAATTGACGCACACAATATTGCCAAAAGTATTGGGCCAGCCCTGTAAAATAATTGGATTCTGGTTTTCCAATCACTTCCATGGCCACAGGTGTATAAAATCAAGCCCCTAGGCATGCAGACTGCTTCTACAAATATTTGTGAAAGAATTCACTGTCAGTGAATTCAAGCGCAGTACCGTGATAGGTTGCCACCTGTGCAATAAGTCCATCCATGACATTTCTACTAAATATTCCACGGTCAATTGTTAGTGGGATTATAAAAGTGGAAGCAACTGGGAACAAACAGCAACTCAGCCATGAAGTGGTAGACCATGTAAAATGACAGAGCGGGGTCAGCGCATGCAAAAGTGCACAAGCCACCAACTGTCTGCAGAGTCAATAGCTAAAGACATCCAAACTTCATGTGGCCTTCAGATTAGAACAACAACAGTGCGTAGAGAGCTTCATGGAATGGGTTTCCACAGCCGAGCAGCTGCATCCAAGCCTTACATCACCAAGTGCAATGCAAAGCATCGGATGCAGTGGTGTAAAGCACGCCGCCACTGGACTCTAGAGCAGTGGAGACATGTTCTCTGGAGTGACAAATCACACTTCTCTGTCTGGCAATCCAATGGACTTGTCTGGGTTTGGCAGTTGCCAGGAGAACGGTACTTGCCTGACTGCAAAGCGTAAGTTTGGTGGAGGGGGGATTATGGTGTGGGGCTGTCTTTTTAGAGGTTGGGCTTGGCCCCTTAGCTCCAGTGAAGGGAACTCTTAAGGCGTCAGCATACCAAGACATTTTGGACAATTTCATGCTCCCAACTTTGGGAACAATTTTGGGATGGCCCCTTCCTGTTCCAACATGACTGCACATCAGGACACAAAGCAAGGTCCATAAAGACATGGATGAGTGAGTTTGGGGTGGAGGAACTTGACTGGCCTGCACAGAGTCCTGACCTCAACCCAATAGAACACCTTTGGGATGAATTACAGTGGAGACTGACAGCCAGGCCTTCTTGTCCGATATCAGTGCCTGACCTTACAAATGTGCTTCTGGAAGAATGGTCAAACATTCCCATAGACACTCCTAAACCTTGTGGACGGCCTTCCCAGAAGAGTTGAAGCTGTTATAGCTGCAAAGGGCGGGCCAACTCAATATTGAACTCTACAGACTAAGACTGGGATGTCATCAAAGTTCCTGTGTGTACATCACACCGCTCAGCCCCCTCCTTCCCATCACACCGCTCAGCCCTTCATACTCCCATAACAGTTCTATGACAATGTCAGATCAGACTGCACATCGATAGAGACAGATCGATAAGCGCTCACCTTCCCCTTTCCTCTCCTCTCTGCAGATCACAGCCGGCCGCCTTCACTTCCTTCTCTTCTCTTCTCTTCTCTCCTCCAACTTCCTCCTTCTCATATGACTCCGGTCATGTGACTCGTCTGGTGGCTGGAGCTCACGTGCTCCTCCTAGTGGGTGATGTGGGCGGGGTCTGGTGTGCTGTGTTCTGTGATAGGTGCAGAGTTCTGGCAGGGCGTTCTATTTGTGTACAGAGCTCAGTCACCCATAGCAACCAGTGTCCTCTTCCTGAGCTGGAATGAAGTGTTCCTGGGTCACTGCATGGTCATCAGTCAGCATTCTTTATTTAGAAAGAGGGAACTTTATGAAATATTCAGATCCAGCCTGAGCTTCCCCTTCTCTCCCTCCCTCATCCTGTACGTTAGTACATTAACCCCTTCACCTCCATCTTCGCAGCGTTTATAACCTGTACATTAACCACTTGAGTTAACGTGTACCCCTTTCTTGACCTGGCCATTTTTTGCTATGCAGTGCTCCACTACTTTAACTGGTAATTGCGCGATCATGCAACGCTGTACCCAACTAATTAGGTCTACCACTTAGTCACCCTGTATTTATTCCCTGTATGTCTCCCAAATTTGTTATTACAGCAGGAAGCTTTTTTAGGTCCACATAATGTTGTTTTTTCTATGTCTGCATAATGCTGTTTTCTATGTCTGGCCTCCCTGCTCAAGCTCCTGTAAAATGGTCACTGTGTTCTGCCCCTTTGATTGATTTCAGCTGCGTACTACCTTTAAATGGAGTCTGTCTTCACCACCTTCTTAGCCTTGATGAAGTCACATGGCTCATGACGTAAAGCGTAGG